GCCTCTTCCACCTCCTTCTCTTTACCAGCCTCAGGATACAACCTACAATTCAAATAATAGCTGATATCACTCTCCTCGTCAAACTCTTCCGTAGTAAACCCACTGCCCAAATACCCCCATCGATTCCCACCCCAATACTCAATCTCATAATCTTCAAATTTCGGCTCCCTCATAACGTCAAAGAACGCCAGCCTGCTTCCAGGCCACATCACGATGTTACCGTCTTTCCTCCCCTGCTTAAACCAACTACTACATGGATCTGCCCAGGCCGTACGCCTCAAGTAGACCTTGGCATGTTCACGGAATGCAGCAGCAGCGCTCTCCTTCGGGCTTAAGCGCCGGATGTGTTCCTTGCGCATCTTTTTGATGACAGTCATGAAGTAGTTGGAGTATAGAGTGAGTAGGGGTAGCACGGACCCCTGTGCTAGAGGACCATAGGGTCCAGTATATGTGAAATAGTTCGGAACATGGGGTACGCTGACTGCCACGTATGAGTCTGGCTCTTCGGCCCAGCGTGTAGCAAGATCCCGTTTATCCAGTCCTATAATGGGGAAACGGGGACGGAATGTGGTGTCAAATCCCGTTGCGCAGATGATGACGTCGACTTCTACCTCTTTTCCGTCGGGGTCAAGGAACCCAGTTTCCGTGATATGTTTGATGGCCCCGGTATAGCATGTTGTTTTTTCTCCTACGAGTGCTTCAAGGTATCCGTTCCCTGGAGTGGCGCGTCGACAGCCCACGTTGAAATCAGTCGGTATTACCGTATCTTTAAGCTGTTGATTATCTCCAAGTTTTGATGTCATCTCGTTATATGAGAACTGATCATTAGTTAACAGGGTGATAAGTTCCACCAAATGGCTGTGAGTGATATAATGTAGCTTCACCTACCTCGTTTGCATCATCAGACTCTTTGCTATTTCTTAAAATAAAACGGAATCTGCTGTTTAGCTCATTCTCAACCATCTTTCTATAGGTTCTATATTTTTCTGGGTCGCTCCTCCATATCTTCTTCTGGGCTTCGTCATCTGAATGTTGAATTTAGTAGTGCTTTAATTGGTATATTGAAAGAGTAAAACGACTGACATGAGAAATTCGATCCTCCTTGACCAGCAAATTTCGGTCCAAAACCAGCAGTGATCCATGTCGGTGTTCTCACCCAGGTATAAACTCTCGCGGCGTCGTTATAAATGGAGGCAACCGTCTGGACTCCTGAGCTTCCGGAACCAATGACAGCAACTCGTTTTCCTTTTAAGTCATAGTTTTCATCGTACCGCGCGGTATGAAACAATTTGCCCTTGAAGGACGTTAGTCCGGGTATTTCTGGCCATTTCCATGCACTTTTCCCCTGGTGTATAAGCATCCAAATAGTGTACTTAATATTGTTGATTTCAAAAAGTGCCATGCTCACTTCAAAATGCCTGTTCCAGTTAAGAACAAGTCGCACTCCTCTATCCATGTCTTGACGATGCTGTCTGCCATGTCATGTTCTTGAAGCGTGATGAGCCATTTCGATCTGTCCTCGTCCCATTCCGCTCGAGTTACAGTAGTTCGTAATCGGATGTACTTCATCATCCCTTCTTCGTCGACTATCCTCTTGAAGTATTCCCAAATCTCCTTGGAGGGAGAATAATACTGCGTCCAGTCAGGGTTGGGTCTCCACGGGAATTGGTAGCTAGCACTTGGCACATCGCAAGCACAGCCAGGATATCTGTTTTCCAGCCACGTACCACCAACATCCTGATTCTTTTCGTAACAGACGAATTGCACTCCAGAGTCAGGTCCTAATTCCGTCATGGCATGGTGTAGAAAGTCGATTCCAGCCGGCCCGCAGCCGGCCATTATTATCTTAAACGGCCCCTTTCCCGGGCGTGGCTCATTGATCATATGCTCCGAGACACGATATCCGCTTGGAGAAACATAATCCCATTCTTCAGAGACCATCGGACGGATTGTTGATGCAGGGTGGGGGATATCTGGGTTGTTGCTCCCCAGGCATCTCTCGCGTCTCTCTGCCATGACTTTGGAGTTTCCAATCCTCATTTACCAATAGTGAAGTATTGTGAAGTACTTTTCCTCAGAAGAGGTAGCGCCATGTCCAGGCGCATCCCAGACATAGCCCAAGAGCCACGCTGGCCGGGTATTTCTATTCCTTGCATGCATGCGGTGTGAATGTCGTATTAGGTGGATGCGGGATGTCACTAGATAGAACGCCCTCAACATGTGACCTTGCTTCTGCGTCTGATATCAACACCGGCAAGGTGGCCGAGCGGTCTAAGGCGCCAGATTAAGGCTAACCTTAATCAGTAATAATCAGCGGTGATCACTTCACCACGAGATATTCTGGTCCTCCTTGAGGGCGTGGGTTCGAATCCCACCCTTGTCACTATTCTTTTTTTTTTTTTTTTTTTCTTATATATATTCCTTTTCGCCTTCTTTTTTCTTCATTATAACCAAAGATGAAAGATGTTGACAGGCACAGACCATAAGGGCTCAGAAGATCTAGCGATAAAACCCACGTTCATCCGGCGGTTTTTGACTCTCCTCGCACTCAAGACGACTGCCAGATTCTTCACTCGCGATGGCGTCTGCATCCCCATATCAAAACACAAGATCGTCAAGACAGGCAGCTGGGTTCATTTGACTGAGGCGGCAACCATGAAATTCGTTGCTGAGAACACTTCTACTCCCGTTCCCAAAGTCCACTGCGCTTTCGTTCACAAGAACAGGGCATATATCGTCATGGAGAGGGTACGGGGCGTGTGTCTTGCAGCCGTAGTCGGAAAATGTTCTGAGGAATCCCGTCGCAAGATATTTGCCCAATTGAAGGATATATTACGGGAACTACGAGCGTTAAAGCCTCCTCTAAATACGGGAGTTGAAAGCTTTGCTGGGGGTTCGTTATACGACTCTCGCATTTCTCACTGTCTTCCGCGATTTGGACCGTTTAAGACCATTCAAGAGTTTCATCTTTGGCTCAGAAACGGGTTCCAGCCAACTGGGGAGTCGCCACTGATAGATCCTCAGGAATGGGAAGATGTAAAGGCCATGGCAAAGATGCAGGACGGTCCCTGGCCAGCTCCCGTTTTTACTCATGGGGACTTGAACCCATCCAATATTTTTGTCAAGGGAGACAAGGTTGTTGGCATCATCGACTGGGAGTTTTCAGGCTGGTATCCCTCTTACTGGGAATATACATCTGCATGGAATTGTATGCTCACAGACACAGAGTGGCAGGGCATGATTGGTAACTTCCTTGACCCTTATCCAGACCAGGTGAAGATGGAGAAGACTCGTCAAATGTGGTGGGGAGAATGATGCAGTTGTAATATATATAGATACCCAGCACATATAACTTCTACTTCTTCTAATTTATATTTGGATCTTCTGTGTTATGCTACAGTTAATCGTCCAGTGGCAACAATTTTGTCCTCTAGAGCTTGCTCAAATACCCTCAACGGAGTCTGTCTTGTCAGTTTCATCCATCACATACAAGGTTGACGCAGAATCAATATACTCTATGGCAGTCTCTCCTTATTTTCCAGCATATCCCAAGTAGGTTTGGGATGTCGAAGGTCATCAGCAGTCTGGTAGCGACCTCCAGCGGCCTTGTCGCCGACATACTTCCTTGCTGTCTTTTCAATCTTCTCCCAATCGAGTACTGAGGTCCCAACGGCCTTGCCATCCTTCTTGATTTCATCCAGAGCTTTTGCGACCCAAGTACGGCATCTCCAGTTTGGATCATTGTGAACAATAGATAACTCCCGGAATATCTTGATGAGCCTTTCTTCATCCTCGATTTTCCCGATAAGAATGCGTGCAAGCAGGCTGATTGTGTTTTTCACGTTCCGCACTTTTGTCTCTTCGAATGTCCACTGTCCCATAGGGCTATTCTTGACGTGATAGCGAGTTCCAGGGACCTCGTCCTCGTCCTCGATCTTAGGCCCAACTAAGAAGGCCCAGTGGTATCTATGAGAGATGAGCATACGTTAAGTAGAGGGTACCACCAGTAGCACTCACTTCCGCTCTTCATTGTTGACAACTCCACTAGGGTACAGCGCGATATAGAGCCGTTTCTTCTGAGAGACCATCTCGGCTGCTTCCAGAAACTGCTTGCGAAGCTGAGAGCTAGGGTATATGGTGGTTCTGATTTATGATGTCTGTATAACGTCTCTCCGTATATCTCTTTCATCCAGCTATGGGAGTGGCAATAGTTCTTTCCGCATCAATTTTTTGGTTGTGTTAGGAAGCTGTATTTCTCTATGGTTATGCACTTAGGCGCCGCAAACCTGGTTGGGGCCACGCATAACATTCCAAAGACCTGGGACGGAATAGCTAGTTATATTAAATATACAGCCTGATTGATGTTGGGTGCACACAATATATTAGGCATTCTAAGCGCCTGGATTTGGAAAAATGACCATATCATGAAATTGTCAGCATCATGCCTACTCTCTAACACTCTTTGGTTGGTGTTTATCTTATACCCAATGAGTACCCCTATCTAACGTCTTGTGTTACTCAATTATATATCCCAGCTCGAAGGACCGGAGTTGCTCCCTCCAGTCATTTCTTTTCCCCCTGTATCGTAGCCACAACATTCCTGGTGTGTTTACTGGTCCGGAACTCAAGATACCATATCCCCTGCCATGTTCCTGTAGCCAAACGCCCGTCCGTAATTGGAATTGTTACGGATGCACCGATAAGAGCAGATTTGACGTGCGCCTAAAATAAAAGCAGGGCAGCCAGTTAGACCAATGCGCTCGTCAATGAATTGAATGCAGTGTAGTCGTCTCTCATACAGGCATGTCATCTGGCCCCTCTGCGCTATGGCGGTACAGAGTTCCCTTCCAATCTTCGGGTGCAATCCTATCCAGGGCGTCACTCATATCCGCTCGCACATCCGCATCCCAGTTCTCGTTCAAGCTCAACGCGCAACTCGTATGCTGGATGAAGAGGTTCAGAAGGCCAGTCTTGTACGAGGAAATCTCCGGAATTTCAGATACTATATGGTCTGTGATCAAATATGATCCGCGCGAACGGCTTGGAAGAGTGATCTTCTTCTGGAACCAGGACATCGTGGGTATAGGAGGGGTGCAGATAGCTGTGCACGGCTGTAGCTGCGGTTGAGGAGGGGCGGGCCGTTCGGACGGTGAAGATAACAGCTCGTATAGAAGAAAAGGAACTGAGATGAAAAGATCTGGGAAGAACGCGAGTATGAAGAGTAGGATGAGAAAGACTTGAAGCCACGCAGTTCTGTTTGATGTGGTTTGGGACCACGACGTCATGGATGCGGGGCGGCTTAAAATAATAAATAATCGCTAACTAGTTAATAATAAAATATGACTTGCGATGATTTGAACCAGCAATATAAGATGCGGATACGTATATAACACTGAAGATAAAAGGAGTACAAGTGAGGATGGATATTGCGTGTCACAAGGTGGTGGGAGTAAAATACAGAAACTCCAGCCTACGGTTAATCTTCCATCAGCTCGCTGGTGCCGTTCATGCCTTTCCACTTGGGCCTTCCATCTGGAATATCAACTACTCTCTGCTCGTAAAATACATGGCAGCTGGGTCGTTCAATATCAGCAGTCTATGAATAACCGAGACACCCAAGAATATGTGAATAATTATCATCATACCTAGGATAAAACATCCTCCTCATCTTGTCACCGTCTGCCTCAGCGTCGTTCCTGATCAGCTCCGGGAAAAGTAGGATAACATGTCTCCCTTCATCCATGATCAGGGAGTGACAGTATGAGCACGAGACCTTGCACGGCAGGTTATGGCCCTGTTCTTTCGAACTACTGTTATAAAAATCCAGCCATCCATGACCACTCACAAACCTGATATCGGATTTTTCAAATATGGCTGCCCATTGGAATGGCGCTCCTATAACGAGTGTTAACAGATAGGAAGACGGCGATGGGTTTCAATGTCCAATTATGCTGACCGTGTAGTATTTGACAGCCTCGACAGTGGCAGAATTTGGCATCCAGTGGCTGTTTTCTACTTATTTCATATCGAACTCGCTGGCATTGACATTGTGCTTGCCATTGGATGTCGCCAAATTGTTCCTCCGTCTGATTCACATATGGAGGACTCGTCATCCAGTCCTCCATCTTTAGGGATAGTATTGACTTGGTCTGAAGCTTTCTGTAATTCCATCTGTTGATAATAACTCGTTTATTTATGAGCTTTGCAGTTGTTTACTCGTGTGTCTCTTGATGATATTCATGGAATATTTGTATGACGTCATGTGAAGCCATATTGCCAGCTGCCTTGCGGTTTGTAGCCCCTTCATCTATCTGTATCCTTAGTCTTTAACAGGAGACGCCAGAGGCGAAGAGAGCCTCTTTCTCAACCGTCTTCCACTCTCATCATGAAATTAAAGATGTTGAAGAAGCTGAAAAAAAGGCAGATGTTGAAGTTGATTATATAATAGAGCCTCGGTACAAAAGAGCCGAGGAACTCTGCCAGGTTTGTATATCCAGAGACAACAGCCTCGAGAGTATCAGTGCTTAATCAATACTTCACGGTGAAGTATTCTGCGGCTCAAGCATCATTTTCCTTTGTATATCTATATTGCTGTAATAGACCAAGAGAACTATACCTGCAGTTATGTCATTCTCAACCAATCCCCCAGACTCCTCCTTTTACACCCTCTCCTACCCAGAACCCGGAGTTCTGCTAGCAACTATAAACCGTCCTAGGCATATGAACTCGATCCCGTTTCAGGGCCATTGGGACTTTGAGAAGCTTTGGAATTGGTTTGAAAATGAAGGATCTATGCAGGTTGCTATTATCACAGGCGCGGGAGATAAGGCATTCTGCGCCGGGCAGGACTTGATAGAGGTTGAGAAAAATGCCCTGAACCCTCCTTCTGAGCTTTATTTGACAGGCCACCCTAAATCAGGGTTTGCTGGTCTAAGCCAGAGGAGAGGGAAGAAACCTGTCATTGCCGCTGTTAATGGGTTTGCATACGGCGGCGGCTTTGAGATTTGTCTGAATTGGTATGTTTATTGCTCGTTTATAGAGCCCCATAACAATGGATACTGATAATGCTTTGTAACAGCGACATGGTTATTGCTTCTCCAAAGGCCCGATTCTCTCTACCTGAAGCTAAACGTGGCGTCTATGCCGCTGCCGGTGGGCTAGCGCGTCTCATGCGAATTGTTGGGCTGCAAATTGCATCTGAAATTGCGATGACAGGCCGAGTTATCTCTCCCGAAGAAGGGAAAGCGTGGCAGTTTGTGAACCGAATCTCAAAAACTCACGAGTCTCTGATTGAGGAAACATTAGAACTAGCTAGAGAGATCTCTCAGCTAAGTCCTGACGCGCTTATCGTCACAAAGGCTGGTCTTCGAGAGGCCTGGGAAACAGGAAATGTGGAAGTTGCTGTTGGCAATACTAGAGCTCAATACGATAGAAAGCTCCATGCTGGCGAGAACTTAGCTGAAGGTGAGATATGCACTGCCATACCACCAAACTTGAGTTGTTCCACCACTAACTAAGTTTTTTTTTTTTTTTTCGCTAGGTCTTGCTGCCTTCAGGGAGAAGCGGAAGCCCAAATGGGTTAAATCACAGCTATGATCATCCTGAGTAGTATGCTATTTTTGGAGGTCAAGTATTAGCTTATCATTGTAGAGTCAATTATTTAATACCACTGCGATGATTTGAAACAATTTTTTCCTACATTTGATATTCTGACTAGATGAACTAGGTCATTCTAACCCTTGTATTCACAGGAATAGTCTAAAAAAAGCCAACAAGGTTACATTGGTAGGATGTACATAACGAATACAGAAATTTATTTGTAAAAAGAGATGAAAGTCACAAAGTAAACTTATCGCTGCTCAAAGCCAGATGGAGTAATACGTTGCGTTTCATTGACCTCAGCTGCATCACCGGTAGGCTCAAGAGGGTACGAGGTTCTGGGCTGAGCCTCTAGTACCGAGCGGTGGTGTTCATTTGCCTATGTGGTTCAATATGTTAGCAAAGAAACACATGTCGGTGGGCATTAGATTTAATATTCGAGGAGATAACTCACGAAGGGAAGGCCACAGTACTCGCAAGGGCAGATCTGGGGTTTGTCGGTGTTGATGAATATCCTGGGGTGGCCGAGTGGGCCACCACCGCCATCACACGATACAATCCTCTCCTTTGTCCATCGCACAGGCTGCTTGTGGATCAGGTCAATAGCAGCGTATGGTTGAGGCTATATGTTTTAAATGGCAAATTAGTCCACTATTCCTCAAAACACGATGCAGAACTCCCAATTGAGAAAACACCTCCTGAGTATACCATCCTCTCCCCCTCAAACATATTTATATTCAACTAACTGACCTGGAAATCTATGATTGTCTGCTCGAACCGTGGGCCAGCCATGGCCTTGGATCTCTCTTGCTGACCCTTAGCCCAAGTGGTGGCTCGGTTTGGAGCCTGCATGGCTAGCTGTCTTTGCGCCTGCTCAACCGTCTCTTGCATCGATGCGGGTTGTCTAGCATTGGTCTCGGATACACTCGTTACGGGCTTCGAAGGGTTTGGGTTGTTCGTGGGAATAGTGTTTTCGCTCAAACGAGGGACCGTCGAGGTATATGTCGCTCGCGGGATGAAACGGGGCGACTGCGCCGTGAAAAGGCACAACCGTGATCGTGTAGACGACAACATGCTGGCGGCGCGGATGCTGTTGTTTGTCGTGGCAGTTGTTTGGGGGTGGATAGATTTGGCTTGTTCTCCGATGAGAAGTGGTTTGGCTGTTGCCGCTTTAAGCGCGCAAGCGGCGCTGCTTGGCCGACCTTTAAATTTATCGCAGATAATAAATAAACGACAAGAATTAAAAAAAAAAGAACATCTCTGTAATATAGAATAACTCTGTACATTTGGCAGCTTCTGTGGAGAAGTATTCAATTAATACAATTTATATATTTACTCTAGGCGCTTGTTACTAACTGCGACTTCTGCAACCATGTCGCAACCAAAGGGCATGTCCTCGAGACTGCTTACTATGAAGGTATGGCAACTGCTCTTAGACGCATTTCAATATTCTAACATGATAATTTAGTTCATGCAACGAGCGGCTGCTTCTGGTGTTAGCAGTAGCTCATCTCCCGTACAAACACCGCCAGACTCTCCTTCAAGCAGGAAACGCGTTGATGATACTTCTTCTCCAAGCTCCAAGCGGCGGAAAATCTCTGGCGACTCGCCCTCCCAAAAAGCTGTAACACCTGCAAACAACTCCGATATGAAAGCAATATCAGCAGCAATTCAAGCTGAAGATAACAAAAGATCAGCAGCTATAGCACGACAAGCTGCAGATGCTGGAGAAACCCAGTGGGTACTAGAATATCCTGTTGGAACCATAAAATCTGCAGCACACCGGACATCAACAGCTAAGTCAAAACTTGACAATGATGCTGACGATGAACCTACATATGAAGGGAGAAAAAGCTATGGAGGTTTCAAGAAAAAGCGCCAAGTAGAGGTGGGCACTCTTTTCATATTTCCGCATTCGACGGCAGTTTGATATGACCGTGCTGACATGCATATCCCAGGCTCCTGAATCACCGGAGCTTCCTAAACCAGATACGAACACTGGGAGTGTGCCGAGAGCTCAGCTTAAGCATGCTGTGAAGACGGGTAGAATATCGTCAGGAGGCATCAGCGCAAACAGCGGAAGCAACTCACATAAAGGGAAGAATTGGAAGAATAAGCAATAAGCTACTCTTATTCCCTCAGGGAATATAACCATGTTTATGCCACGAGTTTTGTGATCGGCGAGATTAGTTTTTGAGCGTGTTTTATGTTGAACATACCACTGATGGTTTCGGCATTTGACTATATTCTTAATGATACCCTGTTGTTACTACAGCTTCACATATTGCATTATGTATCAAATACGACTGTGGGCTTATATAGACTGTTACACCTCAGTTACAGCTTTGCTTTATCATTCCGTTGCTTTTCCTCCCACTTTGCCTTCTCTCGGTAGTTAATAGCGAGGTTCCATGCTGCTACTCCAACTCCCAGCGGCGGCACCAGCAACAAGACCCACGCCCACCACTGCGGGCTCGTAGAGCTGATTCGATTTATTGCGTGCCTGACCTCCCCTTCCAACTCCGCCTTGTCCCCATCATTCCAAACAATGACACCCCTTGCACTCTCAGTGCCTCTAAATTCAGCCCTTTTGACCTTCCCATGTACATCTCCTTGGCTCTTCACCCGATTCTCCGCATCTTCAGCAGTGAGATGCGGATCCCTAGCACGTAGTCTCTGCATTTGGACCACCGGGTCTTTCACTCCAACAACGATAACGGTTCCACATATAGCATCCAAACCACTCTCAAAGAGTAAAGGCACATCCAAAACTACTGCCCAGTGTCCATGTATATAGTACCAGAGCAAGGCACGATACATCTCCCACCTCACAGCAGGATGCACGATTCCATTGAGCACTGATCGATCTTTCCTTCGCTCCGGAGAGTCGCCAAATACCCGTCTACCAAGGACTGGTCTGTTCAAAGGCCTTCCTTTACCCGGTTTCTCCTCTGGAAGTAATAAATCGGGGGTTGTAGGTCCAAAGTAGTCCACTATAGCGCGGTATCCAGCGGTACCTGGTTCAACAACTTTGCGAGCCAGTACATCTGCGTCGATTATGGGGAGGTTATAAGGAGGAGAGGAGAGGAGGGATGAGACTGTAGATTTGCCAGTGGCTATCGAGCCGGTTAAGCCTATGAGAAGCATGTTGTACGCCTAGGCCTTGTAGATATCGTATTGATCTGGAGACGCCAGAAGTGGACTATAGCAGATAAGTCGTTGGTGTGGTTATCACATTATTCAAAAGTTGATGTAATCGCAGGTTTTACAATGTCACACATAAATACTCCGCGAGCCTCGGCCCAAACTTGCCTTTAAATATTTAACAGTTATATGTGCAAAAAGTACACCTAAAGGTAGCTAGTAGATATAAGTGACATTGACGCTTGAAGTGATTTTAGCTTACGGACTGACTGTTGATTTACCCGTTGAACCATCCCATAACAATAAGTCTTAAAACAAGGGAAGAAAAAGAAAAACAGGGATAAAACAAGCGCAAGCGCGACCCAGGCTGGAGACCTACCAGCAAAAAGTAGACGGAAAGGACAGACGACAAAAATTATTCCTGGTCTCCTGGAGCGAATTCATCCATACCGATGTCTTGTCCATTGGTTGTTGTGTCTTCTCCGCCAGCCAATACTTTGCTCCGTGGAAGTACTCCGTTGGCAGCTTGATGGCCAGGCGTAACTGCCACAACATTATCATCCTCGTCAACGAACTCAAAGTTATACCGGGATAATAGGTGAGGAATGGCAGAGAGCTGGGGTCCATAACGGGCAGTGTTGTCGTATAGCTCGAAGAGAGGGACTGCTAGTAGCTTCATGTTCTTTGGAACTGAGAGAACTTCTGTATTAAACGTTAGCTTCACACTTCTCGTTGACGGCTTCCACACAAGGATCCCTTTGGTGCTGACAGAGGAATAAAAACATACTCTTCTTTGGAAGCTGGAGGAAATATAGCTTCTTGCACTCTTTGGGCCGGGTAACATGCCCTGGCAGGAACGGGTACATAAATGTTTCGAAGTTCGGTCGCCACCATTGTGCCAGAGTGTCGCCAACTTCCCAATCCTCGTTGACGCCTTCGCCGGTGAATTGTGATCCAACAGGGGCAAGTCTCTCATTTAACCTTGACTTGAATCCTTCGATTTCATCATCTGAATGCTGTAGGTAATCACCAGGTCTGCAAAGTAAATGGCCGTTAGTAACTACAGGGTTTCCAAGCTCGACGCGTACTACCGCCCTTCAGTGAGCAGAAAAGCTTACAGTTTGAAAAAAGCATTTGCGATCTGTAGCATGAGGACATGTGGATGATTATGTTCATGGCACACTAGTACACCTTCGCAAGTTCGGCGCATTCCATACTGCTCGTAATGTTCTTCTAAACGCTTTAGACGCGCCAGGACTGAAGGGTCTTCCTCGGGTTGCGTCTCCTTCGTGCCAAATGTATAATTTGATAGCGGATATAATCTGATAGTCTTTGGTTGGTTTGCAGAGAAGGGTTCGGGTATGATAGGACTAAAACGAGATTAATATCAGCAAATGCCAGAAAATAGTAAAAAATCATACGTGGATTGGGTATTGTATTCGGCTCTTCAAAAACTGCGGGTTTGAGAGATAGCGGAAAACTTACGGTCGTGAACTCTGCAGTGATATCGGGGATACTGCGGACATGGTGGCTAATAGTTCGACAGATAACTGTGCTCTAAAGACCTTATATCAACCACCGTAGGGATCAAGTAGATGTTTAGATGATGCGCCAATTCGTTGTTCTTCTGCTGCTTGCAAGCTTGAGCTTTTGGTCGTGCCTCCTTCAGTCATGTGACAAATACACCGGATAATCTATTTCCCGCAGATGCCGATTGCATAGATTACGTAATGTTCCGAGAAACCCCTGAGGGCTACCAGAATAGGAAAAAAGGTAGAAAAAAACCAAGTCTAAATATGCGAGTAAATACCTCTACATAATGGATTTCTAACACGGAGCCCGTCTAACATAAAGCATCCATACCACACCCTCCATGGCGCCCCACGTTGAAAAACATGCCCAAATCAAAGCCACGCCCTCATAAGTATACACCAGTTATCAACTGATTATTCAAGCGAAATCTATTTTCGGGGGTAAAATAGGTAGCTCTATCCATAATAGAAAGAGATCTATTGAACTTCTCGGTCCTAAAGTTTCGGATCAAAGTCTTCAAATTCTGACAAGTCGACCACCGGAACGGTTGCGGCGCTGACACTAAGGCGCGCTTTGAATTCAGGGACGTTGGTAATGTACGTTGGCTTGCGGTTGACAGCCTTTTCTCCATTGACAGCACCGTTCGTAGATTCTTCCTTTGATTCTGGTTCTTTGTCACCGTTGGTGATGGTTGTTATGCCGGCTTGGGAGAGCAAGGTTGGCAAGACACCCTTGGCTGGCTCTAAAAGCTTCGTGGTTTCGTCTTCAGCAAGTCGTAGGACAGAAGTCAGATAGTTGCGCACGGTAGAAATGATTCCATCCAAGTTATTGCTGGAGATGGTTATGTCCTTGAATGCCTCCTTGAACTTGTCGGTATCAACTTTTGCTCCGGCCGCACCAAGGAACTGCTCGATCTTAGAAACTACATCACCCTTTTGCTCCGCAGAAGCAACCAGGCTCGCACTTGCTTGTGCCTTCATGTGAACAGAAAGCTTCGCGCGAGTGGGGGAGTTGGGGTCGATGTACTGGCGGTAAAACGCGATGATATCATCCTTGGTCAGTTCATCTAGGGCCGCAGCGTCAACTTCATGCTGTGTGAAATCGAAATATTCAGAGCCAATGTGAGACCAGAACCGACTGGTTTCGGAGCTGAGGTTCTTCAGCTTTTCCAATCGCTTGTTGATTATGCTTCGTCTATGGCCTTCAAATTCGTCCTGAGACATTGAGAGAAGGGTTTCTCCGAAGTTTTCGAGGAAGGAATCAATGCGAGACTCGAGGTATTGGTTGTCTCGTTCACTTTGGATGATCACACGGTAACCCAGAGTGGTTGAGGAGTAGCGGGCACCACTCCAGACAACGTATCCGAGCTGCTCCTTGGTACGGAGTTGGTCGAACGCCGGTTCATTTGTCATTTGCCCAAAGAGCAAACATTTGGCACGTAGAAGTGGATCTGTCAAAGTTCCAACGAACAGATAGTACTCGATGCAGTGGTTGATGTTAGCGGGATCCTTGAGGGTCTCCTCGTAGATGTAATTGCTTCCAGGAGGAATGATCATATTCCTGCGTACGTGCCACTGGGACTGGGGCAGGACTCGTGGTTTAAGCGTAGATTCGATAAGGTCAGTAAGCTTCAAGGCGTCTTCCTTGTACAGGTTACCGTGGGCTAGGACTTCGATATGTGTTTGGCGAAGCAGCTGAGGGTAGAATGACGCGACATCCTCAAGTTCAATATGTTCTAGCTCAGGGGCCAACTGTTCATTTATCCAAGCTTTCTCTGCCGTCAAATACCTTGTGAAGCTTCCAACCTGGTAGTACGGGAGCTGGTACTCCGAGTTCTTATATCCTCGAGTCATACGCTCCTTGACGATTCTGAATCGATCAGGTTTAATCTCAAGGTCCCTCATGATCGTAAGGACTTTTTCAAGTAATACTGCCATCTTGTCATTGTACCCCACGATTGCTACTTCCAAGCCAAAAACGCTTGGAGATAGGTCATAGTCCAAACCTGCCAACTCTGCATCATATGAGTATTCCGTCAGGGCGTCTCTGACCAAGCTACAGTAAAGCTTGGCCATCACATTATTTCCCGGAGTCGCATACACCAGTGGGCTTCGCAGAGTAATCTCCAGCGCAGCCTTGGGGACCCAGAAAGTGTCATCTTTCTTGAACCAGGTTCTAACCTTCTCATCCATTCGAATCAGGCTCGGCCGTTTGGCAGGTTCGGCCACTTCCTTCTTTTCAACGTCTAGCCTAGTTGGAACAAATTCGTTCTTATGCGGCATGTGCAACTCCGGGATTCTGCCAGTAGATGTTTCCAGGGAATGGCGAATCTCAGCAAGTAAATCCTCTGGAACCCTTTCCACCTTGTATTCGGTGCCGTACCATTTCTCCCGCTTGTCCCAGCCGCCAGGGAAATTTTGAGATACGATCTCAATATTGAAGTTGTCCGCATTAAGATGAGCGAGCCCCTCTGAAATAAGCTCTGGATCGAATTTTCGCAACAGGGTCGAGCCACTCAAGAGCCATTCGCGAGGATATGGTTTCTGCATGATGCTGCTAAGGGCACTAGTGAATCGACTGGCTGGGGACTTTTGCTTGAACTTGAAATCCACTTCAGAGAGATTCTTCATCTCATCAAAAATCCACTGTTCGGGAGCTCGTTCCTTAATCAGAGAGATGTATTGGAAAACAGTCTTGACGACCTCCCGGTAATGTTGTAATCCATCCTCCGTCAGACGAATGGATACATTGAACAAGGATGATCCGGGGCATATGGGCATCGAGCCAGCCGAGAGTTCAGTTGCCCATCCCTTGGACTTGATGTAGGCCAGGATACTGCCAGGACCTTCGTGTCCGATCAGGTGGCTGATATACCGGCTAGGCTGGGACTCGTACAGATGGTCCTCATCCGGGTAAGGAAAGAAGATGTCCAAGGTCCTGCTATCCATCACGGGCTTTGCAAAAACTATATTCAGCATATTATCCTTCTCAAAAACCTCGATATCATCCCATCGATTCTGTGGCAAATCTTTGTTCTTGACGTCAGCAAACAACTCTGCAACCCACCCTTCTAGTTCATCCAATGGCTCTCTGCCCAAGACAACGAGCTTCATCCTATTTGCGGAATAGTGCTTCTCGTGAAACTTCATGAATTCACTCCGGACATCCAGCCCACGCTCTTGGGGATCATCACGCAGTGTCTTTAGATTTCCAGTTGAGAAGTGGTGGTAAGGGTGTTTTGGGTTAGAGAGAGACTTGTTTAGCTGTAGCATACGCCATGGATCACTCTGTAGGTTCTTCTTGTTTTCTGAATCGACAGCCTGAAGCTCACGATCGAGAGTGGAGGGAAGGAAGAGGGGAGCAATAAAAAATTGGGCGAATCGGTCAAGAGCACCGTACAATGGAGGCGTGAGGTCACTTGTAGACGAGCTGGCGCTGTTTGCAGCCCCTTCAACCGCGAGGTGGGACATCCTATCGGTCAACGTCCCTCCTGGCGTTGGAGCCTGGGACGGTGTGGCGGACGGAACGGCAGACGGGGCCTTGGACCGTGGATGGGAGGTAGCAGCAACCTCAAAGAAGTAGTTTGTCTCTGTTGCAGCCGTGTATGCATTAGAATGGCCTGAGTGTGCAGCAAGATACTGGTTATAGTCATTCTCCTTGGGGTACTGGAAAACAGCTTCATTAGCAACTTGTGATAGAACGTAATTAACCAGGACAACACGCACCTTTTCAGTGCCCATGAAGAGCAGATGCTCTACCGCATGAGCCATACCAGGCATGTCACTGTCGTCAGAGAAGTTCCCCACGTTGACGTTGACAGAGGCACTGGCCTTATCGGTATCTGGATCGTGGACCAGGAGAGCCTCCAGCTTGTTTGGCAACCTGATAACACGATACGTGCGGTTATCAACCGACGGCTTCTCCAGGCTATCAGCCAAACGCTCGACCTGCGCCATGGTTCCTAAACAAGACGACTGTGTGGACGCAGTGCTATACGTGACTCTCAACACTCCTCCAGGCTGCTGCTGCTGCTGCTGCTGCCAGACCGTCAACGATGAACGAGGAAGAAGAGCAGACGGCCGACAGAGAGGGGCCCGGGATGGCGAAAGTGAAATAGCCGGCCAACTGGAGGGTCGAAAACAGGCAGAGGAGAGAGTCCGACGTGAAGTTGCGTGGTGAAGCCTGCTCGTGAGGAACCTTGGAGGCATACAGGGGGAAAGCCAGCTCAAGAGTCGTCAGAATGACTGCTAGACGCCAACAACAGTGAGTTAAGGATGTCCTTCTACCGGAGCCTGCTAACACCACGACTTACTATGTATACCGCACTGCTGGATCCAAAGGGCATAATAATAATAAAGAAAAAAAAAAAGGGAAACGAAGAAAGTTGAACCGCGGCAAAAGGCAAAAAGAGGCCCCCCCCCGGATGGTGACACTGTGTTCCTTTTTTCGTTTTTGCTTTAACAAACTAGTAACAAAGCCCTATAAAGTGGTTCCCCCCCTTGTTCCTTGACACAAACAGTATGAGCTAGAAAATAGTACATGGGACGGTTAAGACACCCCAGAGACGATCGCCTGGGGTCGCAATACATGTCTAGCTCGTTCAACCCTGCTGCAGCCTGGGGAGGATCATGCAGGACGGGATGCCGTGTTGAAGGCCTGCGTAGGATTCCTCTTAGCAATCTCTTTCAAACAGTTTTAACGAGATACTCAGTTTTCTGTCTTCTGCATGGCTAAAAGACATCTTTGATCTCTGCATCGGCGGCTAAGTCGGTTAAGGCATAAGCGCTAGCTAGTTTACTTGCTGACATCTACTATTGCCTGGTGGCTTTTCATGACTCGCCAGCCTTGACAGCCTCTGCCCCTTGGGATGGCTTAGGAAGTGATGTCCTAGTACTTAATACTCAGAGCACCCCTTCAGACCAGTTACCGTAGTAGTAGCATCTTGCGGCGGGCCAAAGTATGCGTTTGCACTTGAACTGCCTTACCAGCTGTTCTCACTAAATATCTATCTACCTATATCTTGATAGGCCACTCAAAATAAAATTATTCAGAGAGAAAAAATGAACATACACAGGTCTTGCTAATTGAACACTAGTGATGTATATACACTATGTATGTTATTATTAGACTGTGTAAAAAATAAAAAAAAAAATCACAGCTCCTAGCCAGGATCGAACTGGCGTTGTTGGAATCAAAATCCAAAGTGCTACCACTACACCATAGAAGCGGGCCTTTGGAGGCAAAATCCCATGGGTTGTTTATATGTTGCACCCCATTCCGATGACGATATCCTGAATAACCGTAGAGTATCTTCTCGTTAAAGCCATTGACCGCATTACAGAGTGGATCATATATAAAATAAGAAGCAAATCATTATCCCTCATAAACAATGCTAGAAAGGTTCGTAAACTGGCCGTGTATATCTCTAACTAAATGGTATATCGGAAAGACGGAGACTCCTCGATTACCAGCTCTCCCCGATCCGCCTTTCGGTTAGACCTCCAGAAATACCAGCTCAGCGCCGCCGCAGTGATAAGAAGGATGAGCTGAGATCTGTTGTTTTAACACCGTTAGTAAATAGCGGTAATGTAAGGAGAGAAAACGTGACGTACGTGATTGCAGCCCAGATACCAGGAATGTACTCTGGTGCATCCTGAGATCTGAATACAAGACTGCCAGCAATGCCACCGATACCTCCGAGCCCAACCAAGCTTGCGCTGGCAAACGCTCTAGTCCACTGGCCACGGATATTATTAGCTTGGTAGGCCATGACAGAGGGGATATTTGCATTGGCTCCCGCTGTGGAGAAGAAGACTCCCGCATAGCGGAGTGCGCTGCCCTTTCCGAATCCCATCATTGGCAAGCCAATCAAGGTGATGAGGGCGTTGACGGCGATGACTGGTGCGCGGGTGCGGTATTTATCCGCGACCCAGGCGGAGGCGTACATTACGATTCCAGCAAAGGCATATGGCGGTGCACCCAGGCATAGTGACTCGCCCACGCTAAAGCCGATCCCATCGGTAAGGATGATAGGTAGGAAATACGCTATGGCGTATGTGACTGTCGTAGTGCAACTAGCAGAGCAAGTGGATCAGAATGAAGAAGTAAACAAACAAGCCAAGGTAAAGGAACACACATACAAGAAGAGCAATGCGAAGCCCCAGATCTTGAAGTCTAGTGCTGGACGGAGAAATCTCCCCAGGCTGAATGGTTCGACATGCACGTCACCACGATCTCGATTGACCCGTCGAATGACGAAAGCGAGCTCCTTTTCGTTCAGGAAACCCCAAGCTCCTGAAGCACGGTCTGGGAAATCGATCAGGAAGATATAGCTGAGGATAGAAACAACAATAGAGACCTGGAGGGTTCAGTTAGAGGAGTATATCTAAATGGTGTGTTTAAAGGCACTTACCACTCCTTCTATGATGAAGATCCACCTCCAGCCACGGATACCCTGAACGCCTTCCATCTGGCTAATACCAAATGCCAGGATACCAGAAAGTGAGCCGGCAACGGCGCCAATGATATAAAAGACGGAATACCGTTTTTGGACCTCATCTATATTTGATTGGTCAGACACACTTTTAAGCAGTATCTGCTTAGGGTAGAACTCACGTCGACAATACCAAGTGGACAGCAGATATACTGTTCCTGGGAAGAACCCGGCTTCAAGGATTCCAAGTAGTGCACGAAGACCAGCCATCTGCTGCCAATTCTTAACAAAGCCAAACCCCTGCCCGGAAAGAACTCGTTAATAGATGTTTTCGGAAACAGGAGACAATGAAGGTACATACTATCAAAATGGCACCCCATGTCAAAACAATCACGGATATAAAGGATCTTGGGCCCGCTTTTCTGATGATTACAGTTGCTACCGGCTGCGCAACAATGTATGTAATGAAGAACACCAGGACAATAATGGACTATTCAACGTCGTATTAGGATCTGGATCCAGCTTCTCCGATGGGTGTAGACGAACATATCTGAATCCTACTTTGAGGCCTAAATCTTTGGTCATACTATAGTATCAAACAGTCAATTTTTGTGTGGACGGGCATATCAGAGATTTGTCAAGGGACCTTACCCAGTAATGGCAGCTACGGAGGTGTTTGTCCTATCCATCAAACTGATGAAATATCCCACACCACATATCACCACCAACCGAGCATCAATACGGTGGATAATCTTGCGCTGCTCCTGACGGGAAAACTCTTCATCTTCATCCACATCCGAGGGACTGAGAACGTTCTTCGAGACATCATCAACATGGTCAGCACCAACCGGCGATATCTTTTCCTCATCAATCCCCATTTCTTCGGCCACAAGTCTGTCCCAAGGAATATGAACAACAGTCGCAGACTTTTGTAGGGAATAGTTATCTGCAAGCGTAACTAATAAAGCAATTAATATAAATAAAAAGTAAGAGAAGAATCCAGCAAGGGATCGGCGAGCTGGTTAAATATGTATCTGCAAGTATCTCCCCTTATATATAGGGGATGACTCCATATCCGAAGCGCGACTCCATGTTAAACAGGGCAGAATCACCCCCGTTCTAGACAAGGGCAACCATTTCCCCGCACACTACATAGTAGAAATACCCAGAGACTCCGTTCTTGACCTGCAAGAACATGGAATAACTGGAGAAATCGAGCCAATGAGCCCGGTCCGCGCTCTTTTGGGAGGCGATGCTAGACGGAACTAGACTGCCTATAGCGCCTGGCATGATAATCCAGGTTGGCCTTGCAACTCAATAAAGCTTGAAAACCGGGGGATTCGGACTGGGATACTCGATTATCAAAAAGGAATAGCCGAAGCTACCTTGATAACTTGATGAGCTGCCTCGGCTTGGATGTTAAAGAAGCCTTCCAGCCGCGAAAAAAAGGCGGCTGGAGACATGGAAGTTGCCCGTTTGAAACGAGGGGGGGAGTGAAGGCTTGGGATCAATGTTTCTCGTCTGTTTAGCCCCGGATTTCTATTTCTGGGGAAGAGGTGCTTCTTGGGGGGCCCCGGGATGCCACTAGGGGTGGATTCCAGTGGAGAGAGTGTCTCGTAACGACACGGTGAACTCCGTAGATCTGGAGAGATGCTGCAATGCATGCATGGATAGATGGATGGACTTGTAGATGTTCTGGTGATTGTCTGGGCCATTTCTTGTCCGATGTCCCATGAGTTAGTTATACACAGTTGGGCTTGTCGGTTTGTGGCCAACATGCATCGATGCCTTCCATTCAACCGAGAAACGAGACTGATTCCAAGATGCTGGAAGATATCCATCTGTCGCCTTTGAAAGATTAAAGAGACGGTAGATTAATCCTTTGCCATGCATACTATGTTGAAAAACCTTTTGATGGCCTTCGGTAAGAATCTCCACTCGATAAAAGATGCGCGAGGGGGTACTTGTACATAACGATACTTGCATATAATTCCACCAAAGTACCATCAACAACCAGTTTAGATTCAAATACTCCGACGTTCGCCCTATGCAAGGACTTGGACTACATCTCACTGCCTTGCACCGTTATTTCATTTGCTGCTTATGGTGTTGGTGGTTATGACAGCAGTGACTGAATCATATTGAGGATGTACGCTTTTGGTTATCACCTCCAAGTCGATACCGACCCTCTATCCAATGGTAGTTGATATATGTGTAGAAGCTATCGCATTCATGGCCTCAAGCTGGCAGCGAGAGAAAGGGTTAAATTAAGATTTCGTATATTCCATCTTAGCTATACAGCCGATTACGAGCAAGACATCCACTCCAGCCAGACATCAGACGTTGAAATCGTTAGAATTCACATAAACGAACTAACTAGATGGGGAATAATTAAAGCAGACATTATATGCCGTGGGACATGCATGCGTAGATTATTTAGATAGTAGAGAAGCAAGGCGAAACAACCAGTTCTAGACGGCGCCTGAAGCGTCGACGGCACCGGAATCGGCCAAGGCACTGCTCTTCTCGTCTGAGGGGGCGGCAGAGATATGGCCCATCTCAGCGGCGAAGGTGCTGTGAGGTTTCCACTTAGCGGATTTGATGGGAGTGGTCTCTTCCATCATCTTGTCGACTTGTTCAAGGGTGAGGCCCTTTGTCTCAGGGATGAGGAAGAAGGCGAATATGAAGCAGCCTACGCAGAGCGAGCCCCAGATGAAGAACACTTTGGCGCCCAGGTTGGCCTTATCGGTTCCTACGAGGAAGGGGGTGATGACGGCGATGATCTAGTTTCGTTAGCATGTGTATAAAGCGGTAGGGATGGGGGATGGGACATACGCAGTTCCAGAGCCAGTTGGAGGCGGTAGAGAGACCGACGCCTCTGGATCGGATGGGCAGGGGATAGATCTCTCCGATGACGACCCATGCGCCTGGACCCCAGGTGGAGGCGAAGAAGAAGATGTAGATGCAGATAAGCGCGATCATGGCCTGGACAGCCTTCCTGTTTTCGCCGTCCGTGACACCAACGATGGCAACGATGAATTCACATGTGAACATGCCGACGGCACCCCAGATGAGCAGCGCACGACGACCGAACTTCTCAATCGTCCAGAAGGAGATCGGGGTAGAGCAGACGTTGACCAAGGTGGTGATCAGGCCGATGAGGAAGGGATTGTCGATGGTTCCCAGGTCCTGGAAGAAGGTGGTGCCAAAGTAGAAGATGAAGTTGATACCGGTGAACTGCTGGAACATCTGCAGGGAGGTTCCGAGAATGATACGACGGACGTTGCTGGCCGGGTTGAAGAGGCTGCCGCTGAAGCAATGGAACCAGGAAGCCCAGTATCCGTTGGGGACGGCCTGCATCTCGTACTCGTTGTTGGCAATGATTTCAGCCAGCTCCTCACGGATATAGTCAGAGTCTCTGTCCTGGCCTCTGAGCCGGGCCAGCACGGTCTGCGCATCCTCCATCTTGCCCTTCTTGACGAAGTAGCGAGGAGATTCGGGGAGCAGGAAGAGTCCACCGCCCAGGATGAGAGCCCAGAGCATCTGCAGAGCAATCGGGATACGGTACGAGCCCGAGTCCTGGCGGGACTGGGTGCCGTAGTCGACACAGGAAGCCAGCAGCAGGCCGACGGTGATGCAGAATTGGTATCCCGAGACGATGGCGCCTCGCACCTTTCTGGGCGCAATCTCAGACATGTACAGGACGATGATGGCTGAGACGAAACCCACGCCTATACCTGCGATCAGACGGCCGGCCACGAGCAGGTTGAGTCCCGCGGAGGCCGTCTGCAGGATGACACCGACGATGAAGATACCGCAGCCAATGATGATAGTGGTTCGACGGCCGATGAAGTCCGCCAAGTCACCAGCGGCGATAGATCCGAAAAAGGTACCAGCAGAGAGGATGGAGGTGATCAGAGACTTCTGCCACGACGGCAGGGTAAACTTGTCTTCGTTTGGAGGCGGGAAGTCCGACTTCTTGAGGCCGGTGAAGAGAGTGATGAAGTACTCCATGCCCATGACGCCGTTGATGTAGCCAGAGTCGAAGCCAAAGAAGATACCTCCAAAGGCAGCGAAGGCGCACATGAAGTACGCCTTCATCGTCACCGGCGCCTCGACGCGCGAGACATCTGTTGTGCCCGCCATGTCTGTCTATCTCGACTGCTTGTTTCTGGTGATAGAAATTGTTTTGAGAGGAAGAAGCCAGAGGAAGAGAAGCCCGAGAGGAAGAGCTCTTTATCAGTTCTCTCTTTGCTTTTTTTCTGGTGCAACAGAAGAGGGAAGACAAGGGGAGAGAAAAGACGGGAGGCCCTTGAATATATATATACACACATATACGGAGTATATAATATATATATTTGTGCTCTTATCCATATAATAATAATAAGACTTAGCTCGGTCCCTCCCTTGGGTGCTACTCAACGATACTGCATGGCGATGTTTCCCTTTCGGCGACCCCAGCCTGATCCCTGGTAAATCATGGATTTATTTTACGGCCCATAACATGGTCTCGATGAGTATTTGTATATCTACCTTCTCGTCAGCCATATATATATATATATCAACAGTCAACAGTATCAGTGTAGTATCAGCAGCACCAAAGTCCAGTATCAACCACATCAACCACACAACACCAACATCATAAAAGGTCAAAAGAGCGTTCGACCTGGGGAAATGCAAGTTCCATACTCTGCCCAAACTCACCGAAGTCTTCCCTGTCCCTTGAAGCTAAGCTTGCTCCAATCACCGTCAGCGTCTCCATCCTTCGAGCCCCAACCAGCCAGTCTAACTCGACCAAGAAAAAAAAAGCAACCAGGGGCAAAAAAAAAAGGAAGAGAGAAGGATGGGACGATGTCACCCTGGGCTACCACTGAGAGTGAAGAAGGTGGACGAAGCCCATGGCTCGGTTTTCCCCGTCGACCAGACATCAGGAGGGAACGCCGAAGGAAGTCTTCTCCATACATCCATGGGACGCTCGCGTGGTTGAACTCGACTCTTGGAGATCAACAGGTCGACCATGTGGCGAGTCTCCGTATCAGAAGACGAGATTTCATTCTCCACTCGATGTTACTTGCCAACCCTGCATCTCATCAAACTTGTCTTTCATCCCAATGAATAGCGGAAGCGTACACAGTACACGGAGTACGAGCGACGGGTTGGTAGGAACCAGACAAGCTTTTGTGGCCTGCTCAGGCTGAAGCCCTAAGTCAGTTAACATATCGCTAACGACGGTCAGGATGCTTAACTTGGGGTCTCCTCATCCTCTTCTTCCTCCTGTCTTGGTTGGTCTTCATGTGTGGGTTACATCCGAACAGCTGAGAAGAGCAGAGAAGAAAAGGGAAAAAGGGAAAAAAAATTCTCCTCTGGGGACCCAGAAACGGGCCCGGCCGTGTGACTTACAGTTTAATTTCCCATCTCCATCTTTTTTCTTCTTTTTTTCATGTCACGCCTGAGGATGGAGATTTAAGCAGTTGGTTTCGGACTTTTGGACGTTATAGTCTTTTTTTTCCCTCTTGTGATGTACACACGGAGTAGAACCAGCCGCTTAGCATACATGCATTAGTCGTTACTCCATGATATTACGATCCACAGCCTCGATGGATGGTTTCATTGGATGAACGGCCAAGGGCACGGATTGCATCTTTTATTACTGAGTAAGTAGTTATTGACAGCGATAGGTTGGCTTCTCACGTCCCACTGCACAGAGCACAGGATGATACTTCCATGGCAAGAGGCGTCCAGACTTTCATCCACCCGTTAAAATGTGCGAAGTTATTTATGGCGAACGTTCAAGAACTGCTCTCTGACGCCTCGGCCTCGACCCTCTCCTCTATCCACTTGAAGACGTCCTCTTTGTGGTTGACGAGCATCTCGTTCAAGGTGTGCGCTTCCGTCGACTTGACCAGCCGTCCATATCGCTTGAACTGTTTCTTGTTCGACTCCTGGCCTTCCCACACCATGTGTCGGTGAGAGACGAAGACGATAGAGTTCTGTTTCTCCCCTCCTTATCAGTGTTTTTTCTTTCCTTTCTTTACATGTAGCCGGATGCGTGGGCTTGCTGGCACTTACCTCTTTGTACCATTTGGAGAGCCAGGTGATCGTGGTGCTTGCCACGGCACGCACGGGGTTTTCCGCGACAAAACAGATCACGCCGCTTACCATGGTGTGCACCCTCTCTATAGCAATGCAGAAAACATGGGGTTAGGAAGGTTTACTTTTTAAACATGAGACAAGACGGAAGAGTTTTGTACCTTTGTTTATGAGTAGGTTAGCCAGGCCTAAGAAGGCATCGCCGACACCCATGAAGAAGATGCGGCTGGTGTCATTGACCCTATCAACTGTTAGTTTCCACGTAAATCCTAGCCGAGAACCAGTCGATAAACGGATTATGGACGTACTCGATGTAGTTCTCCCACAGGTACTCCGCAAGTTGTTCCGAGTACAAGGCCCTGTTCGGGCTTTCCCGCTCATAGCTCTTGGAGTTCTGCTGCCCGATGGATGTCAGTTGAGCGCCGCCAATAATAATAACTTTAACTTACGTCGGCTTCTGATATGTGCTTCGGGATATTGACATCTATAACTCCCACGTTATGTTCAACCGCCCATGAAATATAATCCTTGACATTATCAGCCTTGTTTCCGGTTAGCTATTCGATTACACTTTTTTCCCTTCTCTTTCTTCTATTTTTTTTCATCTCTTTTCTCAGGTTTGCTGCGGGCTCAGCGGCCCAGAGGGGGATGTCATACCAGCCAAGTGTTATGAGCCTCCAGCACATTTGTCACTGGGTGTGGAATACCCATCAGCTCGGGCCTGTTAAGAGTTGCACACACGTTAAAATTGCGGGTACGGCAGACATGGTTGACAGGCTCAACAAAGGGGGTGTCATATGGTCGGACCTGAGAGAAGGGGGTCAATGTAGGGCAAAGACTTACGGGTCGTGGAATATGACAAGCAGAGTATCAACTTTGTCGTAGTTGTTGCTGTGTAACCACACTCCATGTCAGATCGCTTATTCAAAGTCAGTGGCGGGGATCCAGGCTTCCTCACCTCGCAAGCACTTGGTTCTCGAACGATTTGGAGATTGCGTCTCGGTAGATGTACAGGCTAGTGAGTTTATGATCGTCGTAGAGCTGCTTCGCTTGATATTGGCGGATGATATCTAGGCAAAGTGGATTAATGCATCTATCTCCATATTTCCCCTCTTTTATCTCATGCTGCTTACCGTGGACACGGTTTCCTGCAAAATTCGACGACGGGCCTGAAAATATAAAGTAAGTATCAACAATAGGCCAATTGGGGCATGGAAAGAGACACACCCTTCGGATACATGCATTTCCAGTACCGCGCGTGCATCATAGCAACTTCCCGCACTGTCTCAACTGCCGGGCGGGAAGCAGATGGGGCAATAAGGCGGTCTGGCGGCTCCCCCATCAAAGTCCTCGTAACTGCAAGCGCCGATTTAGAGATTGATCGGAAATTATAGCCTCCTTCAAGGCATACGGCAACTTTCCCGTTGGCAAGGTTCATCAGCATGCGCGTCATGTGTGAGTAGCAGGGTGGAGTAACGAAACATCCTCCTAGCTCGTCCCCGGCAGCAGCGTCGAATCCGGCAGAGACTATCATTTTGTTAATCTTAAACAATTCGTGGTGGAGTATGCATGGCGGAGAATTAATGCAGTATAAGACTTACTTATGACCAGGTCGGGATCGAATTCATACCCAATTGGCATGACAACTTCTTGGAAGGCGTAGAGATAGTCTCCGTCTCCCATTCCCTGGGTCGGCCAGGGGATATTGACGTTTCTTAGCAAATGCGTTAGTACGATAACGGCTGTCAACGTGAGCAAAGAAAAAATCTTAAGACGCACTTCCCGAGGCCTAGTCCTTCACCGCAATAATCCCAGTTGCCTTCATCGCCTCCGGGGTAGAAGCTGCCGTCTCGATAGACGTGAATGGAAATATATAAAACGTTTGGATCATTATAGAACATCCTTTGAACCCCGTTGCCTTCAATAGGTTAGTACACGTGCATTTGCGTGCTAATGCCTACACCATATATACACTCACCATGATGAACATCCCTATTATAAGTCCAGTCAGCTCTAGTTCCGTCCAAAGACCTGCTACGAGAAATATCTCAACTTACCAGTCCAGTATCATAATCTTACGACACTTGTCGCCAAGGATCTTCTGACACGCCCTCGCAGCCACAGAGACATTGTTAAACAGACAGAATCCCATCGTCTTATTACTCTCTGCATGATGGCCTGGAGGACGGATGACGGCAATGGCGTTCTTGACTTTCTCTTCTGCAACGGCTTTACATGTCTCGATGGCACCACCGCACGATAGGAGTGCAGATGTGAAAGTTAGCGAATTGAAGTAGATCGAGTCACGGGTTTGTTCAAGCTCAAGCAGCTCATCTTCCGACATGTCTACTCCATCCCATTAGCATAGATAATATATAACAAAAGAACGATATGGATAAATTAGGTGATTTACAAACCCTTTGTGTTTTTGACAAATTCGTAATGTTCCTTGGTATGCACCAAGGTGATTTCTGCTTCCGTTGCATCCCTTGCCTCAATCCTCTTCAACGGCTGAGGTACCAACGACCCCTGAAACTCGCCCTCATCAGCAATCAGACCTGCCCTTCCCAGCTCGCGATAGATATAATACACGCGCCTGGGATCTTCAGGATGCACATCCAACGTCGGCTTCACTTCACAATGATACCGCATCCGATTATCATAGCAATATCCCGTTGGAAGCTGAGCACGATGCAACGCCCTGCTGCGCCCCTCATGGTGATCAGCGGACCAATCCGAGTCTTCAGCGTCTTCATCTACGGCACTGTCAGGTTCCGGCTTGATATGTCCTGTCGGACGAGGGGTGCCGGTAGTAGGATCGTTGCCAGGCGTAGAGATACCAGCCTGATGGTCTTCAATTTCCTTGACCAGCTTTGCGGGGCTATGTACCTTTTGATGAAAGGTTGCTAGGAGAGACTGGGTTTCTTTCGTGCCGTTCTGCGCTTCTGGTGTGAGGGATTTGTCCTCCGCGGATGGGGGAGAAGGACGACCGCCTCCGATGGGGATGGTGGTGTGTCCTGTGGGGAGTGGTGCGCGGGCTTCGCCCATGACCACGTCTTCGTCCCCGTCCATGGTCTTGGGCCGTTTTTGGTATGTGTGCTGTAAAAGGTACGAGAGGGTCGATGTCAGAGCACAATGGTCATAGTACAAGCAGGTATCATCAAGGTAGTGTCTCGAAATGTCCAATTCCTCTCCTTATCCACTGGAGAAGTCAGAAGTGAAGAACGGCTATCTTAGAAAGGGTGGGTGGCAGTGGGATGACTTTTCCAACAATGCTGGCTCCAGAAGGAATGGCGAAAAGAAAACAAGCAAGCAACAAACTTGAAATACAGTCAAATACATAAACCCCCCATCAATTGACATATGAATTATCACTGATGAATAAGGAAAAGTGGGAATTGACAATTCAGTAAACAAAACAGCCGGTGGTCTCAGCAAAGGGAGCTCCTTTGAGCATCAACACAACAATGCGACAGGGAAGTATAGGTATAGATGGGGGTCAAAAGACACAAGTCACTATGAGGAAGAGGCACATAGATGGTGATCTATATGATAGACTGGCAATCTAAGCTGCCAACTCCAGGGTGTAGACGCGGGTATAATGCACACCCTGCTGGAGGAAGATGAGAGATTCAAGCAATTATTGAAGCTTTGAAGGGTAACTTTTTTGCTTAAGAAAGATGACAGACTCACGTGATGTTTAGTGATAGACGGCACGTGATCATCTCTGAGAAAAGCAGAAGAAGAAAAGGATAAATAATTTGATGAAATTAAAGGGGTCTAAGGTTGGTTGTTGGAAGGGAGATTGTTGCATATAGCTAAAGCAAAGGGCGTGAGGTTTCATTATCTCGCTGTCTGTGCCGAAACAGCTTCGAGACAGCTTCAAGACTACAAGTGAGTTCACATAAGACAATTCAAAATGGTTGACTTTATTTGATTCAGTGATATTTGATATTCATATTTAATTCTTTAATATGAGTATGAGCCCGAGCCAGGCAAGGAAAGAGATGTTACATTCTTCTTTTTTTATTTACTTTTCCGGGGATGTACCCACTTCAACTGGTCGACAGCGGGGGGGCGACGGGATGGGCTAAGAGAGGAAAGGAAGTTGACGCTCGATCTAGAGCATGCTCCGTTGCTCCGAACTTCCTGTTAATTGCTATTTGCTGCCAGCATCGACCTTGGAGATGTAGGCTGTGAAAGGCAAACGGTCAGCCGGAACCAGTATGAGGAATCCAATGGAGTTAAATGATTATGGTGGCTTACAGATGAGGTCAACGACACGGCGGGAATAACCCCACTCGTTGTCATACCAGGAGACGAGCTTGATGAAGTTCTCGTTGAGAGCGATACCAGCTCCAGCGTCGAAGATGGAGGAGTTGGGGTTGCCGTTCATGTCAGTGGAGACAATGGCGTCCTCAGAGTATCCGAGAATGCCTATACTGCGGTTAATTGAACTCTACATGCCATTGGGCCAAGAAAGAAAACCTGCAGAAGACATACCCTTGAGCTCGTTCTCGGAAGCGGCCTTCATGACCTTCTTGATCTCGTCATAGGTGACTGGCTTCTCGGTGCGGCAGGTCAAGTCGACAACGGAGACGTTGGAGGTGGGAACACGCATGGACATTCCAGTGAGCTTTCCATTGAGCTCTGGGATGACCTTTCCGACGGCCTTGGCGGCACCGGTGCTGCTGGGGATGATGTTCTGAGCAGCGGTACGGCCACCACGCCAGTCCTTGCCGGAGGGACCGTCGACGGTCTTCTGGGTGGCAGTGTAGGAGTGGATGGTGGTCATCAAACCTTCCTTGAGACCCCAGTTCTTGTGGACGACCTTGGCGAGGGGAGCAAGGCAGTTGGTAGTGCAAGAGGCGTTGGAGAGGACCTGCATCTCGGGCTTGTAGTTCTCCTCGTTGACTCCCATGACGAACATGGGGGCGTCAGCAGAGGGAGCAGAGATGATGACCTTCTTGGCACCTCCCTTCAAGTGAGCGCTGGCCTTCTCGGTGGTGGTGAAAACACCGGTGGACTCGACGATGTACTCGGCACCAGTCTCGGACCACTTGATGTTGGCTGGGTCACGCTCAGCGTAGAATCTGACGTGCTTGCCACCGACGATGAGGCCCGTGTCGTCGTGCTTGATCTCATCCTTGAATTGGCCGTGTTGAGAGTCATATTTCAACATGTATTCCTGGGTTTCCCTGTTAGCAGTTGAACCCGAAAGGAATCAGAGAATTGACATACGGCATATTTGGTCTCGATGAAGGGGTCGTTGACAGCGACGACCTCGATATCTGGGTTCTCATAGCTGTAGTAGATATCTGGTCAGAACAAGGGAAGGAAAGAAACCATCCATCCAGACTCAACTCACGCATTGCGGAAGACAATTCTGCCAATACGACCGAAGCCGTTGATTCCGACCTGCGACATTCCTTGTTAACCGGACGAACTGCTGGGCTGGCGATGTCTATCTGTGTGTACCTTGACGACCATGATGGCTGATGTTTCTGTATAGGCGGGGTAGGTCAGTTACTATATATCAACCAACATCAACACAAACAAACATCTATCTCATAAACAGGCTCTACAGAGCATCTTACCTAGAAATGACTTGTAGCGGATGAAGCAGAAGAAGAAGAAGAAGAAGAAGTAGCTGAGATGGTGAAGGGATGAAGAGAGCAGGACGGGGGGGAGAGCGAGAGAGAGTGGGTGGGCGAGGGGCAAGTTAATAAATAACGCGGCCTCCACCCCGTCTTGTCTTTTTTCTTGCTCTCCCGACTGACGCAACAGAAACTTACCCTGGGAGACTTTTATTACTCTCTTCCTCTCTTACATACATAGTAACGAGTGACACACCAGGGGCTGCTTGGGTCTTCCGTCTGGCTTATCGGAGAACAACCGCCCGCGACAGACTAGCAAAACATGGATGTCGGACAGCTTCCTTCTTCTTCCTTTCCTCCCTGCAAAGAGTTCCCCGAGATGTCCCGTCGAGCAAGACGTTCGGGTGGTTCGTGGACATGGCTGTCTTTTCTTCCCCTAGTTGACATACCCACCCTGGCCGTCTTCCCTCTCCTTCTCTCTTCTGCTACCACAGCACGCCTTTCTGTCTCTTCTACTCTTCAATTCGTCTTATTCTTCTACTTCTATCGGTTTCATCTAGTATATTCTTTTTCCTGCTCAAAAAGCTTCTTGATCCCAGCGGCAAACTTGAAAAAAACACTCTGCTGCATTAGGAGTGTTTGTCCGGTCGGCTAAACGTTAGCCCGCAAAAAGAGCCGTCGAGCCGAAAGTCAACATGTCAAAATGAGACTCTGGACGAGTATGGTTACTTGACTAATAGTTAAAAGACGTGTTGAAGTCTATATATCGTGCATATTGAAGGAAGGGCAGGCTTGCAGCGCATGAGCGTGCTTGCGGAGTAGGTCCTGTTGGATCCGATCATGCCTAGTGACGACCCGATGGTTCTTGCCAGGAAATGGAGGCTCAGACTCCGGCTCAGTCTTGGGGCAGATCAACAGCTTTTCATATTTTGCTTCACTCTGGCCACTGGAAAAGTGGCTACTCGAAAAGTCGCCGAGTGCAATCAGTTGCAGTGATCGAAATCCGTCGGGCCCAAACGCCCATTGAGCAAATGCGTCAAAGGTCATTTCATTTTCTTCTGGTTCATTATTAAGCCCAGGACAATCGACGACCGATGGTGTTTCTGGGTCTTCTGGGCACTGAAAATAATGTCGGACGAACCAACTGCATCGTATGATCAAGACTTCAAGGCGGGCCATAGTCGTGAGCGGCGACAATACTGGCATCTACGATGTCGACTTTCACATTAGCTTACTTCTTAATCATCTTGACATAGCTTTCAGGCTGGACAAACCAAGTATTCGGCGTTGTAGTTAATTCCAAGCAACTCCAGGTCCAGTTTCCCAAGAGGATTCCACTCGGGGCCCGCCCCGCGGTAGTAGGGTTCTTCGTATAGAAGATTGGCCAGACCATACGGATTTGTGTCCATAATGTTACTCGGTTCACCCATGGTAGAGTAGTAGGTAAACGATTTGAGAGTGGGTCGGTGTCTAAGGAGTGACTGCCAGACCTCCAGGGTAACCGCCGATTCCCTCATAGACACATAAAAATTCTCGAGGGGCTCACATCCGTCGAGAAATCGTACAAGGTCCATGCTCTCTGTACTTTGGTCCCCCCAGTCCGTCCACGATTGTATCTCCACAGTCCGCAAGTGAAACGAGGGTCTCGCAGCGTTTATTTGGTCTAGAAATCTCGGCCAGGAAGGACAGACTCTGATAGTTAGGGTATTTAGCACCTCAGGATCCAGGCTCCCCAGCAAGTCAACGTCATGGCCGAAATTGAATCCTTCCAGAGAGAGATGCTGTAGAACCGGGAACTGGAATCTTTTGCCGTCCGGACCTGCCTTTACAATCTCCCCTGAAATAGTTGCATAATCATTATTAGGATCATAGTATATGTACTCCCAGTGCGAAACTTCTAGTCCAAGATGAACTAGCTGGTGGCTGTTGGCCTCTAAGCAGCGCCGCAGCATCTTTAGTTCCTTATCACATGGGTTATTGACAGGCCCTAGATCATTCCATGTTAGGCTTTTCAGACGGGTGAACAACTGGGGTTCATGTGCCTGAAGTGTACAAAATGAAGCAACATCTATATGAAGCGACTCAATAAACTTCTGCCTTGTCGGTAGATATCCATCTCGTCCCATGACTTCGGGAGGGATGCAGTCTTTTCGATACCAGCTATCATGTCTGATGTCAGTACTTCCTGTAGCTATAGCACCATTTTGCTGGGTTAAGAGTATCTTCACTCACCCAAAGCTCCTTAGTGACCCCTCCCTGCATCTAATCAAAATGGACAAGACTCTACGCCTGTATCCAGTGAAGCCTGGGATAGCGTAAAATTTGGCTTCGCCCTCAGAATCTATCCACCGTTCCTTATCCGCCATCTCGGCAATGCTGAGATCCTCATAACCTTCTTCGTCACCTGGGGCATCAATATTAACCGCATAGTTCTTCCGTTCATCATCAATGGTCGTAGGTTCATAGTCGAGGTGGCTACAGGAGTTGGGGAGCATAGTCAACAAATTATCACGTTTTTCGCTCCAGACCTGGATGTCCCTGGTATGCAGGAGTACACCAGCCCTCTGATGAGCCTTTATTATTCCATTATCTTTCCTGGGGGTTGAAATGATGATATTCGTGTATAGAAACGGGTTTGCCAGCTTGTTAAACTGCCGTGATACTTCAGACAGACTCTTGAAGTCAAGTCTACCTTTGATATTGGAGAAAATGACATAAACAAGCTCAATGGGGAGTTTGTCTAACATATTGTTTTGCTGGAACGAAAGTGATGAATATGCGGGTATGCTGGTGTTAAGGGATCCAAATGAGAGAAGGGTATAATGAAGTATTTGCAGCAGTATATTCAGAGTAAAATATGGCTAAAGTGGAAAAGCACTCTGTTCTAAACAGCAGGGGTTAAATTTAACTGACTAAGCGAATGCACAATTATCAGCCAGGCCTTGTATGATAACGATGCCTCTACCAAAGATAACGCAGAAGAGGAACCATACCCGCGTCATTTCTATTAAAATATGTATTCCGCTGAATCTATGGTTTTTTTATAGAGGCCAAGCCAAGGACAGATGCATAGCCCATAAGAAAAGGAAAAAAGGGAATATTCATAAACCGGTAAAACAGCGCATAGCTTCATAATACACAATCCCGTCCCGTCCCGTCCGTCCAAGATGAAAGGTCACCAACTCCTTATTCCTCCTTTGCGCCACCCCTCCAGTTCTTCTCGGCAGACTCAACGCTGGCCTTGTCAGTCTTGACTGATGGCTGTCCCATGTTCATCAGTCCACCGGCAGCCTTCCATGGTCTCTCCAAGTCACCCTTGGCGGGAACGTTGAACAAGTGGACTTTGACAATGTTGCTCTCCAGGGCGCTCTTGATGGGGATGATAGACTGCATGAGGAGGGGGTTGGTGTATTTGAAGTAAAGGTGCATGACAGCCATCATGCCGACGCCCATTAGCTGCGACTTGAGCGCAGCACGGAGTTGCTGTTTGTCGTATTCCTGAACAGTGGTTACAACGGGACGGGGTTCGTCTTGGGAGCCCATGGCCGGGGGTTCGACGTATTTTAGGGTTTTCAAATCTGCGTTTCGTTAGTGGTGGGCTGAGCTAGGGCAGAATATAAGGCAGGCAAAAGGTAGACGCACCTTTCTTCTGAAGAATAATGGTGTAGATGTAGTAATACAGAGCGGCAATGGCGATGTTAGTGGCAATGTAAAGGGTGCGAACGCCGAGGAGGACATCGGGGTTATCGAAGGGAATCTTCTTTGACACCTGCATCATAACAAGAATGATGGCCAGGTTGGTTCTATTGACAAAGGTTAGCATGTTTCTCTCGCTCTTCTACCCTCACCAGAGCTATATCCAGATGCGCACGAGGGCTCCTCCAGCCGGATCAAGCCCGTGTGCTAAAAAAAAGCGGTCAGGGGGCAGCTTACATTTGGGGGTTAAGCATTGAGAAGGCCATGATGAATGGTGGTACAGCCAGGCACTGCAGACAACGACAAGGCAAAGGCAGAGAGGAGGGAAAGGGGTATATGAAGAGGGCGATGCGATGCTGCAAATCCCAAGGCTGCAAGGGCTGGAAATATATAAAAAAGAAAAACCGTGAAAAGTTTCCTGGGGCCACCAAAGCTACAAGTCACGTGTAGATTACATAAGCCTGTCTCTCTCCTCAAGTGAGAACCTCAAAAGAAGAAGAGAGCAAAGGAGAACGGAGGAAGAATGAAGATGGAGATGAGGACGGGGACGATGAAGATGCTGAAGACGAAGGCATGTCTCTGTACGGAGAGAGGGCCTGGTGCTGCGCCAGCGACTTCAGCCTTCTCTCCTGACTGAGTCACTATACTCTATATAATATGGATGTTGGACAATACTGGCAAGATGGGCCTCTATCGACTTACTACTCCAAACTACTACTGCCACCGCTGACCACTAACATATCCTTTTACAGATAATACTGACTATTAACACTGACAGTAAATACAGGAATACTCTCCTCTCCCCGGTTTCTTCTTCACCACTGCTCGTCACTACCTCCTCTACTCTCCCTTCACTGTTTACTCCTTATTGAATCCCCCCCCCCGTCCAAATCCGGTCTAGCGCCCCTTCTCCCTACAGCGAGAAAAAAAAAACAAAAAGGGCCCGCTATGACCAACATCGACCATTAACGAGATAAACTTACATTATCCCTCCAAACCCTCAACTCAACCTGCCAGGCAGCAGAAGAAGAAATACACGCGAACACACATCATCCCCGCCCTACAGCACACCAGCTTCGACGCGCCATAGCACCGTTAGCACACCTTGCTGACAACAAAACGAGATATACAAGGATACAAACATGCCAGGAGGTAAAGGAAAGTCCGTAGGAGGTGGAAAGGCCGCGCCCAAAGATGCCAACGGCAAGGGACCACGATCGCACAGCGCAAAGGCTGGACTGCAGGTTCGTTGATTTCTCGATTTATCACTCGCTGGATGGCCGCCAGTCTCTTCGTTTTTTTTTTTTGTCCGTTTAAGGACTGGATGACACGTGTTTGTTGGTCGTGTATACGCAAAGAAGAACAGACGCGCATTGAAATGTTATCTAGCAGTCCAGGCGATGCCAGATGCTAACAAGGCCACTGTAGTTTCCATGCGGTCGTGTCAAGAGATTCCTAAAGAGCAATACGCGCAATAAGATGCGCGTTGGTGCCAAAGGTATGTTTTGTTACCCTCTTTTCTTATTCTTAGGTCCGATCAACAATCTCACATCCCCCGCAGCTGCAGTTTACACCACAGCCGTCCTCGAGTATCTGACCGCCGAAGTTCTCGAGCTCGCAGGCAACGCAGCAAAGGACCTGAAAGTCAAGCGTATCACGCCACGACATCTCCAACTCGCCATCCGTGGTGATGAAGAACTTGACACTCTCATTCGCGCCACCATAGCCTACGGAGGTGTCCTGCCACACATCAACAGAGCACTCATCACTAGCGCCGACAAGAAGAAACACGGCTAGATCTAGTCAACACGTTTTTCCACAACCCCATCAACCATTCGATTTTGACATCGAGAAATCACCTGTTACGCGGCGTTCTTTTTCCCCCTGCTTTATTCGCTTATCGACCAACTACAAATATCCTTACTCCATGCCTTGCCTTTGTGTTGCTACTATATGAATTACGCGTTGCGCGCGCTGGTATTGCTTGACTTGGGAACGAACCCCTTATTATCTACAGAAAGAAACGTATACGCTTACGCCTCCCGCCACTCAAGTTTTTCTTATCTCGCCCTTGCTTGCCACGTGTTGAACGCCAATGGAAGTCAGATCCAGATGACGAGCTCTGCTTTTCAGGCCAAGTTCTTTTTCTTATAAATGCACTCCCACCAGCATCCCATACCAGCTGCATAACAAGGGCAACTCAGAGTCATATATCAAACAGGTTTTTTTTTTCCCCTTCCCTTCCCTTATATCCTCTTTGCTTTTTTTACTTTAACTTTAAAGTTCCTTTTTCCACTTCTGTCATATGTCATATTATATTAGGGCGCTGTTTAATAACGGATGGCAGATGGGATGCGGTGGGGGCTCTGGCTTGCTGGGAACTGTTTCTATCAAAAACACCTTGACAAAACGGCTTGCATGCTTTTCTTCATTCGCGTTCTATATGTGACTTATCTGGTTTATTCGAAGGTTTTTTTAAAGGTGGGACAATTATAACTATCAGTTTCTTATGCTTCTCTGCTGTGTCTTCCGCCCAGGTCGAGTGAACATACTATGCTCACCACATATTAAAACGTAGTCACTCCTCTCAAGCCAATGAAACTGATTCTACCTTGCACTTGCTCTCTACCATAGTAACTACATGTATGAAAAAGTATATCATAGTAAGAGACATACATGGCTTTAGAACAAGTCTATTAGTGAGAAACTCGAGGTACTTGCTATATCTACATGACATGCTTCAAACATCAACAAGTAATAAACAAATACAAAACATCAAGATGCAACAGGCAAAAGCAAAGACACAGGTAAAAACCACATTCTTTTCCTCAGACCGGAAATGCTAGTTCGGCTTTTGAAGGCGCTTACAACTGTGTGCATATGGACATCCAGAATCTCATCATAGGAAACCCAACTTCTTCAACATCCATCGCTGACTCGAAAGTCTAGGAATACCATCATTGTCCGTGGACTCAAGTGTATCAAGAACATGTCATCGTCGCATGGGGAAGGGAAAGGGTTTGTTGTCTAGGCTCAGCAGAGTGTGTGACACGCCAGTTCTTTGAAGCCGAAGCCACAAGAAAAAGCATATGTCATGCATCTCTTTCAATCATCATAGCCAAGTATACCGATATATATCGGTATATGCCAGTGTATGTGTGTGTGTGTGTTATCTGGCCAAAGGGTGTAGCTCACAGGGGAAAAGGGGCAAGGGGAAGAGAAAACACCCTAAGCAACGCAAGGAAGCTGGGAAACAATCTCTTGTGTGAAGTGAGAGAGTGGTAGATACGTACCTATAGTGTGAAAAAATAGATTTGATATGTTGGTTTGTAGGGGTTGTTGTTTTGGAGCGGAGGAGGTTGGTTTGAAGGAGAGAGAAAAGCTGGATGAGGCAGAAGAAAGAGAAAGGTGATAGAGGCAGGAGAAGTGAATGCTGAAGGTACAGCTGGCTAAAAGATGGTGGCAAAGCAAGAGGGACTCCAAGAGGAGGAAGGGAGAGGGTGAAGCCTGGGAAAATTGGTGATGGCAAGGGAATATCAACCAAGCTGATGTGGCCGCTATCAAGAGCGAGCATGAGAGAGAGAGAAAAGGAGAAAAGGAAGAAGAAGAAGAGAAGAAGAGGGTGAGAAAGGGGGTATTTATATTCCTTTCTGAGCAGGCTAAATCTAAGCGAGAAGTGAGAGTACGCGCTCTGATTTGCTCAGTTTGGCCAGCTTACCTCATACGGTAATATCAAGGAACTCGCCTGGCCCAACCTCCTTTTTATTCCACTGTCCTGTCCTCTTGGTGCTGTGCCTGTGTTATGTCTGTGTTATGACACTTGAGGGCGGCTAGGTGGGTATATGGAAGGCAGTAGAAGCAGAGAGATGTCCTTGGTCAAATGTTGGATACGTATTTTGATATTGGATGAGGTGAGAGGTATCAACATGTAGTATTTGCACATTTTCATGTCTCTCCGCCAACAACCATATAATAGCTTTCTCAATTTTGATAGCGTCTTTTTAAATAGCAGAACGCAGCAGTAGAGCATAAGATAGGAGAAAAAAAGAAGGAAATAGGAGATAGGTTAGAACTGTCTCTTTTTTTGTTTGTTTCTTTGCTATCACGTTGAATTTCTAGTCTTCACCAAAGCTAGAGTAGGGGGATACGAAGATCGGGGTATTCAAGGGAAGTAGGAAGTATAGATGACGCAGGGGCAGAAAAGGGGGTATTGAAAATGGTGTCTTTAGGAGTTAGAAAGGGGTGATACAGATGTGTTTGGTCTACCTTCTTTCGCTGCAGTTTCTAACAAGGATATGGGAGAAGACTTATTGATTAAAAAAGAGGCAGTAAGGCGGATATGCACCACCTGTCTGGTATCCTGGTAGGAATTAAACGACATTCATACCACTATCCGTGGATGCTTGAAGGTACATATCCAATCACAAACCTCTTTTATCACTGTTGGTTCCTTGCGCGTCTCTGTATATTCTGGGGGCTACCTTGGGTGTGTGTTGTGGTACCATCCACCACTAGGTTCTGGCTATCGTCAGCATGCGTGTTTGAAGGGCTTGTGGCCTCGCTAGGGGTAAACGTCTCTGTAATCTTGTTCCGATCTAAGTCAGGTGTGGTGCCACCGAGGTTGCTCAGATTGATACCCGACGCGTTGTGAGCGTCCGAAACATCGCCTAACCCGCTAAGGCCCGAGTTGGTCGCGTTATCAAACTGGTCAAACGTGTCGAAAAAATTTGGTGCAGATTGTATTGACTGAAGCGGATCCGACGATTGCGTGGGGTTTGGGTGGGTATTGGAGAAAGACGCGTCCACTGACGGGTCGGCGGCGAGGGTATCAAAATCGAAGAGTTCGTCTGCTTGGTTGTTGTCTGGGCCAGCAGTTATATTGGTATCATTGGTCCCAACGGTTGTTGCGGCGGCGGTAGTGTCTGTTTGATTCTGGCCCTCCTTGATGGAGTTTTCTACACCAGGGATGTCGGAGAAGTAATCACCACTGTTGAAGATATTGTCCAGATCAAGCGGCGGAGGTGGAATATTTGCGTTCTCTAGGCCAGGTATTGATCCTGTAGGGCTAAGGGGCTGCAGCATGTTGGTTAGATGCTGTACCGACCTAGCTTGCTCAGCTTGCATCTTAACAAGATTATCCAGTTCAGAACGTGTGCTAGCCAGCTGGGCAGAGTAGTTGGATGGCATCTGAGGCGGGTTAGGCGTAATTAAAGCGTTGTTCTGGGATGGATTGGAAGATGGGTGGGCGGCGTCGTTTTCATTGGAGATGAGACGGAGCATGTCCGCTCGCTGGGCAGCAGTAAGAGGAGCATTGCCGCCTGATGTTTCGAGGGAGGAGAGCACGGTGGGGAAGTCAGGGGGATTAGTAGAGAAGTTGCTGCGCGCATTAGAATTTTGAATCAGCGACATGATGTCTCGCTGTGGGAGGTGGCCAGGGGAGCCTTGGTGCTTCGGATGTGGGTGTGTGAGGTTTTGGCGCTGGTTCTGTGTTTGTTGGGTTTGACTCTGACGTTGTTGTGGGCGCTGCTGCTGCTGTCCCTGAACAGAGCTGTTCATAGGGCTTGTAGAATCATAAAGCTCTTCTACCTCCGAGACGGGCTGGACACTAGCTTTGTGAGGACCGGAGCTGTGTTGGTTTGGGGTGTACGAGGTAGTAGCTGGGCTGGGAGACATAGTATGGCGGCCTTGGGTATCACGAGTAGGAGGAGCACCGAGAAGTAGCCTCTGTTTCTTGAATGGTGGCTGGTTTGGCATGAGTTCCTCTTCATAGTTGTCTGCCAATTCATCAACATCGACGATGTTGCCCGAGGGGCCCTGGTGGTCTTGGGATATAGCCCCAGCAAATGAATTAGCCAGGCCCTGAGCACCTTCATGTCCCTGGAGGCTTCTGTTATAAACAGTTGCTAGGAAGGTAAGGATAGCGTTGATGGAGTTTTCATGGCGTGTATGTTGCTCCTGGAAATTTGCGGCCTGCTCGTAAAGTTGTTCATGCTCCCTCCGAAGCTTCTGGATCGTGCTTGATATAACATGCTGCTGATGGCGAATAGTTTGTAGTTCACGATATACATCTGACAGTTGGTCTCCAGGTAAAGTCCCTTCTCCAGATCCGAGAGCCAGCTGACCTCTGAATCGTGACTTATCGTCCCGACCAGCAGTGCCGCTAGGGCCTCCGCCATCTTCATATTCTTCATTCTCGCCTTCATCCACATCCGGTTCCGCCTTGACACGGCCGCCGCCTTTCGACCCCCCTTTGCCCTGGCCCGACATGTTTTTGGGCTTCTGTATCAGCCATAGCAGATCGGGTTGACCACGTTTAAAATATGGATTAGAGTATTCGCTGGGGCTTTTATTCTTCCGCTCACTAGCTCGCATGGAGTTGTCTGATAGCCCGACCTTTTTGTGGAAGCCGTACATATTCAATTGCCGCACGAACGAAGCATAATTATTGTGCTTGAAGAGCTCTGGTATCAGAGACTTTGCAAATTCATCTTCATCCTGGACAATAAACGAGTTCCCATCCTCGGACCACTGAATTAAATCTGCATTTTTTGAGTCATCCAGAAAACTATGAAACATTCTAGTTAGTAAATTCAATACTGCTGACAAAGTTTATAAGACGTACCTAGTCAGCTTCTGAATGAATGGAGGAATCTGTTTCCGCTTTGCTTGTGCCTCCTTCTTCACTCGAAGGGCTCTCTGTCTCATCTCGGCCTCGGTCTCACCGTTCCCTGAGTTCCCGGGATCATTGGTGCGCATCGAATTCTGTTCCATCATTGGCATCAGATTCTGGTCAGTCATTCTGGCCCGGCCAATAATCTGGTTATTTCCGGGCCGCCTTGTGAGTTGATTCGACATCTGCCCGGTAGCATCATCACCCGCTGAAAAGGTGCCTGTGTTCATATTCGATTGGTTTATACCTGAAGATGATGTATTAGGCGCCCATTGCTGTAGAAATTGCTCATTCGAAAGCTGTGAGGGGATTGGGAAGTTGGGCAATGGCTGCATCTGCTGGTGGGCTAGTGGAGATGCTCCTGGCGCGGGTCTCTTGCGAGAGAGGCTTTGAGACGACATGAGATCGGGAAAATAATGATATTTCGTATAAGAATAGATCGCCAACCCCCAGGGCTTGCCGTATGCTCGATGCGAGGGCTGAACGGGCGTGGGGAAGGCACAATGGGGCGTGAAATAACGTCTGAATCGATATCAAGCGAACAAGGATGGTAAATTGTTCAAAAATTCGGTCAAGTTTGATGAAAAGAACAGGTGCGGATAGTGTCTGCGGCTGGTGCGCTGTCCTGGCCGTAACTTATGGATGCGACTGATGAAAACCTGCGGGGAGGATCAGATTCGTTTGTCAACCAACAGGTCAACTCGAGAACCCGAAATGTCATCAATCGCCCTGCGCCCCTGATCCTTATGCAGAATATGGGCGTAGTATTCCTTTTGTTCTACCTCTTCGACACGGGGTGGATGGTATGCAGGGCTTTGAGCCTTCTGACACACCGCCTGCAGGACGCAACAAACGAGGGGGATGTCACAGGTGTAATCAAATGAGGCGAAATTCGTAGGGCTGACAGTATCGCAGCCCCGGATTAAAAGAAAGCCGCACTGGCCCAGAGGAAGAGTTGATATATCGAAATATGCTGGCGAACAAGTCAGCTTTCGTCTTTCTTCCCGCAGAACTTCTTGATAGATTACGTTAGATAGGCAAAATCGCGTCTGGAAGGCTTGGCGAAAAAACGGCTTCTGGTTGGTTCGGAGGAAGTCTCGGGAGCTGAGTCAGCGAAGTCTAGCCGCATATCTGAAAAGGGAAGAAGTTGAAGAGAAAAGAAGGAGACGGAAGAGGAGAAGGGGAGGAAAAAGGTAGATGGGAAGAGGTAAGGGAGGAGGATAAATAGAAGATGCAAAGGGGGCAAGTTCTAGGATGTGTTATTGTCTTCTTTATGAAAGATAGACGCGGTGGTAGAATTATGTTGAAGAGTTGGAAGCTATGTAACTATATTCTGAGGCCCTATTCTAGTTAGATGAATAAATCCATAGCGTAGGAAAGACAAGCCATCTATGAAATAGGCTCTATACAAGGCATTGTCCAGAGATGTCCTCTTCCCCAGATTCTCACAATAAATGCTAATAGTCAGACCCTTGACACCTTCTCTTGCACCAGGAGAACCAGAGTCAATAATGCTATTGTTGTCAATACATACAGGAGCCCATAAAAGAGTTATAGCAATAAAGACTGACCTGCTTTATTCTGGGCCCTTAAGGACTCGTTTCAAGACGTGTCTCAAGGCATGTCTCAAGGCCTCATCTGTCTCAACTTAGCGGGATAGCGAAACTGCTCTACCATTCTTCACACGTCTTCCTTTTACTCTTTCATCAACTTGCGACATGCATCGTGCACATCATAGTTTGCTGATAAATAACCTATGAGCGCACGAGACCGCCTTGTCAGAAGCCAAACTAAGGCCTGTTCTCAAAAGTAGGTACCAAACGGTATTATGCCTCAGCTTGAACCTAGGTATGGAGTCTCACAGGTATCCCTTGATTCTCGGAAGTACCCGTGACCCTAATGAACAGGCCAACTGTCCTGAAGAGTCGGTTTCCACATCGTAGCAGCTTTCTCCACAGATATTCCGCACAGTAGGTGATGTCTTACTATTAAGTTTTTTTCCTTTCGGATATAGGTAAGTTCACATGGATGTTTGTCCGTGGGTTAAAGAAGCGTCCGGTGAGATCCTATACGCCACCAGCAAGAGCATGTACGGCGAAAAGAAAGCATGAACGGCTGGATGGTGATAAGTATATAAGGTTGAGCTAAACGGATAGTTAAGCGCCCCTTGTGGATCAAAGCGAGCCTAAAAAGATGGGAATATCCATTCCTTCCCGTGTTCAACGGTTTTTTCTAGAAAGATATTCGAGTTCTTTCGCACTACGAGGAGACGACAGCTATAAAATAATCACAGCTGTTTCAAGGTCCTTATCGCGGACTGTGCGCTTACTTAATTTTGGTGGATTGAAACCAGTCGCCTACAAGCCATGTCACGTGGAAATAGCCGCCTTCTCGTTTACAGCCTTATTCCATTCCATGGCCATTAGCACGAATTAATGGCTAGCATTATAGACCAGAGTTATGAGGGCTTTGGGCTTGGGGACGATGCCATACACGAACCACTCACACTTCCATTAAGAATACGCTTCTTGGTCGAGAAAAATCTGCTTCATCGGGGGATTAGCCTCCTTCGACGATTTAGGCCTGGACTTGCACCTCGGGTTTTTAGCCTAACTCCAAATCTCATTATTAAATATGGATCATACAATATCCTAGCTGAAGCACAGGCAATTGAGTTCGTCGCAAAAAATACAACTGTGCCCTTGCCACGAATTGTTCGAACATATAAGTGCCTTGATGGGACTTGTTATATTTTGATGAAACGATGCCCTGGTGTTCCCATTTCGAAGGTTATCAATACAATGTCAATAGAAGAGAAACGGAACCTTTTTATCCAGCTACGCGGCTATATAGACGAGCTACGTTCTCTTGGGTCTAGAAAGGCGGTAGTTGGCTCAACAGATTATGGCCCCCTTGATGACCTGCGTCTACTTACGGGTCGTTGTGGCCCTTTTAAAAGCGTAACTGCTTTCCATAGGGGGATAAGTGGTGGATTTAAGAGTCCCACTGGGCATAGTGAATGCGATAAAATGATAGCTGAACAGGATAGCCGCGAATATAGTATCAAATTTACGCATGGTGACCTTTCACTGCGTCATATCTACTGTCTGAAGGGCCGGATTACAGGCATAATTGACTGGGAGACTGCGGGCTGGTTTCCTGACTACTGGGAATACGTGATGACTTGGGACTCCTTTTGGGAGACGCCGGCCTTTCGAGACGACATTGCTATTTTCCTTGACCCTTTCCCAAGGGAGCTTGAGACTGAGCGAACTCGTCGGCGCCTCTTCGGCATAATTTAACAGTGCGTTTTTTTCTTTTGCGGTTTCTCAAGTCCACCTGTCAAAATTATCACGGGGAATTCTCCTTTGATGGATTGAAAATGAAGGTTTCACAAGTACTCATAGCCTTTCGATCATCTTCCCCCAAGCCCTCTGCTTTTCGAAGTTCTATGCACTGTACCCTTTATTATCACAAGAGTTAGAATATGTCTAATAATTGGTTATAGTTATGCTTGATGACCTATGAGGAAGCTTTGTTATCTCCGGACTCACTCACTCTACAATAGACCGTGCTACCCTGCCAAACACTGCTCCTCGGAGAAGCATAAATGCAGCTCCAAATATATATGCTACCCTTTAGCCTCATTTTCAAACCTAGATACAACACGAAGTTATATACATTATTGAGCACTCCACTCTGCAATAGGATAACCCCCGTATATATTATCATCAATACTCTGAGCCAAGGCGAAATGAACAGCATAATTACCCTGCAGAGAGTTACTCTATAAGCTGCTCGCAGTGATTAAAACCTTGGATACAAAATGCTTTGTGCTGTCAAGGAAGTCATGTTTGCGAAAGATTTCCGGAATTGTTGTTGTATTTATGGGTAGGTCATCCACGACCTTGTACTGCGTCGATGTTTTGGTCAAGGAAAGCAGAAATTATGCGAGGTTGGGATAGCATGGCCCAGATATCCGGATAATCGTATCGATGGGCGTCGATGAACGCCGTGTTTTTCTGACGCTGTGTCACCTACGCCAGCACATGATGCGAACGGTGCTTCTAGTCACTAAACAACCCGGTCTGGGACTGAAGGTTGTGGCGTTTATCCAAGATCCAGTAAGGTCGCGAGAGGACAGAATGATGTAGCAGGGTGACCTCGTCCGTATAGCCCGAGCATTGAGCCGCATGGTGAAGAGAGATCCGGCTGATGTACCCGGTATTCCTTCCGCATGGGTCACCCGTCGGCTAAGATGTGTAATATATTGAATTTTATGAGGGTACCCTCATGTTCGTCCCCCAAGCTCATGCATTAAACTATTGCGCGATCGTACGCATGGCCCGGGCCTTGAGGGCGATCTCCAGTTTTATGAGACGACTATTAACACTATTAGCACTCGAGCTTCGCTCTTATCGTTTCTTTTTTGCTGTATGGTGTGCATCGGCCGAGGTAGACGCAGGCGTGGGTGGCCAGGAGGCCAAAGAACTGCTGCATGTCGGTAACGCGGGAGCTATTTAAGCAAAGTAGGCGCTCACACTATATAACGCGCCATGTATAAATGTAAGTATAGGAACAACGTTCTGTAACCAGGCAATGGGACTCAATCTCAAGCTTCGATGGCAACGATTTCCCCATGACGATATATAGAAAAAAAGAGATGACAGTGAAGTTAAGAGTATCGCGAATTGCAGTGCCACCGAGGCGACCATCTTGGGACTGGTCACATTCACCACCAGGGGGCCGACGGCCCATGGTCAAGTGGCCGTGGCGGGCGTTGCAGACGAATGAAACAAGCGAGCAGGCTTGCCGTGAGTGTAAAAAAGGTGGACAGGCAAGCTCAAGCTCGCCCCTCTGTCTCTTCTCTGGAACCCCCTTGCTCTCTCCCAGCTATCCAGCCGGCTGCATCGAACTATCGATATACGCCTCCTAACGTTTGAACCCGCCCTTCAGGGATCTGTTGTTGGTTGATAACATAATTTTGGGTTGAGGCCCGTCTTCTTGCATGGTTTCTTTTTCCTGTCTGGTGTATTATGTACGGAGGTAGATGGGGAGCCCTTTTCTCCAATTCCCACCCGTAAGAGAACTAGAAAATAGGGAGAAAAGGGGCAAAGCAGAGACGGCGAGACAGCAGAGACAGATACGGAGACATCCAGACATCCAGAATACGCGGGCATAGCCCCCCTGGACGAGTCTCAAACAGCATCTGGCCCTGAATCATCTCGGCTGAGCGTTTGGATATACGGGAGTAAGATGCTGCTCACGAACGCTGTAAAGATGGCGATACCGCGGAGTGAAGCACTGTAACATTCATAATTAGCAGCGTCTGCCTCTATCTCCTAGGACTACTCACCCTCTTCTCTCCGTATTCATCATCTACCACCCTCTTCTTGTCTGTCTATCGCGTCCTGACTCTCCCTTTTTCCTTTATTTTCTTGGTGGGTGTATTGGCTGCCGTAACGGTATTACGGGGTTTCTCTCTTTATTTTTCTCTACTAAAAAGCCTTTAAAACCACTTTTTTTACTGCCGTCGTGACCGCCCTAGACTTCCTTTTTTTTTTTTTTTCTTCTCTCTCGCACTTCTCCCTCTTCTTCATCCATCTTACCTCCTTCACCAGAAGAACGCCAGCTACATCCTCCTTGTCTGATATATTTTTTTTTTCTCTCTGTCTAGTCCGTTTGTTCCGCATTGTGAGGCTGGTCGCTTCTCGCTCGTCGAGTTGCTCTCTGCCTGTTCGTACAGGGTCCTGTTTGACGGCCCTGCGCCCTCGTAATCAAGACGCCCTCAGCCAGCTCGATCAGCTGGCGTGGACAGTTCAGTTCTGTTCATATTATAGACCAGGTCCTTTGTCTTGCATTAAGACTCTTTTTCGTCGGTACCTTGAGAAGCTACTACACCTTTTCTACGTGCGTTGACCGGGTTCTAGTCAAAAGGGAGAAAAAAAAGTCAACCACTTTCGTATATCTCAAAAAAAAAAACCAACCACCAAAACACATATCTCTTCGACTCGACCCTATCCTGTGTGAATAAGAAGATATTGTTCAAGGCGAACAGGGAGACGACTCTGCTGTACAACTCTTCTTCCTTTCCGGCAAGAATTTTTTTTTCTCACCTTGGAACAAGAAAAAAATAAGAACACCAAGTACGCATGCAGACGACTCAACTGGCTGGCTAGCTTATGCTTGCGTCTCTGGTTCTGCTTCGCTGTCTTGACGACCTTGACGTTTCCGACGAACTGATGACCTCCGCCACCTGCTCGATATACCTTTAGACAGACCTCGTTGCCCTGCGCGTCAGCCTGTTTTCGTTTTCATCACCACCCCTGCTTGACCTGCAGCTTAGTCTCTTTATCCCACAAGGTCTAGCCGGATCTTGCAGCTACCCAATATAACGGCCCCCTTATCTTCTTCCTCTCCTGAAACACCTGCCCATCATGAGTGGCTACCAGGACATGTACAACTCTTCGTCCTCCTCCCGCTCTCCCGGTTCCCATCGTCACCCACCACAGCAGCTTCGTCGCCAGCCCTCACGCCAGTTTGATGCCTATGGCCCAATGTCTTCTACACTCTACGAGGAACCACCGCTCGGCCGCTATGACACGACCCCGCTGGACAGGCTGAATGCCACCATGCCAAGTGGCTCCTACCCGTACGATATATCCGGTGCTCAGACGTGGAATGCAAACACTGTTGGTCTGGGTGGGCTCGGGGTCAACTCTGCCACGGCTACATCTAGGATGAGGAATGTTCGTTCACGCACCGCTCTTCCTACTGTAAGTTGATATCTGAGGGGGAAAAGCTATGGGTAAAGCTACACTTGTTTTGCTAACTCACCATAGACCTGGTTAGATCAGCAGAACAGTCTACCCAGTTCATTCTCTCTGGCTCCTGGTCAGCACCAGCCGTCTCCCCACATTCGCGCGGAAAACGCACATGATACGGAGGATGAACTTATACCAACCGCCATCGTCATCAAGAATATTCCTTTTGCTGTGAAGAAGGAACAGCTGATACAGCTGATGACTGAGATGAACCTGCCATTGCCATATGCGTTCAACTACCACTTCGATAATGGCGTGTTCCGTGGTCTGGCTTTTGCAAACTTTACTTCGGCGGAGGAGACAGCTACTGTGATCGAGCTGTTGAACCATTTTGAGCTTCAGGGAAGAAAGTTGAGAGTCGAGTATAAGAAGATGCTACCCGCGCAGGAACGTGAGAGGATTGAGAGGGAAAAACGGGAGCGTAGGGGCCAGCTTGAGGAACAGCACAGGCCCATGGCTACCTCACAATTGCAACATCAGACTTCCATGTCTTCGTTAGCCTCACATATGCCGACCACCTCTCCTTCGCCAGTTTCCCAACGCGCAGGTAAACTAGGTATGCTTTATAGTGTTCCCCAGCTCCCTCCTATTTATGTCTCACTAGTACTAACATTCACTTCAAGAGGTTGATATGAATGATGCACAGACGTTGCAGTACTACTCGCAGCTTCTTTTGTTCAAACAAGACCTGAGCAAGGAAGCTCTCATTTTTGGCACAAACCTCACTCCCGCGCAGCGTCGAATAGTACATACAATCTCCCATAACATGGGTCTCGCTCATACTTCGCGTGGAACTGGCGATCAGCGCCAAGTGCACGTCTATCGTGCCGGCCCTGGTGCAAACGTCAGCCCTCCAGTCCCAGCTATTCCATCAACAGTCACTTCTGATGCTGCTCGTCGAGGGCTCTCACGCGCTGCAACCATTGATTTCGGCGAATCCCGCCATGAACAGCAGGCATATGGCAGCAGCATGCGTCAGTCTTCGTTCTTGAACGTACTAGACTCGCCCAATCCAGGCGGGTACGCCAACGCCCAGAATCTTCGTGCTGCCAAGTCCTTCGCAGACCTACGGTCCTTCACCCCATCACCTGTTCCATCCTCTGCCAGCTTCCCGGCTGCCCTGCAGACTAACGGTGCTCGTTTCCAGCAGCAACAGCAGGCATACGATGCCGGGACAAGCGGAGCCTCCAACACCCCTACTCTCACGCCCACTCCATCTGGCTCTTCTCTCGGCATGCAGCGTGTTGACGACAGTCTTCTTGTCAACAGCCTAGGCAGCCTGTCACTTGGTACCTCGGTCGCTGGTGGCCCATCTGGTTCTCCACGCCGCACCCGCGGCATCTGGGATGCTTCTGACCTCCCCACAACCACTGCGGGATCAAACAACGGATCTGGCTCCACGGCCGGGGCCATCGGATCCAACCGCTCCATTGGACTTGGATTTGATACCCAAAACCAGAGCCAGGAACGGCTCCCCATGAGACAGCCCCGAGGCCCCGCACCGGAACGAGGTACTGGATTCCGCCGTCAGAACGGCCACCAGCAACGGGGCAGTGACGAGCTAAGAAGCAATCCCGGTGTCGAAATCATTGTTGAGTAGGAGAACCAACAAATCAAAACGAATAGAAAAATCTGGACCCAGTCGATCGATAACTCTGTATGCCCATACTGAACGAATCCATGACCCTTGTACCACGATGACACGAAGAAAAGACATAAGCGAAACAAAGAGTTAAAGCCCATGAGATTTAATTTAATTTACAATTCAATTCAATTCAAAACGCGTACCTGACGATGCCATGCGGAATGGAAATCCAACGACCAACTCCCACCTATACCAAACAGCCGTTAAGCTCAGGGGGAAGAGGGAACAAAAACGAATGAAAACAGCCCACCACAACTGACCAATGCCAACGCCAGCGTCCCTTTACGATTCGATGATGGATGACGAAATGACTTGATTTTACAATCCACCAAAAAAAAGACTTGAAAAAAAAAACAAATAACCAGCCAAGATCCCCCACAGCCGCAGAAAAGGAAAGAAAACGGCACGGCCACCAGTTTCTATCCGTCGACGCCACTGCGTCCCTTTTTCTTGCCGGAAGTCTCGAAAAGTTTTTTGATAATTTTATTTGCTGACCGCCTGCTTGTGTTTCATTGTTTGTTTCATATTGGTTTAAGACATGGTTAGATTCTCATAATCTTCAGTCGTCGCCATCATCACTCGCCATGATGATGCCGGCCCGGCCTTGGGGCAACCCAATCCAATCGATACCAACAACGCTACAGTGTTTTTTTTTTTTACGCCATCTCACCAACAACCGACCGATAGGGAGTTGAAGCACCGGATATGATGGAATGAATGATATACCGTTTTGCGTTTGTTCATTTATCACTTTATCGTTTTATATTTTGCCTCTCCCCGTCTTGAGCTAGGCGCTTCTCATTTTGTCATTGCATTTCCATCCCGCTTGTCTGAGGAAGAGGAGGAGGTCCGAGTTTGAGTGAATTGAATTACGGAGATGAAGCCAAGGAAACGAAGAAACTTCGTTGAAAAAAAGAGAGAAATATTAATGTGATATGGTGCAGCCTTTTCCCCATATGTTTTATTTGCCATTTAACTGTTTATCGTGATTTATCTCAGATACGCTACGGGATGCTATGCTATTGTTCTGCTGAAAGACGGGAGGAGGTTAGTTTGCCGCTGTGTTTGCCCCCTTTTTTATTGCTTTTGGTTTGCTTTCTCATCTTGTGTTTTTCCCACTGTTGTTTCTGCTTTTTTATTAAAAGGCCTCGACTGGTCAATTGGGTTGCTTTTTTCCTCAAAGCCAACTACTTTAATGATTCTTTTACAGATCTCTGTTTCTCCCCCTTTTTCTATAAAAACATAACCATTTTACATGTTTTCATCTTGTCGCTTTCCCAATTATTTTTCATCTCATCTCAATTCCCATCTTATCTGGCTTTCCGTCCCGGCCCTGTTGGTTTGGTTTAGTTTGGTATCTGAAGCCTTGAATTGTCCTGTTTTCTTTTTCACAAAGGGGGGGAAAGGGTACATTATATGATTAGTCTTTCCTATCGAGTTTCTTTTTCCTGTTTCTTTCCTACCGTTTTGTCCTGCATTTGCATATCCCAGTCTGTTTTTACCTACGTTGCTTATTTGCTTGCTTATTACCGTCTTATCTGGTTTTATAACCTGTGTCTAATTAATGCTATGGGGGCGCTCTTCTGCGACTTGGTCTGAAATGGTGTTTAATTACCCCTTTTTGATCTCTCGTCTGCTCACCGACTTATATAAATCACCATTATGGAGGAGTCGTTTTGGATATTGCGCATGTCAGCCGCTTTTAGTGTCGTAATGCTTTGTTTATATTGAATTAATATATTTATCAATCTATTCGTACAAGCCGTCGTGGTCAAGAACGACTACTCTCAGGCTTCTTAGCATCTCGTCTATCCCATTCCCTGTCTTGTCCTGTCTCGAGCTTCCTCTTCCTCTCGCGCTCTCTCTTCCTCCCACCACCACCGGCAATCTCCTTCTCCTTCTGCCGTGGATCAATAACAACCAAATCATCATTTCCCTGATGAGCTTGTTTCCAGTTCAGATCTTTACCGAGTGTATCTTTGCCGAACTGCAGCGTATGCGTCATCCAACCTGTATCATCGTCATCTCCGGCTCCTTCTTCTGATTCTGGAACATCCCAGGACCGACACGATAGACACCCCGCGACGAAGTGAAGGTCACAGACCTGTCCTTCTCCGTCTTCCTCGTCCGGCTCTCCTCGCTCTTGTTCTGTGTTTTTCTTCCCCCCCGGTTTGGAGCCGGTATCATGGTGGTCTCGTTTTGATTTCTTAGACGATGAGTCTGCGTTTTCAAGCTTGGCCTTGAAAGCATTGAACATGTCTAGTGCAATTGCGTCTTGTGATGAGTTTCCTGCTGCTGATGCTCTCTTTCTAGCGCCGCGTATCGATGTCTCTGGTATCAGTGACTCTAGAGCAGATTTCTTTCTGGTTGGCTCAGCGGTTGCTGCAGCCGTGCTTCGTTTCATAGACGCCTTGAGTGCAGCGATTTGGGCATTGGTTTTGGAAAGCAATGATTGGCGAGGTGGTGGTGATTCTGATGCTGAGCTTGAAGGTGATGCAGGGCGTGAGGGCGACTCGGCATCTGGTAACGGGAGTTGTGTATTTGGATCCGGTTCTCTAGGCGCTGGTTTTGTAGAATTCTTCTTATTATTGTTGGATGGCTCAGTGTGAGATGGTGTTGGCTCTGGTTTATGCATGACCTTGTCCCGTTTCTCTTCATGCTGTACCTGTTTCTTTGCAACTGAGGCAGCTTCTTCCTCTTCTCGGACAAGTTTGGTATTGAATTTTGGTTTAGTCGGTAATATGGCATCTCCTTCATCCTCGTCGCCTGCAAAGCTCAAAAGTGCCTTTCCCACCTTGGCCTTTTTCTTCTTCTTCCCCTTCACAGGTGCTTCTTCTGACTTCTTGTCAGCAACAGCAATGCGCTCCCTGCGCTTCAATTGCCCTTCGAACGGACCAAGTTGGTCAGCTTCACACCCCGTAATCTTTACTGCGTAGACTGGCCTGTCTGACCCTTCTACCAGCTCCGCTTCAGCAATGCTCGCCACCTTATATATGCTCTCTCCTTCCACCCTGCCAAACATGGTACATGTTTTGTTTAGCTCCCGCTCTGCATTCGCCAGCGTAATGAAGAACTGGCTCCCATATGTCCCATCCTCGCTCTTCGCCAGGCCAACAAGCCCACGTCTGTTGAACCGTAATCGACTGTGGAATTCATCTTTGAACACGACCTTCTCGCCATCACGCGGATCGTACTCGAACTCGGGGTATTCATAGATAGACGAACCGCCTGAGCCAGTGCCGGTAGGGTCGCCGCCTTGGATGACGAAGTTAGGTACCACACGGTGAAACGTGGTGCCCTCGTAGTACCCGTCTAGACAGTGTTGGAGGAAGTTCTTGCAGGCGAGCGGCGTCTGGCGTGCGAAAAGCGAGATGTGTATGGGCCCAACGGTGGTATGGAGTGTCGCAGAGGCTGTTGGAGGTGGCTCGGTATCGTAGTGAGCAGACATTTTGTCTTTAGTCTTGCCCTTGAGCTGTAAGAAGTTATGCAGCTGTGGTTTTTGGTAGAAGCTATCACTATTCCATTGAACAGTTAGTTAACAACTTCCACCACAGCTTTGTAGATTCAGTTTTATACGAACCAACCAGCTTCAACACAACGACTTCCTTACTGGCTGCTTTCAGCGCCCTCACTTGTGAGGTTATCCTGTTGCTGTATACTAACTGGCGATGATCAAGGTTGTTTCGATGCCATTTGCATACATGTATCGCCGTAGCACGTAGAAATGATATTTGGTGGCTTGGCATAACCCTCATAGTAACGCAGGTTATAACCAAACCTTTTTCTCCCCCATATAACTAGTGGTTATATGGGGGGGGGTCCGGGTGGTGTTATAACCCGGGTTACTACGTACGTTATGCCAAGCCGCAGTGTAACCGATTATGTAAGCAGTTATAGCTTTATTGCGTATTACCGCCACTCAGGCCTCTCAGCCCAGCTCTGCTCTACTCTGCTCTACTCTCTCTACTCCCCCCCCCCTGTACCCCTGTATATTTCGTACATACAATGGGCTAATGCGGCCAAATAAGTGAACAGATAGGTATTTACCTTACTATATACCGCATACCCTATTTCCGACCTTTATATTACCCCCTTTCCTCGTCCAGAATGGACCGTGCAGACGGCAGCATGAGTGCCCTGGACCGGCAGTCCAATATCAACGTTGCCCTGTTCGAGAACCAGGAGCGTACGCTCCTATATACCCAAAAGAACCGGCCTAAGAATACGCAGATCGCGTACAGTGCCCGGCAGGAGGAGTGGAGAGTACGTACTTCCCTTTCTTACTACTATCTCCCGTCTCTTATCCCCCCGGCCTGGCTCCCTATCAGGCTGATATATATATATCCTTATATCCCACTGCCGCATGTCTACAGGCTGACTGTACGGTATATCGATCGATTCCAATCCCAATAGGCATGGTGCCAAAGGGTTGGATTTGCGGACGGAGAGATTGTGTCCGAGCCGAAACTAAATATGTTCTTGCAGGAGGAGGTTATGTATAGAGAAATCAGGCCATCTCGATATAAGAAGAGCCGTACGAATATAGAGGGGGAGTCCGTTAAACAGACGCTATCAGAGGCATCGATCAAGGCGTACATTGCCGCTCTGGTGGACCTCTGGGGCGTACAGGTCAGCATGAGGACAAATACCCATGCATCCCCTAGGGGTGCACTGGTAAAGGGCCTGATTCGTACACGCAGGCAGCAGGAGTCAAAGAGGAAGAGGGAGCAGTACGAGGACCGTGGCCTCAACTCCCTTCAGGATGGATATACCTCTGCTGAATTCGTACGGCTCATCCGATTCTGCTGGTCCTCTGGGTACAACGTTTCTGGCCAGCTGGAGCCGTTCCTCCGTACGGCGGCCGACCTTCTCCTTGCTCATACCCTTCTCCTCCGTGGTGAGGTACGGCGTAAGGTTCAAATGGCCGACCTCTTTACCCTGACTCTGGATAATGAGGGCCCAACTCCCTGCCATGCCATGGTTGTACTTATAGATAATGGCAAGACGAACCAGGATGGCCGCCGCGAGTACGGCACTGCTGTACGGCATAAGAACCCCCTTCTCTGTACGATGGCCAGTATTGGCTTCTACTTCTTTATGCGCTGGAATATTATGGGGGAGACACCACCCAACTTCCAGCGCCGGGAGCTCTGGTACGACCTTCTTGTCATCAAGGGCCAGAGTAATGTCAAGCCAATTGCGTACGAGACCCAGCTGCAGTGGTCAAACCGTGTGTACAAGGGGATCGGCCTTGGGATAAAGAAGAAGACCCATGCTGGACGGTCCCAGGGGGCCAAGTTTGCTGAGTTGGCAGGAGTAAATGAGGGCCAGATTCGAAGGGCTGGACGGTGGAATTCTGACTCTCTTACAACTTCCTATCTTACTAATATTCCCAGGAAGTTCGTACGTGCAATGGCAGGCTTCCAGCCGGTAGAAACAGGGGCGTACTATCTGCCGCGTACAAAGATTGAGCCGCCTGCATCCCTCAAGCAGGCACTCTGGCCTTGGGTCGATGAGTGGCTGCTCTGGCAGGCCTCGTACACCGGCTCTGGCTCTGAGGACGTACAGCTGCCTCCAGAGTCAGTGAGGTTCGATAGTGGGAAGGTGGACCACGGGGATCTTGCCTCGCAGGGGTTCCTCTATCTGCTTGACTATCTTCGTACAGTCATTCTGCAGGACTCTGTTCTATTTATGCAGGAGTTCCCCGGCCATCCAATATGGAGCCACTCCCTCTTTGCACGGGATGACTACCTCTGCTTCTCCCAGCTTGTACGAGACTCCCTGATAGATGTGGAGGAGCCGCAGGATGTCCAGCTTCGCCGTACGGTTCCTGCCATTGCCACGCGGCTGCAGACCATTGAGCAGTCCATTGTGCAGACTCTTAAGGTATCAGAGGAGCGGAATGTTGGATTCCTACAGACAATTGATAGGAATATCAAGGATATAGTGGACGGTACAGTGTCTTTCACCGTACGAGCCAATGCTCCAGGCTCGCCTCTGTCCGCTGCGGCCACTGCCACCGCCACTGCCGCCTCCACTCCATATGCCACTCCTAGGTGTATGCATGGAGCCATTCCCCATCCTTCCTTGTCCCCTTCCTGCTCCCCTCACCCCCCCTCTTCCTCTGCTGTAGCAGCCGCTCCCCATACTGGCCCCCCGCCCCTTTCTATGGGCTTCTCTCAATCCCGTACGATTGGGACCGTTATGGATCTCTGGCGAGAGTGGGCTGAGGGCCTTGGTGGCCGGCCGTCGGTACGGAGCATGGAGGAGGCATATGGGCCTAGATGGCGCCGCCACCGTCCTGGGGAGAGCATGATGTTCTCCCGCAGGAAGGTAGTGGTTGATGAGATCGTACGGAGGCAGCGCGTACAGAAGAAGAGCCTGTCCGTTGTTATTGAGGAGCTGGAGACAGTACGGGTAAAGCATGGCTTCTCATTAAATGCCTTGGTCAAGCACCTCAAGGAGATAAGGAAGCTGGCCTAAGGGAGTCAGTATAGGACATCTAATATAGAATATAGAATATGGATTGGTGTACGCTACTCTGTTCCTTACCGATATATATTTTTAAATAGGATTGGCCTCTGGCCTTGATAGATATACGTAGTAATAAAAAAATACTCTTTTCTTATACTTATACTCTATATATTAAGGTGTTGCTTGTACGTTGTTACTAGAAGAAAGGCTTCCTAATCGGGTTAGGCTGTACACGCTCTCGCTACACGTTGATATCAGCTTTGGCCTCACCTCCTCCCTCTTTTCTCCTTCTCTTCCTTCTCCTCCTTAGCCTATTCCACGTACACGTCCGGTAAGTCATCCCTTTTGGACACTATTCTATCCTCTCTGTACTCGTTTTATCGTCCAGAGCCGAGCTGCAGCCTATCCTGCCATCTAGGCCACGTCTGGGAGTCCTTGTACTGATATCCGGCCTGGGAATATGTGTACAGAATAGAATATCAGGTATGTTATGCCCTCCCCCTCCCCCCTCCCCTCTCCCCCCTCCCCCTTATCTGCCCTCTGCCCTCTGTACGATGCAGCAGGCATAGATATAGAGAGGGAAAGGGGGGAATAAATACTATTTGTACAGCCATAGGCCATAGTATACTAACTAGGTGGGTATAGGATAGATTCCAATCGATTAGTACCCCTATACTCTTTCTCTCCTCTTTTTCTTCCTCTTTTGAGATGTAAGTACGGCCTATTATCTATAATATCCTATCTATCCGTCCATAATATAGCATATATTAGTAAGGATATACTAATAAAAGATGGGATAATAGGCCTTTTAACAATAACACTGCTGGGGACGGGATGTAAGTTATATATCTAGCACCCTCCCCCACCCTGCTCTGCCCCTATCCCTATCTAATACTGTACAATGCACGGCACGGGTATACTGACATGGATATAGGGCCCTTGTGCTGTACGACCGCCAGATCGCCCGGATGACGGACACGCCTGGTATCCTCAGGGTCGGTGGCCAGGAGCTTGCCCCGTACGTCCACAATGACTTGGGCCATGCGGTATTGTCCCTCCCGGGACTCCATGTGCGCTATGTGCCGTACAGCATAGATGCACGGCAAATACTATCGCATCGGGCCTCGTACATTAACGGCCTGCTGGTCCAATCCAGAGGGAGGCCTGAGGTGCATGCCTGTACCGACTGTCGGGGACGTACAGGTCTCAGGCCTTTCACAGAGTGCGTCCGGCTCCCCGGCCACTTCGGCGGAGCATGTGGTAACTGCAAGTGGCGCGATCGTGCCTCCCACTGCTCCGTACGGGACGAGATACAGCAGGCACGTACGGAGGTCATAGTCCTGGACGATGACTCTGGGGATGACCGCCAGGTCATTGACCTAACGGGCGATGGGCCGGTACGACGGCCAAGGGCCAGGATAACTGGAGGAGGAGATGGGTCTTCGGCCAGCAGGGCCATTGTGCTTCTTTAAATGGGTAAGGACATGATTTTATTGATATCTTTGGACTGAGTGACTGCGTTCCATTTGGATTTGGGGCTTTTGCCCTACTGCACCCATCCCAGCCGTACGGGCCCTGTGTACGGCACCCTGGGCATGGCCTGCACCTCTCCGTGGTGCCTGGGACGAGTAGTCGAGCTTCAATGTACGCCCTCAGCCTGCATCTTGCAGTGCAATGATGGATGGGCAGGGAGCATGTACAAGAAGAGCTCGATGAAACTAAGCAGGCCAGGCCTTATATAATGATTACATGTACGTTGATTGATTGGATGAGCTTGCTTGTACTAAAATTAACCTGAGGCATAACTTGCTGCTCGCCAAGCGGCCATATAACCCGGTTATATGGGGGGGCGCAGGCGTACGGCAGGCAGTTGTAACCGGGTTATATGGTGGGCAAGTTATAACCTGCGCTAACTTACACCTTCTATACCTGTTAAATATAGAGGCCCGGTGATGGTTTAAAATTAGGCGTGTCGCTATGCGGAGGCTCTCTCTAGGTGTACGGCGGTCACTAGATATCTGCATTTCAAATTTGGGTAAACGTGTCGGTTGGGAGCTATAATTAAATGGAGGAGCTGGTCAAATCGCTAGGGGTTGGGTTGCTGCGTTAAAGAGGTAGAAGGGCATATTATAAGGACTCTATCTGAGAGAGTTGAGTTTCATCTGAGAGTCTCATCTGAACTATGCTTGCGGGTTGCCCTGTATAACCCTAGAGGCCAAGGGATATTTTAGTCTTAGCATTTACAGTTGTCATTGATTTTTGTTACAGACCACCTACGGCACAGCTCAGGCAAACACATTCATTGGACCAACACAGAGCAGACAGGAAACTTGGGACGAGCAGATCACGTGATCATGCGGAGTCCAAGTTGCCAAGGCGCTAGGGAATCCAACGATGGACTTGAGGTTCAAGACCAACGATGGATTCACGAGGAAACAGGTGATATGGATTCAGATTAATATGTATATAAAGACACTCGTTTCCCACCTTAATCAAGAGTTCTTTTAATACTCGCAATTAAAGTCAACTTTATAGCAAGTTATAGCTTTATAGCACTGATTAATATAAGCACACTTCCTTTGTCTATCTGATATCCCCTTAACAAGCCTTATACCTAATTGACCAGAGCACTGCTTCAATTGCGACAAGGAACTCATACCCACGGGAGTGAGCCAGACTTGGAGCTATTACCTTGAAGTCGGATACTGGAGTGTCTCCGTTCAGACGTATCTCTGATAACACTTCGACCCAACCATCCACAAAGAGCCCTTGAGTGATTCTCACCCAAGCGTACTTCCAGTTGTACAGGCTGAAGACCCCCTTTGTAGCAATTTTATAGGCGCTCGTAAAGTATAAGCTGCTCAGAATTGTCTGAAAACGTTTCGTTGATAGTCTCCAGAGAATATCATCATCATATGAGAATGGGTCTGCTTCAGGGATGAGCATTGAGGGATGATATAGCTCTCGTTCTATTAGAGGCGTGGGGATTATCGAGCTGAGACCGTTTATACCTTCAACGGCAAGCTGTGCGTCTGAGCTGAAGAGCCTTCATATACTGCGAAAGGCCTTTTTTTAAAGTAGTGGGATCCCTACGGAGATATTTTAGCAGGTGATAGAATGATATTCACTCACGGGGCCTACACCGAGATAACACAATTATAGCTTCCACACCTCCATTGCTTGTGATGATAAAAATGCCGACTGGTATCCTGAGAACAGGGAATGTTGCAAAGCTCTCTACACGTTCCATTATAATGGATATTAGGGCAATATTGTTCCTGGGCAGCACTGAGTTCGGCGTGAGATAGGAGCCATGTGAGATGCGAAATAATAATTTTGAGGGGAGATTATGAGCGGCCGGACATACAAAACCTGGCTATTTCCTCCGTACAAACTTCCAAATCCTTCCTCTCTGCTGCCAGCAGCACTATCGAAATGAAAGAGAAAAGGAAAATCTAGCTGGAGACCCCACGGTCGCCTGTTCAGGTACCCAACATCTGCCTAGTTTGGAACCCTTTTTCAGCCCCCCCTAAGTCTATGCCCACAGTATAACCCATCGGCGCAGCCGAAAATGTACGATCAATCTCTTCAGCCCAACAGCGATCCGAGTATTCGAAGTCCGGTTCTAGCAGACCCATTATCAAAACCAGAGCCAAAACCGCATTCTGCTTGGCAGGCCCATCAGGAAGCGCCAAACGAACGTACTTTTCGCCGCGTGTAGATACCTCCACCAGAGTGGCTGAAAGCGAAGTGCCAACTTGGGGCCCAGTAATCCTCTTCGTACCAGTGCTTCGCTGGTTTTTCTCCCCTTAGTACGGTCAATGATCTCATATTCTTCTGGCATTGTTCCAATGTCTTTTGTTTTGCGCTTAAAATCATACGCTACCATATACATAGTAGGATAGACATTATACCAACAAGCAGATATAAGCTCATCGAAGATTTCGTGGCGATTTAGCTCGGGGAAATCCATTACCTTAAATCGACGTTCTAACTCCGGCCCTTCGAGATTAATATCATCATAGGGATTATAACCATATACTAAGAAGTAGAGGAAAGACCCAACTGCAAACTGCTCGGTTCTAGCAGAGCAGAGACCATGAGTACCCGCTAAGGGCCCAGCACTCAACTTTAGCGCCCATGGAGCCATGCTACACTCCAGATATTGCCCAATAGTGGAGGCGCGACCGAAATCAGATAGCTTTAGATTAAGTCTCTCATCAAGAAGGCAATTCATCGAATTTAGATCATTGTGGCAGTATCCCATTTTCTCCACGTATTCGAGGGCAGACGTGAGTTGTTGTATCCATCGAGCGATAAGAGCAGGGTCTTGGTACTCTTTCACACGGATAAAACGCCCGAAGAGACGGTCATCTTCTCGCTCCTGACAATGTTCAAGATAGTAATGGATGAAGGCCTTGTTAGGGCAAAATGATAGGAAAAGATAGTCTGGAAACATAAGAAAACATTCCACAATGTGCGGACATCGGTCCTGGCGCGCGTTAAAGCGTTCGTAAAAAGCGATATCCCCATGCAAAGGGTGTCCTATCTCCTCCTCTTCTTTAAAGTCTCGGTCAGGGCGGACGGTTTTCACCACAATCATCGGACTGACGTGGTAGACATATGCGCTGCCGCCACCGCCAACGTAGTTATGTTTATGCAGAGCATCAGTCTCGTAGAAGCCCATGGCAAATATCGCGACGTCTATGATCGCCGTTTCGTAGGCGTGCAGAAGCTCAGTGAAGGCACAGGGAAGTAGTTTGTGTGTTGTGGCAGATAGTTGATTGTTCGGTGCTGGTGAAAGAGTTGAGATTGTTGTTCAGCCCCTGAGAAAAGAGACAAAAAGACCTGTAACACGCCCGACACTATGCCGTTTTCGGCAAAACGGCCATCTTGACGATTTTATCTTCGGGTATAAAGAGATAATTAATTACGAAGCATGAGTACTACAGGGATCGTAGCTGAATGAATTAAGAAGATAGGTTGCAAGTATAATAATAGTGTGGCGGAGACAGAAATTCATCTAACGTATAACTACTAGAGAAGTTTATCTATGAGACCTATTGATACTACACTGATATCGACAAAGCACATCCAACACAACCCCAGACTTAGATCGCCGGTTCCACTGCAAGTATAAATATCTAGCGGAGATTCAAAGTCTCAGAGCAATTCTATAGAACCGTTAGATTCGAAGTAATCTTGGATATCACAAGGAGAACTCACAGGGATATTTGAAGCCCGGGGCAAATTTCTTAGGGCCACCTTCTGCGACCTCATACCATTTTCCACCAGGCGTGCGGGCCCAAAGACCTTTAGCCTGGCAGTCGTCGCAAGGATCACGTTTAGTCAAGCTAGCAATGTTATCATTTATGCCCTTCTCTATTCCGCAGGAACCACATCCGTTAGGGACTAGACTGCCGGGCGTTTCGAGGACATGGCTGCAACCAAAAATGATTTTATTATAGGACCTCTTGCACATGTCGACGGGATCTATTCTCATCAGTCATCTCTTCCATTATCAAGACCAGGAGAACAGAATATATTAAGCTGAAGGTTTACCTAGGAGGAACCTGTTGTGGTTGAGTTATGGGATATGGGATATGAGTAGCTATGCCTGAGATTTCTCCAAAGCTGCACGGGTTCGACAGAGGATTCAGTGATGAAAATGGCTCCAGGTTCGAGCGAACAACCGCTTTAAATACTGCGCTACGGGGGAGCACGAGGCTCTGCTATACTCTAGGCAGCCATCTGTATCCCGTGCGAGGAGGTGTGCATGGGAGCGGTTTTGAGTGGATGGACGGTGCAGGGATATGTTCAGGTCTCGTTGGAGGGGTCAGAACGCTGGGGGCCACGGGGCATCATGTATACCTTCGTTCGTTATCCATGCATGGCTCCGGCAAGAACATATAGCTGGCTTGGACGAGTGCTTGTCTAAAGAAATAGAGCCTCATTTAGAGAGGTAAGCAATAAATTCTCCTATATTATTCTAGGCACATCCCCCTCGGGAAATAAGTACGATCGATGGGGTTGGCAGTCGAGCCGCTCTTAACTACATAGATAGTAACATGGCAATACACCCGTGGCTTCTTGGGCTTGTATATAAGGGTCGTCATGCGCATCGTTGGAGTACTTGTGTATGGTATGCTATAGTTTGATGCTGGGTGCAACCGCGCCAATGAGCTAGAAGTGATTATGTTCGCCCCTCGAAATCCGACTTTGCCGTATTGGTGGCCAGGCATCTGTAACAGCTGGCAGGATTAGTTGATCAGCTCAAAAAGGGAGATTCACGATAAGTTCCGGGGATTCTCAGTGGGGAAGGCCTTTACGCCCTTTAGCGCCTCTAATTTTCCTACCCGGCCCCTAAGAGATATCATCAAAGACTGACCTAGGATACTAGTAACACTGTTACAGCTATAAAACACAGCGGCTCTTAAGACCGTACGTTGACTCCCTTTGCCTTCTCTCGAGGCTGTTAAGATATATATCAACTAATTAGAGACTAGCTTTTAGGGTTTAGGGTTTAGTCCCCGAGGCTTAGGCATGATTACATGATATTTCCAGGGGTTTTAAGTGGGGTCTGCTGACTAGCTCGCCCGTCGATCCCGTCGAGGCCGCCGTCGACTCGCTGCAGCAGAACAACCAATGGGAACTTTTGGCCAGTGGATGGATGATATAATCAAATGCTCTCGGAGGCTGTATGGAGAACACGTGATCACAGCCTCTGCAAAACACAGCGGAACGGCAAAACAATGCAACCAAATGAACACAGGAAAAGGTAATAAACAGGCGTAGAAAATAGATAATGATTATAAATAGAAGGTCTAGAGGCTATACTACGGCTATTTATCTATAGAGAATAAAGGGCCGTCGGCTGACTAGTACTTAAGTAAGATAAGGACTATAAGGTAGGAGGTAGTAGTATGTTAACGGCCAAAGGTAGCTTGATTCAACTAGCTAAGGGGTCCGTAGATCTGTAATGGCCGTATATGCTGGCAGCGATGATACAGCATATGCCATTCGACCAAAAGATCATACACAGTGATGACGCTCGTCATCTCTGGTCGCTGCACTGCTTATATGCTTGATGTTGGAATGCCACGTGATGTGGGCTTGGTGGGCGCATGCTGCGTGGCATAACAAGATCGAAGACAAAACCTATAAAGAGAGAAGGGAAAGAAGGAAGGAAATCTCTAATAGTAGAGAGCTATAGCTCTGCTCTAGTATAATTACTGCTCTAAAAGTCACGTATACAGTATATAAAGAAAGGGAGCCACAAAGAATAATAGTATTAGAAAAGGAGCTATATTATCTTTAGATAATATTTACTAGTCGAGAGGGCGGATAGGGTAGTGGTAAGCACTCCGGCCTAGAATCTCAATTTGATGTGGTAGCACGTGACTGCCATGCCAGGTCATGTGATGTATTAGATAATACCACGTGACCAGCCCTTGCTCTAATACTGTATATTTAACAGTTATATCAACCAAACCAAGCAAGCCACTGAAAACATGCATCTCGATCCTTGCCATGAAGACATGCCCAATGGCGCCCGCATACATTCTCAGGGGATGGCCGGAGTACGCACGCAGCCATATTATATAAACGGATGCCTGTCAGCCCACCACCCTTCCTGACGGCGAGACGACTTCTAGTCTCTGCCCCGTATGCTGCAGCCAACTCGCGAACAGCCAGAGGACTGTCCTGACCAGCCTCCTTCGAAGAGGACGAAGCTTAGCCGGCCTTCCTCTACATACTGGGATACTTTATCGAAGATCTGGCTGACCAAGGACGCTCTTGAGGAGCTCAACCGACGGAACGGAACGTCCAATATCACACCAAGGGTTGGAAGAACAAGATACAGACCACCCATTCGACAGCTCCAGACTACGCTTAAGCAGCATTCTCAGACTCTTGCTCCCGACCCGTCAAGCGGCTGCACACCCAGGAGTCTATGGGAGATCAGGAAACTCTCCATGCACGGCGGGCCTGACCTCTCTGATCTCAGGAATGTAAGTAACATTCTTGCGATATACTACTGATATTTATTTACCAACACCTTGGATTAGTACCCAGAACCTCATATTCTTTGTCCCCGTGATAACATGGTGAGTATACGGAGTTCTGGCCGCCGGAAACGACTTGCAGCGTCTCCTCCAGATGAAGAGAGTACTAGCAAGAACAAGACTGCGAAGACTTCCAGCACCAGTCCCTACAACCGTAACTTTGAGCAAAAATTAATTGATTACGGTGTTTATCCTTCTGAATACATGTATCCTAAAGGTGAGACATTTGCAGAGCCCAATAATTGGGAGGAGCTCAATGATCGACTAGAGCGCCGCCGGGCATCTCTCTCCCCGTCGAGGTTTACGAGCGAAGAATTTCGAGCATTTAAATTAGCCGATTTAGTCGCATCTAAGGAGAGACCTATTTCACGCTTCGCTATACCGATAATGGACGGTCATGTCGAAGACATTAGGTGTATAGGAATGGACTATCCGTTTGGGAACCTTGCCCCTCTAACGGATGGCTCCCTTGCAACCGCAAAACCCGACTATTTCTATGGTTCTCTGCCAGATCAGCTTAACCCTCAGGTCCGTGATAGCCTTAGCCGCTATATTATACCGTCAACACAGACCTCCCTTCCAATGGTCCCAAACTTCTTTCTGGAGACAAAAGGTCCTGATGGATTACCTACTGTTGCCAAGCGGCAGGCCTGCTATCATGGTGCATTAGGTGCTCGGGGGATGCATAGACTCCAGTCGTATAAGCGGGATGAGGTATATGACAATAATACCTACACGATAACCTCAACCTACCAGGATGGCCAGCTCAAACTCTACACCACGCATCTTACAGCTCCTAGTGGTAACAGCAACCGCCCTGAATACATTATGACGCCGCTAAGGTCATTCTCCATGACGGATAGGCTAAGTACACTTCGGAGTGGTATAGCCGCATACCGGAATGCAAGGGACTGGGCGGAGGAGCAGAGGGATATGTTTATTCAATCTGCAAATGAGAGACACTTGCAAGCTCAATCCGAGGAAAATCTCTCTCATGAGGAATCACCTGAACCCATAGCTGCTGCCCCAGGGGAGCCTGATACCTCGCCCACGCCCGAGGAAGTCGAGCCGCGCGATGCTGCGTGGAGTTTTGCACGGCCAGACGGAGGGGCAGCACCCCGAGCTAGCAGTCCCAAAGACAAGTCTCGTCAAAATTAGAGCCCTGGGAAATTTGTTATCAGAGGCGTAACATAAACGTGGAATTATATATCATCAAGCACCCGGAAAACATGTGAATATCAACCCACCTAGCCACCAGTTTATGGAAGAGCTCTCTATATATATATTCTTATTTACTTTATATATGAATATAAGATGTTCAGTTGGTAGATTTTTTTTTGATTTAAAATGAACGTTCAATAACCAGTATGACCATTAATCGTGTGCTATAACATGACAGCATGACAGACATTCCAGGATACCATGAATTCATCAAAATATATTCTTTCATCTCCCGCTCAGACAGATCCCTTGGTCATTTCATCAACACTGCTTGCACGCTTACTCTTGCGAGCGACGGTGAACCCGCCAACAAAGAAGACGATGGCCTGCACACCCAAGACGACTGCAAGGGTGACCATTGCACCGATTACACCAGCTACTGGCCTGGAGATACCGCTGTCACTCTTGGCCGAAGTAGAAGGACCGGATGAGCCGCCATTGTGAGCATCAGGACAACCTTCACTGGCACTACCGCAGGCCTTGCACCAGTCATCCTGCGAGGTGATGGCGATATCCTTCATATGCGAGACAAAGTCGGACCAAGGAAGGAGAGTCTTCTCCTGGCCGAAAAGAGGGTAGACGGTTGGCTCGGTGTCAGCTGAGCCGGGGATGGTGGTTCCATTGTGGAAGAGGAAGCGTACGCTAATGTCTGACTCGGCTGGGAAGGAGTCGGATGAGGACGTGCTGGCGTTGGTGACGAGTTCAAAGGCCATGGTGGAAGCATAGTCCGGGATGCCATTGAAGTCGTTGTTGACAGCAGACAGCTTAGACAGACCAAAGAAGGAGAGGAAAGTGGCGTATGCACCGAACTGGACATTGACCTTTGGCTTGGTCTTGTGTGATTTGATGGTGTCCATGAAGGAGTTGAGCACCTCGCCGGCCAGTAGGGATCCGCTGACTGCACGGATGGAGTCCGAGGCATTGAATGCCAGGCTGTACTCGTGGACGTTAGCCAGGGACAGCAACTCCGAGTAAACATCATCCTCCAACAGCTTAGTGGGCGGGGACGAGTCTGATGCATTGTGGATGGATGCGACGTTCAGCACGTCGAAGATGGCATATGCGTTCTTGTAGTTGATCTTGTCTGCTGGAAAGATCTGGTTCAGCTTGGGAGTGAGAGACTTGTAGAAGCCCTCGGTAGACTTGAGGAGGTCCTTGTACTCGTTTGAGATGAAGTAGTTGTTGCTGCTGATTTTGGCATTCTGGCATGCGCTCGCGCTCTGCAGCCATGCCACATTCTCACTGTTGGAGCCAGACTGGACCTGCTCGATGGCGATGAGCTGGTATCCGTCCATGGGGGCCTCGACGACTGTGCCATTGCGCAGCGTCGTCTTTGCCTCCTTGCCGGCTGGCGGGTAGAGACCCTGGAAGAAGGCGAGGGCAGACTTCTGGAGGACCTCGTCCTGGGGCGCAGAGGCAGTGATCTCGCCCGGAGCGATGATATCTGGGCTGATTCCTAGCACCTGAGAGGAAGAAGAGGAAGAGATGTATCGGTTGCGATAGTATTTGCCAGACGAGAAGACCTGGCTGTATCCCAGATCCGTCAGGACGGTGGGGGGAGTCGACTTGGATGTCCGGTCCCCATGGCGAGAGAAGATGTAGGCACCCAGCACCGTCTCCGCAGCGGCAGCCTGAGCCAGAAGAGTGACTGTCAAGAGTGAGGCACCGGAGTTCAGCATCTTTCTTTTTCTTTTTTTTCTTTTCTTCTCCTTTTCTCTTTTTCTTCAGGTGTTGCGACTGAGCAGAGAACGACGGCCGCTGGCGACGAATTTATATCTAGACAAGATATAGAACCGGGATGTCACCGGGATTTCTCAAGTGGGGGAACGCTTTCTTTTTATCCCTCTCCAGCGTATTATATTCTGCTCAGGCTTTCTTTATCAAATAGCAGTTCGTATTGGCCGGCTGGTTCGTATCCCACGGTTGCAGCGCAGGATGGGCAGAGACAAGGGAGGAAGACGCAAGCAAACTCGCCTATTTATCTTCATTCTAGTCATGTTCATGCAAGAGAGGAGTCGACCATGGCCTGACAGGCATTCCTAGGTTCTTTTCTCAGAGCCTTCCGTTCTCTTCCGGTGTCCCATGTCGATAGTCCTGGAGACGTGAAGAAGTTTATGGCTGGCTGGCTGTCGATAGAAATATAGTTAACTATCTGGACGTTGAAGGCATATCACACGAGTTTATAAACTACTCCATACACATCTCGTACTGCATATTACTGGCTTCTACGGTGATGGCCTTTCCATGGCTGGCTGCGTGTCTTGCATTGGCTGCAACTCACCACCGACTAGATACATCGATGGTTTGTATGCCCAATGGCTACGAGTAATCTTTTAAGAAGTGCCTCTTGATACTCACGCAATAGTGGCAGCGATATAAGAAGTGGATGTCCTTGGAGTGACTGGAGAATCCAACCTCCATCACCGGCTCAACCAACCAACCTGATCATGGTAAAATAGCCATTGGCCAGCGAAATGCGCCCTTCGACAGGGATACAGGGCGTTTCAGTTCAAGTTTCTCTCCACAAAGACGAAAGCTTGACATAAGTATATTGTTTTCTTTTTCTCTCCCCACGGCTTGGTATAAAACATTCAGGCCGGAGGATAACCTGCTGAAGATACGTAGGACTCCACTGCTGGTAGACTGAATCCCTTAGAGATGGAGAAGAAGACGATCCAAGGAGAGCTGGACATAGAGCAGCATCGAGAGCTGCCGGGACGGGCTGGATGGCGTGTCATGGCCCTGCGTCTTGCCCAGTTGCTCTGTTTGACGGGAGCACTCTATGCCTGTGTCTCCTATGGCCGTCTGGGCCGTGAAAACAGAGCCATCGACGTGGATCGATTGATGCAAGAGTCTCCGTTGATAGGTGAGTCGGCCTGTTTATAGTTAATGGCTGGACGTCTGGCTGACGCTGTGTGAACAGATACACACGATGACTTCCCCGAGTTCATCCGTTCGATGTACGGAAACGACATCTACCAGAAGAACTTCACCGTTAAGGACGGCCTCCCCTTGCATGTTGACTTCCCCAGGCTTCGTAAGGGCCGTGTAGGGGCTCAGTTCTGGAGTGTTTATGTTGACTGGTGAGCTCCTAGACTTGAAATAAGCCAGTTGACGATGGAAGCTAACATGGCTGTAGTCCAAAAGTATCAGACAAATATGATGACTCGGTCTACTCGAAGAATGTCCATGATACATTCCAGCAGATAGACCTGGTGCAGCGTCTCATCCAGGAATATCCAGATACCCTCATAGGCGCCCTGACGGCAGAAGACGTGAGGCGCAACTTCGTCCAGTCTCCCGGCAAGATCTCAAGCTTGATGGGCATCGAAGGCCTTCATCAGATCGGAAACAGTGCAAGCATCCTTCGAGCATACTACAATCTCGGAGTCAGATACGCTACCCTCACCCATTTTTGCCACAACAAGTACGCTGACAGCGAACACCCTGCCAAACCTCTCCACGGCGGCCTGTCAGATGCAGGAAAGGAACTCGTTCTGGAGATGAACCGTATAGGGATGATGGTCGATATCTCGCATACCAGCGCAGACACGCAGCGTGACGCACTGAAGGCGTCTCGTGCACCCGTCATATTCTCACACTCCAATGCATTTGCTCTCTGCAAACACACTAGAAACGCACCGGATGATGTGCTACACATGCTAAAGGATAACAGGGGTGTCATTATGGTGACTTTCTTGCCAGCATATGTGAATATATCGGGTAAGGCCAGTCTGTCTGATGTTGCCGATCATATTCAGTATATCGGAGATTTGATCGGCTACCAGCATGTTGGAATCGGCTCCGATTTCGATGGTATGGGTAGCGTTCCGGAGGGCCTTGAGGATGTCTCTCATTATCCCGATTTGATTCAGGAGCTGGTCAACCGTGGCGTCAGTGTCGAAGATATCAAGGATGTGATGGGAAGAAACATCCTTAGAGTCCTGGAGGAAGGTGAAAGAGTAGCGGCAAAGCTATCCAAGTGTGTGAAGCCTCTTCAGGACCATATTGAGTAATTAACCTGGCCCTCTTATCTTATACGGCATCTGCTTCAACTATAGATGACCGATATATGTCTTCTAAATTTGTATAGAAATACTGATCGGCTAAAAATTTCGTCTATTCTTTCATTAATATATCTTTATCTGCCATCAACTCGCAGCCTGAGCGTATAACTCCAATCATACCGCCTGTCTGGATGGCCTCACTCCCTCCCCCTGATAGCCTCCATTCTACATCTGCCAACCCTTCTATCCAGGAAACTCTAACTTGTGGAGGAACTTCTAGACTTTGAAGCTCCGTCGAGAGTGCGGTGATTATATCTGCCAAAGCCAGTCCCTTGTTGGACTTAAGCGTCTGTACAGTATTTAAACATGAAGTCACATCTGATGTTGACAGAAGGGTTTCTAGAATGGTTCTGATGTCAGTTGGATGCGGAGCAGCGATACATGTGTATATCGTCTCTTCAGTTATGAGTTCTCTCTCTTCCGGAGATTCATTAGCCTCGCCCTTTTTCGAAGGAAGTGGCATACCTATAGTTTAATTAGCATTATATACACAATGGGGTGATTGTACGTCCATGGATACTTACTGCTCGCGTGACATGCTTGAAGAACGTTCAAAGCTCGCCTCATGTCTCCCTTGCTCAATTTAACCAAACTATCAATGGCGTCTGGCTGTATCTGCACTTGTTCCTTGTCTATGACGGTATCAACCAACTTCCTGATATCCTGCTCCTTCAATGGACTGAATCGGAACCGCGTGCATCGGGACAGAAGTGCGGGAGAGAGCTTGTGGGTATAGTTTGCAATAATGCAAAATCGGGTGTTGGCGGTATACTTTTCCATTATTCGACGCAGTGCCATCTGTGCAGCAGAAGTCATAGCGTCGGCTTCGTCAAGAATAATTAGCTTGAATGCCCCTAAGCCAGAGCCGGACGAGGGCGCTGTTGAGAATATTTGTTTTGTGCCTATTAGTGCCGCATAGTCAGTGAACCTGCCTTAAACTTGTGGTCACGGATAACTTATACATACTAGCGAAAGTTTTGATCTGCTCTCTCACTACGTCGATTCCTCTGTCATCACTTGCATTGAGCTCTAGAACCATTTGGCGCATATTCTTCGATCCATATATCCGTCGCGCCAGCGCGAGGATTGTCGATGTCTTTCCTGTTCCAGGAGGGCCATATAGGAGGAGATGAGGGAGTCTCTAAACATGGGAGTTTAGCAGGAGTATCCTGCATCGTATAGAATGGTATGTTCTCACGTTTGATTCGACAAATCTGTTTATAGTAGCAATGATATCTTGGTGTCCAGAGACATCGTCCAGCGTATCAGGGCGGTATTTCTCAACCCTTTTTAATCTCGAGTTAGATTGAAATTGATGTAAATATTCCAAGGCACAAAGAGACTTACCAGGGAAGATTGTCTCCCGCTTCAACAGGCAAATCAGCAACAATTCTCTTTCCCTTCACGTCTGTACTGTCGGCAGTGAACGCTGCTGGTTCATGAGCTGGCGGGGCATCAATGTCCATATCATCCTCGTAGTCTGACATTTCGGCATATGTTGGTCAGCCTTCAAGTACTTTAAAGTCGATTGACGGTACACCACTTCTAAAGAGCTATTTTTAAGTATTGTATAGCTTGAGAGGGTCAATTAGACTAGTCAACAGCTTTTTGATATCCTTCAACTTTCTTGACGCGGCCGCGTTTACAGAGGCCGGAAAAGGAGAAACAAAACCCCGTGTGCGCTCCTCATCCCTCCATAATAAACAGCTTCGAAGTCCGATATCAAACAGACAGCATATAGCAAGACACAGCAGAGAGTCTTATTCCACTGACTGTTACCTCTTGTCGTGTTATGTTTCTTCCATAATGCCCGTGAGTCCCCAATTACCACGTTCTGCCATCTGTCTTGGTACCTAACTTACAAGCTAGGCATACCACTCTATCTTCCTCGATGAGGCCAACGTCCAGACCATAGGTATGCCCTCCCCAGGGATACGCCTTACTTGGCCTAAGGATCAGATATTTCACTCCCAAAAGTAGGATAACCGCTTACACAATAAATAGGGAACTTCCCTATCCTCCCTCTCCGCACCCGCACAAGGGGGCCGGCATATACACTACCACTACTTCCTCCAGGATCCTCAGACCTAGATATCGACCCAGACAGTGAATCCTATGACTGTCTTGATGAAGTTCTCTCTCTATACCGTGCGAATACCTTCTTCCGTAACTTCGAGATTAAGGGCCCCGCAGATCGCATGATGATATATGGTATATTATTTGTGAGCGAGTGTTTGGGCAAAGTCAAGCCAAACATGTCATCAAGGGAAGCAGAGAAGGTATTGATCGATTGACTGGGCATGCGTATTAATTTTGGTTTATTAACACTGGCCTAGGCTCTTATCAACGCTTCCCTCGATCACTTCGCGATACCGGGTGACGCTGCGTTCCCTCTCAACCAGGCCTTTGAACCTCCAAGGGATCGCCAGGATGCTGAGGCTTTGAGACAGTATGTCATATTTTCCTCCATAGGTTACCATTTTTACCAGCCTCTACTGTCAAACGTGGTAGGTCCGAGATCGGCAGTTAACATGCGGTGACCCTAGATATATATCACAAGTACGACAAGAACTCGCGATCAGACTTCATACTAGGTTATACCCCGGGGGTGAAGGGCCATCAAAGGTAGGTTAGGACCCATTCCTAACTCAATGATCGATGCTAATTGGTCGTGACCTGTAGTGGTGGCTAAGCTTTTCGAAACGGAAATTCATGGGCAAGTCCCTGTAAATACTCCTCTAGAAATGCAACCCAGCCAATAATTTTCTGTGCCTACTGCTATTTCTGACATTCTGAGCTCGATTCAAATAGCTCTTGAGTCGGAATTTTGGGTGAGAGAAGCATTGATATGGCATATCTATATTTTATGAGCATACAACAAATGAACGAATCATTGTTTTAAACAGATATTATTGCTCTGATTTATATTATAGTTCTATTCCTCCTTATCACACTAGGTCGGCGTCTGCGATTTCGGCTCCTATGCAACTGTTAATAAAGTTTCTTACCGCAAGGTCCAATTATCACTTAGCCCGAATACTCTTGGTCCTAGGTCCTACAGGCTCGATATACGGCCTTTCTACAAACAAAGCGACCTTCTTTAGACTAGAAGGGATGGACGGGGATAACGCTTAGTTGTCTTAAAGCCGAACTCTTACCGGACCTAAAGATCCATATTTGGTTGCGTCATCGTCTAAACCCCGAGCTTTCTCGATCAAATTATTAATGGCGGATAAATTAATAAACAATATGACAAATGTCTGATCCTTCAGGGAGGATTTAGAAATCGGGTTATCGGGAGCTCGGTCTTTCATAGCTTCCGTTGGTAAAGTTAAGAGGCATTACTAGTAACTAGTGACAACATATAAATATGGCTCTGAGGAATCAGTCCAAATGCCTTTTTGGTATACCACCTACCACTGCTTGAGTATCTTCAACTAAACAGAAGTATTTGGACCTCATCTCACTTATTATTTGATTCTCTGGAAAGCTCTGCCGTATATTCATTCCAACATGTCTTACCTGAGGAAGGTTGCTATTGTCGGGGTAAGTAGTAAACATATCTTCAACGGGATTTACGTGTGCATAATCTAACTGTAATTTAGGCCACCGGTACCATTGGAAGATCCATTGTTCGAGAGATACTCAAGGCTCAAAAGCATGAAATTACGGCTATCACACGAACAGTCAGCAAAGCCGTGATGCCAGACGGTGTCAAAGTTGCAAAAGTCGACTATGACAATCAATCTACCCTAGTCTCTGCACTCCGAGGACAGGATGCTCTCATTATTACTATGGCCGCTTTTGCACCTGAGGATACTCAACTCAAATTAGTCGAAGCAGCAGCCGAAGCTGGAGTTCCATATGTCATTCCCAACGGATGGGGTTTGGATCCAACTCATCCATTGTCAGACGACGTTTTCATCGGACCCGCTTGGCGTGCTATCTTCAAGCGTATAGAAGAGCTTGGTAAAAGCAGCTGGATTAACTTCGTGTCGGGATTCTGGTACGAGTTCAGCCTGGGTGGTGGCGTTAACAGATGCGGATTCGACCTCAATAACCGCTCTGTGGTCTTTTTCGATGATGGTACCGCTCGCATTAACACCTCAACCTGGGACCAGACAGGAAGAGCTGTTGCAAATTTCCTTTCTCTAAAGGAAAAACCCGACAATGGAGAGGATGAGCGTCAGACCATCTACGGCTTCAAGAATAAGAACGTTTACTTCTCCTCTTTCCACGTGAGCCAGAAGGATATGTTCCAATCCATCCTGCGGGTAACCGGAACTAAAGAGGAGGATTGGAATATCACATACGAGCCGTCGGAGAAGCGATATAAGGGTGCGGTTGAATTGATTAACCAGGGGGATCACGCGGCTTTTGTCAGGGCTATGTATACGCGAGCATTTTACCCAGAGGGCTCAAGTAACGGCTCTGGTGCATTTGAATCTATGCATAGTCTTCAAAATGGTTTGCTGGGTTTACCCAAAGAGGACTTTGACGAGCGGACTAGGGATGCTATTGAAAATGCCGAAGCGTTCAGACAGGGATACTCGTAGCTTATAGCTACGTATTGATACTTTAGTAATAGGTGAATGTAGCATCCACATCTCTATACATATGCCTTGTTTCTGTATGTAGCTAGGCAGCCCATCAATAAATTAGAAAGTGTATCCTGTATCATTATACTTGTTCAGTGTAGTGTCATCCTCTAGTTTAAATCAGTTATAAATGGAAGGGAAGACCGGGCAGGAGGGCGAGCGATAGAGTAACTACGGGATTTTAACTAGCTTAACCTTAGGGCTATAAGTTCTTTGTAAGAACCAAGTGTTGCCCATCACAATTATCATCTAATGCCTAGGTTAACATAATAAACAAAAGAAACCCAAATCAAATCAAATACATCCTACATTATTCCATTAGATGTTGATATATATATAAAGACATGGATCAAATCCATGCTGGGGGTACCCACACAGTTTCACTTGCATATAGTTTAGAAGAAACCCGCGGGCTAGTATCATAACATCAACTTCTTATCAGACTCATAAATCATCGAATTGGGGAGACCAAGAATTGTCCTTTCGAATATAGGTTCTTTTTGGGGATGAATATGCAGCGCGAATGTTGAAGTACAGCCCATTCCATCATACAGCGAGGCTTCTCAAGGTTTGACGGCCTTCACGGAAATGTATCCAATCTCACCCCAACTAAGATACCGCTCAACACCTATCAAGGTGTTGGTGTAGCGCTCCTTGACTCCAAGTAGCCAGAAAAGATGGTACGGTAGGAATCCAATAAACCCTAGCAATCGCCACAATGGTAGTATCTCCTCAGTGAGGTCTTCTAGGTCGATATCCTTGAAGCCAGTTGCTCCCAGTAGCCGGGATAATTCCCCCCGCTTGAGAGTACTTGGAGTATGCCATAGCCTGGAAGTATCCTGAACGCCTTCGGAATCATGTATGATATCGTTCTCATGGTGAACCAATACACCACCAGGTTTCAAGATTCTATAGAAGTTCTGCAGGACACGCATATTATCGTCTGCATGTACAAAGGTTTCCATGGTATAAACACCGTCAAAGGAGTTGTCGGCGAATTGGGTTAGATTGTGGTAGTCTGCCAAAGAAACTGCTACTTTGTCCTCGAGGTCATACTGCTTGACGTTTTGTTTGGCATCTTCGACATGGAAGGGGAGAAGGTCAATTGCATCGACGTTGAGTCCCTTTTTAGCCATATACATTGCGACGAATCCAGAGCCAGCTCCTGCGTCAAGAACACGAGCTCCTGGCTTCAAGTTCAACTTGTTGTATACCTTTTCTTCCATCCTTCTTTGCGCCTCGTGGATGGGAAAAGGCCATATTGTTCCCTTCTCATATAGGCCACAGTGGCGGGTGTTTCGGAAGAAAAACCAATATCCAGCACGAGACTCGAGACTACCGTAATACTCCTCGACAGATGGAGCTTCTGAACCAGGGTTTGCGAATAAGGCTTTAAATGGGGAGAGAAGCAGGTTAGCAAGGGTCCGGGTACGGAAAATGGACTATGGCATCGCTTTGAGCTTACCAACTGCGATCGCAACAAGGCAGATGAGTAAAGCCCCAAGGTAACGCCGCCGAATAGGTATAAGTCGCCCTAGAAGTTGAGATCGGTCAACCAAGGACATCCAGCATGTGCTAAGTGGGATGATGCGGAATATATACCTGACATTTTCAGTCAAATATTGACTATATATATATACTCACACAAGATATACGAAAACCTCTATAGAAGCAAGAGAGAAAGAAAATTGAGAAAACGAGGGCCGGCTCGCACAATTTCAACCCTTTTAAAATGGGATGAAAAGCGCAGCACAGCCCAGGAAACATTGCAGGGGTTATGGTCCTTTTTTGCCCTTGACAGGGTCGAAGGACTGACGGGCGGCTAGTTACGAGATCTGGTTGGCTGTCAGTGATCTCACAATGGCTTATACATATGCAGGAAGGGAGTTACAATAGTATATCTGTAATTAATACAATAAATACAATAAAAAGCATTATTCGTGTGGGCCTATGTATTAGTTACACGAATAATAATTCCGACCAGTGAAGGCCATCCTCCATACACAGTCCGAACTGCTGAGGACTGCTGGTTAACATAGCTTTGATCACTGGTTGAAAAATATGAAATAGCTAATATATTCAGAAAGAACCAGTTATATGCCCTCTAGGGAATCCATGCAGCGCTAAAATATCCAATAAATAACATACCAACATCTGTGATCTTCCGTCGTATGTACAAATGCGAAAAAATAAGTAAACCATATTTACTTCTGCTCAAAGATGTGGCCAATACCTGGACCATTCGACCGTTTGGAATGTGCTAGAAGGTAACTCCCGGAGTGAGATGACATCCTCTATCAAGACAAATATCCTGAAAATAGCGTACATGACGCAAACCGGTGTCGAGAGGATGAGAGTTCTGAACGGCACATCAAATTCTGGATCTTTGTCAGGTGAATTGTTCCTCAACGCAAGCCGAATATGGGTAATAAGTCTTTTGGCATAGGAAGCACCGTCTCTGACTAGATCTCTTGCTTGCCTGGCAGTCACCGGAGGTGGAAGGTGTGTGGTTTTTTCCGACATGGAACATTTTTGGGGCTTTCGTTCGTTTTTCTTGGCTGATTCGTTCACAGCAGAGCCAAATACACCCAGAAAAAGGGCGCCAAAGGCACACAATGCAATATTAAAGATACAAGACACCCTCCAGAATAGCCGCTCTCTCTCGGAAGGGAGGTGAAAGTTCCAGGAACAAAAAAATATCGCTGCATAAAATAATGCAAATATGACCAAGATTGTACCTGGAACCTCGGCATATCTGAATGGCGAAATTCGGTTGATCGGTCGTTTGGGGCGTGAATGATATACCAAGTTCATATGACGCAACACATTGATGCAGTAGGTCCAGATAACATAGGTAATCCATTCTTTCCTGTCGATGAAATCCATGGGAGTATATCGATAAGGTGTCGAAGCTTTTTCGCCAGCGTTTAACAGTATCTCCTCGATAGTGAAATTGGACTCGAGGATGATGGAAGTTTCAACATCCATTGGCTTATGTCTCCAACACGCCGCTGTAGCTAAACTACAAAATATGAAGGCAACGGTGGTTATTTCCAAGGTAGTTATAGCTAGATGCTGTACTGATCTCATGATAACAGCGAGAGTGAACCAGAGAATTTGGACGATGGTAATCAATCTATATAGCGCTCACATCAGTAAACGAACCCACGGAATTTAATGGCTTCACCAAAAAAAAGTCTATGCACCTTGCAAGCCCACTAGCCTTATCTTTGTCCTGAATATGTTCCTTTGTTACCTCAGGGAAAGGAAGGTACCCTTTTGTGACTAGGTAATGCAGTTCCTTGCTGTTGACTGGGAACGATTTCCAACCTCGTGGCTGAAAGGTAAAGCCACCCATATCGGCGTAGAATGCATGAGTGATGGTCCATCCCGTATAACCTGAGTCATGAAATGCCTCAACTGATTTCCGAGCAGATAGGTATTGCCCTAGCGCCAGCATGAAGACAAACTCCGGCCCAAGGACGTTCAAGCAAAACAGGTGCCATTTGTCGAGAAATTGTCGAAATTGTGAATTCTTTGGCGGGGGAACATTGACACATATACAGGTCCAGCTACACAGGAAAATGGTTATCACACAAGATACGATTATATCTAGTGTGCCACGACCATCTGGTTGCGGAACCCAAGAGCAAAGTTCCTCCTCTACCACACTAGTGTTGTTGAAGGTGGCTTCCATTAGGCATCGACGTCCAGAAAAAACATATCATCAACCATAGCATCCCCAGAGCAAACCTCGGATGATTGGGGTCATATTGAAATCATCGAGGTATATAACTATTCCTCGACGGCATGCGGGGGAGGGAGGAGGGCAGGGGATTGCACCGCAAGTGAAGGTATGGACGCTGATGCATATGCATGTTAGCGCCAGCACCGTATATGTAAATAGAAGACAATGCAATTACTTCATCCATATGTACACGTTCAAGTTCACCCATCCAATTAGCTGCGGGTTAAATTGTTAGTTACTAAATTTAGTCTTATACAGCTCTAGGGGTAACTAAGCGCCCAGGGTAGGACTAAACCCAGGCGATATAATACCTGCATCAGCCAATCAAAGATGCAACGCGCACCCGAGGGCAACCAGGAATCAACAAGTCCCCCGTATTGTCTAACAAATTTAGCTAAAATTAAAACCAAATTCTCTTGTGAGTGGTTCTGTCTAAAGAATAACTAGTCTTATAACAGAGCAGTGTCGTCTTTTTGGCCGAAGCAACTAATAATTGGGTATTGTGAATATGACTAAAGTAGTTATATTCGCTGACAAAGGAAAAAAAACCCGTTGCCACGTAGTTACACTAGTTAATGCAGTTACGGACGCGGTATCTGAAAATAAGTATCTTTGGGTGCTTCAAGGGGCTGGATTAAGATCTTCGAAATTTCTTCATCGTGGAGACTAGAATATATAACCAAGCAGATATGAACATTGATAGTAGTAAAAATGGGGTAGTAAAGTAAATTTAACATGTAGCATGTAGCACAGGTTGTTGACGCTTAGCTTGAATAATAAGGAGAGTTTCGATCTGTGGAGATGACATAGTGATCTACATAGTTAAAAAGCTGTTAAAGTTACCTTCTAAGCAAAACATAATACTATATTGCATTTGCCGTTTTAGCCCTCCTGATAATATCCATATGGGTTCAAAATTATTCACTATTATCCAAGTCCACATTCTATATATTATCAAAGGCTACCTGATCAGGATCAGGAATATTAAAGTCTGCGTGCGTGGAAAAAAAAAACAAGTTAATCTAGCATGGGATGCGCGTCGAAGCCATGAGTACTGATTTCTAGCTCCATTTTGAACAGAGAAAGTTTTTGAAGGTCAGCAACTGCACCAGGTGCCGCACAAGGATCTGGGGCATCAGGAGAACTCCATTTGGCAAGCATTTTGTCAATCCACTTCTCAACAAAATCTGTAGCTTTTCTCTGCATCCCATCGAGAAGGTCTTCGAAGAATTCGTCCCATACTCTGACTAGCCTCACCCTTTTCCCGTGTTTCTCTCTGTAAGAGAGCTCAACGTCACGAAACACCTTTCGAAGGTTTCCCTCAATGGTAATAAAGGATGTCCGAACAGATATAGAGTTCAAATATTCGAACACTGCGATTGTGGTTTGGATAACAATGATTGCGGGATGGGGGTCATCCGCATCATATAGCTCCTGCATTCTAGTCTCCGTGGCCGGGTTCTTGTTTGACCACAACTATCGGAACACTAAGGTTTAGTGATAAGGGGCAATGATAGGTTAGGGTTGATTCACATACGATTGCTTTCATTCCGTTGATACCTTCCTGGAGGAGCCAGAAATTCCCGTCATTAGAGGTAGAGCCCAGAGCGTCCATTATTCTATCATTCGGGACGGGTGACTGATACCCGCCTGGGAACGACGGTGGATCACGCTCATTATGGAGGAATGTGCCAAGTTCCACAAAAAATTCGCACGGTATTGGATCGTAAGTTCCCATCGAGTAAATATACTTGCCTTGGCTAGCGTATTCGAAAAAGAGCGTGATAGTCTGAATCTCTAGAATATGCTCCGCTGCAAATGCATTTATTTAGTAAGGAATGCCAAGATCGTTATTTAGCGTGATCTGAGAAGCTAACTTACTATGATATTGTTGTTCCGTCTGTGGAGTTTCAACGTATGTGTTAACTTTAGGATTGCCGCAATCTTGACGGTCCAACATATCTATGGCCCGATTCCAAATATCATGGTTTGCGTCCCAATCCCAAGCAGAGGTGTACTCCGCGGGCGAGATCTGAAGTGTGTGGTAAGATCCGTCTTCACAATAGGCCTTGTACTCACGTACTTCGCTGGAAAACGTGTGTATGTCGTTTGAGGTGCGATGCTCTTCGGTCCCCACGTTACCGTGTGGGTGTCCCGTAGGGAGGTGATTTTTGTCATCCTCAGGGGAACAAACCTCCGCGACGAAGTCACAGATGGTACCCTGACAGCCGCATTCTTTGTTGCGGTCCTTATCAAGTTGTTGGTTGAAGCCGTTAAGATCACACAAGATGTTGTAGGCCGCATAGACTGCACCTTTGGTTTTCCATATCACTGTGCCGACAACGAAGGTCTTGAGAGATTTCATGACCAGGTTAGGGTATGTATCTCTAACTCTTGTATCCCAGTCCTCCACCTGTTTCTTTTGCAACACAGTGTAAGTCACTGCTTGGAATAGATCTCCGAGGGTTGTAATCAGTACTTCTAATTCCTTGGGCAAGCTCTCCTCCCTCTTAGTTACTGAGCCATGTGATACCCCCAAGTTAGGGAGAGACGACGGGTCGAATGGGTGTCCTGTAGGGCACAGTTGCTTATCTAGGTGTGTCTTAAGCGCATCGCGGAAATCCGTGACGCGGGGGTTAAGTTGTGTATGTTCCACATAAACCGAAGGCCGACAGCAAAACGAGTTTGCACCACCGATATTCTTGCACACTTTAGAGTGGGTATCCATTGCAAGCCTGATCTTGTCCTCAGGGCATCCTGAAAGGCATAACGACGAGCTAAAATGTGGGTTGCCGATACCGCCAGAAAAGTCATTACCGAAACAGTCATCGAGAGAGTTGGTACCCTTGGTGCCATAGCATAGAGATCTTGACTCAAAAACTTGAACTGCATCCCAGGAGTTACCCACGTAATTGAAGCTGCATACAGCTCCGCCACTTCCAGTTTCGGATTTTACCAAGACCTCGCGTTTGTCCTGATCGGTGTATGGACATGATCCGGAATCGCAATTAGGGTATCGTGACCACTCGACTCTTTGGTAGGCTTCCATACTGCGTTTTTCAACTTTGCAGCATGCCGCCTGGTACCTATCGTTGTTGCAATACATCGAGTTCGAGCCTACTTCGACCTGACCATCTGGACATTCGGTTGTACACTTGCCATTGTGATGTTGATACCACCCACACTCCACCGTGCCCCAATCGTTCGGACAACACCACGTGTTAATGAGCCCTTGTGGGCAGCCAGTCTGGTCGAGCATTATCTCGCCCTTTTTGGCCTCCTTATCCAACCGATCAACAACATGGTATCCATTGGGGCATGTTTCACCACAGCCTGTCCATTTACACTGCTTGACTGGATCACGAACATCGACATAAACTTCATCGTCCCCATTCTTGATAGGAAAGAAAACGTCAAACGAGCGTTTAGCAGCTTTTGCAAGTGCTTTAGCGTACTTGTTATCCGTGGTATCGTGACTGATAGCCCAAACCATCACTCCTCCCAGGCAACGGAGTCGGGCGTGAGAGGCCTTAAGTGCAAGCGTCTCCTCGTCGTCGAAAGTAAGCCATTGGTCATCCCATGTTAAAATCTTAACCGCAGCATCTTTATCTAATTTTGGTTTAAGATTTTTGGCTTTGATAATGTCGTCGATCTCGCTATTTAATAGAACCCCAGTCTGTTTGCTGCAGGGACCGGGGTCAGATCCAGACGTAAACAAACAGCCAGGATTCCTTTTTCGTTGTAAAGAGTGCGTGACGGGTTAGAAATGATATAACTATGGATATAGAGCGTGTTTGTACCACTTTGAGTCTAGATTTAAGCAACTTACAGGCAATTTCTATCCTCGACGGTAAAAGCTCTTGCGTAAAAGCCTAAACCCATCACAACTTTACTAGGATTGATATCATTGCGCCATATCAAATCTAGTGCCAGTTCAATTTCCGTTAAATTTGTATGGGCGTTAAGAATATTCCCGGTCCATTTATTTCCTTGAATAATCATTATTAGAGATATATAATTGCAAGGTTATGGCCTTACTAACCTTTATCCCAAGTTCCATGCAAATCATAAGACATGACGTTGAAGTAGTCAATATGTGGTGATAAATTTTTCAAATCAAAATGCTGAAGGTACCAATATGATGCCGGGAGAGTGAGACTAACTTCCTCTCTTCCGCCAGTTGATTTCAGTGCATTTTTTAGATTTGCCATAAATTTTGGGAAGTTTTCAAAGTCTTGGGGTCGGCCGCCTCTGTCTTTATCAACTGGATACTCCCAGTCAATGTCTACTCCATCAAAGTCATAAGTCGCCATGAATGATATGAGTGATTTAAAGAATTCTCTCTGGTTAGCTTCGGACCCGACAAGATCTGAGAAGGTAGTTGCTGTTGGTCCAGGGTCATTGAAAGCCCATCCTCCAATTGCAATGTTGACTCTAAGAAAAGGATCTCGTCTCTTAAGAGCGGTAACCCGCGCCATAAGGTCAATGTCTTTTAAGGTTGCGGGGACAACATGAAATGTGATCGGGTCAATGAGTGCAAAGGCATAATTGATATGGGTATATGTTAGGGGTATAAACTCGGGATACATCGCATAGCATGGCCTATTTGTCCCGAATCCCTCATAATAGCCGACTACCCTATGTAGAGTACTCTGGCTAGGACAGTTGGGGCGATCGACTTTGACATCTCCTGTTGGTATCCGTTTAGCAAGTAGAGCGCTTAAATAACATGGAAAGTATGAACAGAATGTTTATTAACGTACCGCAGAATGGTTTAGTTGTTCCACAAAAGCCATATCTACAAATAATTAGAAGATGCTATAAAATGGATTGAAAAACATACTTGCTGCAGCAGACATTCAGTGGACACTTAGATTTCTGGGCGTATCCCGCCCCAAAATCTCCCGGGTCACATTCTGACTTACGGTCACAAGTAGATAAACAGTTTTCTGGGGCACAGACTTTGTACTTGGGGATTAGCAAAATAAAATTCCCGCATATTATATAAATTCTGGGTTAAATAACAATGAGATACTCACAATCGGGGCCGTAACCACATACACCATATTTTGAGCAGCACCCCTCTGGGCAATGTTTATTCTTATCACATTGAAGGCCAGTAGCACTCACATAATCACAGGTATCAATGCAGTTCTGGGGCGACTATGATATGCTTTTGTAAGTTTATAAACTTGAGTTAGAAAGGTATAACATACACAGTATTTATCACCAATCCCACAGTACCATTCCCTAAAGAGGTTGAATGTTAGTTCAAATTCCAATCAAATTCTGTGATTTTTGGGGATACCAACTTGGAGCAACAACCAGTAGAGCATGGATTGGATCTGCTACAGGCTTGCGAAAAACTGAACCTCGCAAAAACGAGGAGGAGTATCAGGCAAATAGGGCTAGGTAACGATTGCTGGAAATTCAACCTCATGTTTGGAGTACTGCAACGTTAGAAAGCTGGTATAATTTAACGTAATGTTGATAAATCCTCAGTCAACACATAGCATAAAGAATGGAATGAAAAAGGGGTAAGGGAGAAGAAGTAAAGATTTCCTTCGAGCGGTAAAGTGCATTTATCAGTTCCGTTTCCACCGAATAAGGCAAAATAACAGACTACCAGGCTTTTACTACGTGTGACTTTGGACAAGGCCTCCTTGTAGGGCAATTCGATAGTAAAATAATACTGCAGGGGAAAGTGGACAGAGTAAGGGTAATAAGAGAAGGATACTATTGTAATTCCACGGAATTACTCCACCGTAAGGGGAGTATCCATAATCTATGAGGCATTTTTTGTGGAAAATGGCCCTGGATATTGGCGGAAAAAGTGCACATTGCTGGAAAGAAGTCATTTTCCAGATTATACATTCTTAATTGGGACTGATGGAAACTCCTGGGTATAAATATGTCTCACTTGATAGCATGTGTATGCAGCAGGGTATCTAACTGATAACGGCCGTAGTCTAGCATTGCCCAAAGGAGTAGTCGACTCCTCTGCTATATGTAGGGAGTACGATACTAACATTATAAACAATGTTAACCCCAGCTTGGAATTTTGGAGTAGACGTAAAAGAGAAATTATAGAAGCGGCATTGCCAATGAGCAGAGAGAAAAGGAGTCCCGGGAAGAGCCATTGAACAGTGTATCAGTTCATCTGTCTCGACATGGCCGTCGGCCTTAGGCTGGCATAAAGTACACTGTGATCGGGGATGCCTGCACCCTGGAGAATATGTACGAGAGAGCTCCGTGCCAATGCACGTTAAATGAGATGCACGTTAAACGAGGTGGTTTAAGTTTTAGTTACGCTCGCGGCCCGGCGTCAAAAAACTTTTAGCGACTTTAGTTACTAACCATTTTTAGCTTAGTGCAGTTTCGTTAGCTGGCCCATGCCGACCTCTATCCGACAACAACCAACTACTGTATAGAATCACATATGATCCAAGCCTAGATAATCTCCCACAGATGTCGATACTCAGCTTCTCCCGTTAGACTTAACCCTTTGGAGTACCGGGCCTTACAGTCTTAGAGACTGAATTGAGTTGTTGTGTTTCGTTTAGACAGGAGGCTTGGTGCTGCATGGCTAGTGTAGCACCCTTGTTGGCTTCATATCTCGTCCTGTAAGATGCATGCTTTTCACTATGCACGAACGAGGGGCGAAGCGGAGAGGACGCAGACCCTAGGGTTAAGGGTGTATTAATACCAGGAATTACTTAAATGTAGGTACAAACCATGGATTCGTCGCCAACAATACCGCGGAGATGTCTTTGCATGACATACTTGTCTTAGGATGCTAGTTATATTGTCATGCACATGGCAGAGCTAACGATGGCCGGAGTCCCTGGGCGCCTGCGGCCCCTGGATAGTTTCCCATAGCCAAGGGTGCAATTTGTATCATCACATTAAAACCCTCGTCACTTGGCTATACGGATACTTCGTGGAATAACTAATAGTACATCCCTGATGTTACCATCTACTATCCCACTAGTTTCTATTCCGATGATGGTTTATGATAAGAGGGACGAACATTTCTCTCCCCGTGGGAAAACATGACAAGAGAAACTTCTTGATTATATCATCTTCTAGCTATTTTCCCATTCAATCTCAATCGTCAAGTCTTAACCATGAGTAGGCTTCCGACTTTGAATAGCCGGCGGATATACCCTCCTATTTATCTTCTACTTTCTTTACTCTTTTTCTTTCACCTAATCCTCGCCTCGGGGCATGGAATACATCACCGTCATGCCAACTTTCATCATCGCGCTGCCGGTACTGGAATTAACAATCACATGGCATTTTCACCCCAGGGAACAGCAACGCCATCATCTGTGACCGAGCCAAAGAAACTGGTTGATAAAGCCCTGCATGCCCTTTCAGTAATCAATAAAAAAAGATTGGAGAACCCTAGTTTCAACAAATATGAATTTTACCAGCCACCTGCGTCGATAAAGGCCCTGAAGCTCACAAAGCCCCCTTCCATCCTTGACTTTGCTGATTTTATTGCAAACAACAACTCCATAGCAAGGAGAGCCCCTACCGACTCTGCTGTTGTGAAAGCTGTCAAGAACAAAGACTTTACCTATTATATTCCGACAGAGCTCGTTGATGCCGCGCGGATGGTAGCTGAATCTAGCCCGGCTGGAAACCATTTAGGGAACCATAGTATCATCGCAGCTCAAATTCAAGAGAAGTATAGACTAAAAGGAAATGACACAAACACTCCCCAGCAGTCTTATCTCCAGCCGAATGGATTAGAGGGTTATCTTTTGTCTCCGCGTGATATACAAGACCTAGATCCCAAATCTAATGCGATGTCATCGTTTGAGAAACGGGCTGCTAAACAGCACTGGATGACAACAATACCCCAGCAAGGGTCAAGCCCATTCGCACCATCTGGGTACAAGGTAAGCATATGTTGACTTATATTTATCCTCGTTTGCACTGTTCAATAACGCCCTCGGAAGTTAAATACTTCAATAATGGCTAACTCTTATTCTAGATATTCAGGAACGTTAAAGATTACGGAGCCAAAGGTAGGATCGTCGTGGTTGCATGTCATATTTAAGCATTGCTGATCGGATGAGATAGGCGACGGGGTCACAGACGATACTGCTGCCATAAACAGGGCAATATCCGAAGGGAATAGATGTGGTGAAAACTGTGGCTCAAGTACGATATATCCAGCTGTGGTATATTTCCCCTCCGGGACATACCTGGTTAGCTCTCCGATTATCCAGTACTATAACACTCAATTTCTTGGTGAAGTAAGTTATTCCTTTAATTAAATATGCCTGCATAGGCTTCAAGGCTTACAAACTCATAGCCACATGACTATCCCACCATTTTGGCCGCTTCTAGTTTTGTTGGATTAGGAGTCTTTTCTTCTAACGTTTACATCGAGGGTGGCAATGGAAACTCTTGGTAATAAGCACATTTATCCACAACAGCCCTGGTCGAACATCCGACTAATATAAATAGGTATCTTAATACGAATAACTTCCTTCGAAGTATAAAGAACTTCAAAATGGATATTAGGCGAACTGATCCAGGCGCATATGTCTGTGCAATTCACTGGCAGGTTGCTCAAGGGACATCACTAGAAAATATTGAGTTCTATATGATGCAGGATGATACCACAACACAACAGGTAAGCTTAGCCTCTTGTCTTACTGGGAGCCCCGTGCTAAGTGATTTAGGGGATCTACATGGAGAATGGAAGTGGTGGGTTCCTTTCCAACCTTACGTTCGTGGGCGGAAATCTCGGGTACGTGTTGATCTCTCATATTCATTCTTCCTTAGCCCCTCGAATTTCTAGAGGGCGGATTTAGGCGCTAGATTTCCATGTATAAGCCTAAAGCTGCTGGAGGTTTCTTAAATTAATAACTGTGGTTTTAGAGCTTATTTCGGAAATCAGCAATTCACTACATCACATTTGATTTTTGTTAACTGCAAAACAGCGCTGCAAGTTCACTGGGACTGGGCATGGACAATGCAGGATATTATTATTGAATCGTGCAAGAAGGGCCTAGTAGTCATTGGTGGGGTATGTTTAAAGCTCATTTCTAAATTTTCACCTGGATATTTCAAGTTAAAAAGAGCTTATTAACACTTCTTCCATCCAAAGGCCGGTGGCCCTGGAAGTACTGGACAGGCAGTGGGCTCTCTGCTCCTTGTGGACTCAATAATTGCCAATACTCCCGTTGGAATCAGCACCTCACTATCGGGTAGGAACTCAACGGCGCTTCTTGTACAGAATACTGGCTTCTTTAACGTCCCTAAAGCCATCACAGAAAACGTCAGCGGTGATACTTTATTACCTGGCGGCAATGAAGTTTTGGTTGATTCCTGGGGGTTTGGGCTATATGTTAACTCTACTCAAGCTGGAAAATTTGTCAATGGGCAGAATATTCCAGCAATGGATCGCTCAGTATCTCTTTTAGGACCTACTGGCCACTATAAGAAGAATTTTTATACCCGCCGACGCCCACAATACTTAGATATTGGACAAAGCCAGATTCTCGATGTTAAGGCACTTGGAGCAAAAGGGGATGGAAAGACGGACGATACTGCAATCCTTAACAGTATTCTATCTCGGGCGGGCAATATGTCTTCTATTGTTTACTTCCCATATGGTATCTACATTATTAAAAATACCTTACACATTCCGGTTGGCTCAAGGATCGTTGGCCAGGTATGGCCTCAGATAATGGCCACTGGACCTCAATTTTCAAATGAAAAGAGTCCAAAAGTTGCAATAGAAGTCGGGAAGCCTGGGGATAGTGGTATTGTTGAGATTCAAGATATGATGTTCACTGTATCTGGTCCAACTGCTGGAGCTGTATTGATGGAGTGGAACGTTCGGGAAAGCTTTCAGGGCTCTGCAGCTATGTGGGGTAAGCTCTTCACTTCTTGTTACCTCCCATCATTTTCGTCTCCTTAAAGCTGATATGATCCTACAGACTCGCACTTCCGAATTGGTGGAGCCACTGGTTCCAAGCTTCAGAGTAAAGAATGCCCCAAACTAACAGGAAAAGTCAACGATTCTTGCAAAGCAGCCTCTCTACTTTTGCATCTTACCTCTCAATCGTCTGCGTATCTTGAAAATTTATGGGCTTGGGTTGCCGATCACGATCTGGATGTGGCTTCTCAAGACCAAATTGACATCTATGCGGGCCGAGGCATATTAATCGAAAGCAAAGGGCCAACCTGGCTATATGGAACAGCCTCTGAACACAGCGTACTGTACCAGTACCAGGTTTCAAGTGCTAAAGATTTGCTTCTAGGCATGATTCAGACTGAGTCACCATATTTCCAACCAGCTCCAAAAGCACCAAGCCCCTTTACTACGGGCCTTTTCCCAAACGACCCTCTATTCAAGGAATGCAAGGCCAACTCCAGGACCTGCGCCTCTTCCTGGGCACTGCGTGTCATCGATAGCGTCTCAGTGTATTCCCTAGGTGCTGGTTAGTATATTTTTTTGCCTCACTAAGCTACCCAAATATCATATTAACCTTTCAATAGGACTGTATAGTTGGTTCTCAAACTACAATCAAGATTGTGTAAAAACAGAGAACTGCCAGGACCGTGGAATTGAGATTGAAGAAAGCGTTGATATCTGGTTTTTCAACCTTGTGACCAAGGCTATCATTGAGATGGTTACTCCAAAGGGTATTCGACCTACTTATGCTGCGGAGAATAAAAATGGTTATACCTCATCCCTCTTGGCATGGGTGAGGGATAAGAACACTACGATTGGAGAACGACTATTTGCGGGGTTCCATCTATATGAAAATGCAACGTTACCAGATATCACCAAAACTTGCAAAACGGCACTCACTCAGCGCATTGATTGCCACTCATTTTACCAGGAATGGGTAAGGCCAATTTACCACGGGACATTCCATGATGGGGAATTCACTCAATACTTATGTGATGAGGGATGTAAGAAGAGTTTGGAGAATTGGTTTGGAACCGTTGAATTGGCTTGTGCGGGCCAAAATATTACCGGGACGCTCCCAACGCTTTTGGGTGGATATCTTTATCAGGGATACAATGAAACCTGCCTTAAAGATACTGCCACTGGGAAATACTGTAACGGTAATCCCCCCTCCTCGCTACTACATTGATGGATAAGATACTAATGCCAAATTTTTAGAGATCATTGATGGTTTTTCCACTGTCTCTAGCATTCATGAGATGCCAACAGATGAGCTATGCTCGTACTGTCATATCAAAAGGAATGAGATTATGCAGTCCAGCTCCTACTCTGTTTATAATGAATATTATCAGGAGGTGATTCAGGTCATTAACCAGAAATGCGGCTTATCCCTGCCTAGCGATTTTCCTCCCTCGCCAGTTCTCAGGCCATCGCCGCCGCCACCATTTTGCGTATCAGAGAATAAGTATACGACACTGAATGGAGATACATGCGAGTCAATTGCTTTGGTAAAAAGCATATCGTCTGCTGGCTTAATTGCTGCGAATTCTGATGCTATCCATAATTGCGCCAGACAATTACCAGCCGGTCTAGAGCTATGTCTTCCTCTCACCTGCGAGAAGACGTATGAATTACAACCCTCCGACACTTGTTCCTCAATTGAATACTCCAAATTGCTAAGGTTGGGGGGGCTCCGAGCTTACAATAGCTGGATAAACATGGATTGCACCAACCTTCATCTTGCAAGCGAGGTACTGGGTAAAGTTCTCTGCCTTGCCCCTCAAGCAGGAACATATACCCCGACTAGTGTAATGCCAGGAGCCACTCCTACACCAGGATCGGGATACGCCACGAGGGTTATTCCACCCCCAGAAAATGCCACAATTGCTACTGGTACCACACTAAATTGTGGAAAGTGGTATACAGCTGCTCAGGAGGACACTTGTGCCACTATATGTATTAGCCAACTCATACCCGCACATTTGTTCTGGGAAGTCAACCCTTCATTGTCAACTACTGATTGCAATTCCAGTATCAAAGTCAAAACGACATACTGCGTTGCGCCCGTATCTGATTGGAAAAGCCGGCCTTCAAACACAGTTATACCCCCAGCTACATCTTCGACAACATCCCTTGTGCAGTAGAGATCGGATAGATAGTAATAGGTAGCTAGGGTTTATTTCTGTTATATACAGTTTTACGAATCCCGAATCTACTTCTTTTGTGATCCGGCCCATAGACGTAGAAACTATATAATGTGTCAATATTTTTAGCCACGCACAGGAATCTATGACAACAGGCATTTCATATATTTAACGATGGGCTCTATTCAGTGAGAAATTCATATGTTTTGCCGGTTGCCTGTGAGATCTCATCACAGACTTTGAGTGCTGCTTCCCGTTTTTCCTGGACAGTGGGCAAACTAACCAGAGACGTATCGGCTCCGTAATGAAGCAACAACTTGAAGCATACTGGCTCGTCTTGCAAAAATTCTAGGGCCATTGAAAGAGGTGTCTCGCCAAACCGAGATCGAGCATCGATGTCAGCCCCATACTTTAGTAGAAGCTTCAAAACGTCTTCCACCCTTTCTTCACTTAAAGTCCGGTATTTTGTCCTACTGGTTCTAAATATTTTGGCTGACACAGCGTTCATTTGCTCGTGCAAAGGTGTATAGTTAGACCGATCGCTGGTATTTGGATCGAGGCCATGCTCAAGCAGTAAGTTGAGTATCTCCAAATAGATGAGAGCATTTTGACCGCTTGATTGAGCAGGACGAACTACGAGGTGAGCCAACCCGCTGCCTTGGCAATCCTGCATTGAGACATCGGCGCCATTGTCAAGAAATAAACGGACAGAAGTTATTTCCCCCATAGATACGGCCTTCCACAGGGGTGATTCCTGGTAGTTGTCCGAATGGTTCACGTCTGCACCCTGGGAAACCAGATATCGAATAAGGCTATCATTTCTCTCCAGGAAGCCTGGCAGTTCATCCTTGGGTATAAGTTTCATCTTCGAAGTATTCCTTGCTTGAACGACCGCAACGAATAGTGGATGGTAGCGAGCCCATATCCCTGCTTCACATCTCTTGTTTGGATCCGAACCTGCAGCGATAGCACGCTTTGCTAGATCAACATCTGCAGTGTCCACGGCTCGCCACATAGCGTCATTATTACGAGATCGCGCATCTAGCTGATAGAGTTGCTGGTTGAGTAGACCGTGTAGGCGACGATTGCATCGTAGAAGCGAGTTTAGATCCCGCTTCTGTGAAAATTTTTCGGCAATGAGCAAAATTAATTCGTTTGGGAGCATCGTAAGGTAGACAGTCTGGTTGATGCCATAACTATATTGGGTGCATTGAGATATCTGATTCGACATCCTGGAGGGAAAATGGCACCAACCTTGGAGTTAGCAATCTGAGAAGAAAAATTCCTTTGGGAATAGAAAAGAAGACGGCGATGTATTAACTAGTTAGCGGCGCTGCTGCCTCATTTATAGACCAATGCCAACAGGGGCCTGCATCTGGCTGGGTACATACATACTATTGAAATAATACCTTTATTATAGTCCTGGATAAATATTCCACTGCCACCAACATTAAATGACTTAACGTAAGACGCAAAGATTCTCCTCTGATTGGCTAAGTTAAACAACCAGTAAGCTTTAAGTAAGCTCGGAAACTTAATCTTATCTAACCCAAAAGTTTTCTTTTGGAATGCTAAAAATACAAACTTTCCATCTTATGTCTTATTCGACTTTGGTTATAAATAATAATATTTCTACCGTCCTCTAAATCTCCTTGTGTCAACTTTGGAGACGGAGATGCAAGGCTTTCGATGCTGTTGACAAGTAGAGCCCTGAGCTCCCCCCCAAGCTCCATCCAAATATCACCATACTACGCCAACATATCCGTCCACCGCCCGAGCCTGAGTATGTTGCGCCTTCTCCCTTGTATCTTCGTAGTCTGATTATATACTCTTGAAACTAGGTGCCTACAGGAATGGACACCTCTTTGCCTATACGTCTGAAAGATATGTGTTTAATGAAACACTCTGGAAGAATGAGCGTTACGTCACGTTTGATGTTGAAGATTTCAAGAAGCTTGCTGAGACGCATATTCGCCATGGACGAGTTGCAGATATCTCCAAGTTCATAGAAGGGGGTTTAACAGCGTCTTTCTACTTACTATGGAAGAAATTTTCCAGCGATTGCCAAAACACCGTACCGGACTACACTGCCAAAACATTATGCAACTGCGAGCGAGGCAGCAACGTTGGAGTTATTACGGCTGAAGGGTATACCTGTTCCAAAAGACTTCGGGTATTCTGCCTCTAGCGATAACCTTGCTGGAGTTGAATACATTACCATGGAGAAAGCCCAGGGAATCCAGGTGAAAGACAAATGGTTTCCAATGACGAAACAAGGAAGGCATAAACTAGCATCGAGCTTCGTGGGAATTGAAAAAGCTCTCTCTTCTCTTCCATTCAGCTCGATTGAAAGTGTTTACTTCAAGAGGGATATACCAGCCGAGCTTCAAGCGCCTTTACACTCCAGAGTATCTCAGGATCAAGGGCATGTGCAAGAAATATCTAACCAATTCTGCGTGGGCCCAATAACTGATTATATATTCTGGTATGGGAAACGAGCAAAATTTCAATACCAAGAGGACCATGTAGGCGTTCTCTTCGCCAAAAATGCCAACGTCATCACTTTAACGGTTGGTAGGGGACAATTCAGCGACCTATCTCCGGTTAATTGTAGAGAAGGAGATAAAATGGATTCAACAAAATGGAAAACCACTTGAACCCCTTGGCTTAGAAGAGCCCACACTTCCACCGGAGTATGAGACTTTAGAGGCAGACCGACGAGCTATATCGTCGCATGCTAATGTTTCATTACTATCATATATTTACCGGCGTATTAAACAATCCTCGTCTCAACGCTCTACGGGACCCTCTGTTGAAACCACGGAAGCATCGAGTAGACGGAGCAGGACGTCAATGGGGTGGAAATACCATCACCTTGAAAGGAGCTCTTGTTCGGATAGCTGATTACTGGGACCAACTCCCCGAAACGAAGGGAATTGAATGCCCAGTAAAGCTCGATATACTAGAGCTAGAGGAATTCTTGAAGCTGGAAGAAATATGGCACTATTTCAATGCCGTCGTGAATCATTGGCGGGATAAATTAGGTATCGGCGAGGATGGCTGGGTTAGCAGCGAGAACTACGGCTCTGCGATGAAGGGGATCCAGGAACTTAAGCAAGATATGATCAACAAGGCAGAGGGTGACGAAGAAGATATCTTCTTGATCAACAAGGGCTGGCCGCTTGATGACCACGAGGAGATTGACTGATTTGCCCGCATAAAAAATATGGGGATAAACACGAGAGATAAACCTCCTCTCCCTTCATTACATAGTATGGATGCCGCTCTTGTGTGCTCGGACATGGCAGCCAAGTATATAAAGGCAGACTAAGTGCTCCATGGCGATCCTCCGCACCTAAAGCCAGGCGGATTCCCTTTGGTGTGAAGTTTGCCTTGCCAGTCACCATTTTCCCCTTCTATCATGGTCAAGCAAAACCCGGTCGATCGGAAGGTAGAAAACGAACTCAATCGCTAGAATTAATATTTATCTGCGCTTGGATCGGGAGAGCATATATATTACTAATTAATGATAATGCTGCATGAACTACATGTATAATCGGGTTTAAGGGGCGAACGGCGACTTGAGTTGCTAACACCTTTGACCTAGGTATAAGTTATATGCCTTACGCTTGACCCGCGACTGTTTGAGCGACATTCAGCAAATGTCCAGCCAGCAGATATGCGTGGCTAGTGGCGACATTTCCCTCCATTGAGCAATATCTCTAGCACATTTAGACATTTGTGGCAGTGCCGTGTAACTGCAGAGCGGTATTTATGCTGTCCTACTTCGCGGGCATGGCAAGAAATTGCTTATTCTCATGCAGGACACTCCACATAGTTCAGATGGAAACGGTGAAGCAGCTCGGTAGATAGCAAGCCGAGATCTGTGAGAGATATAATATTCGAAATTTGAATGATTTTTATATTATTTCACTAGCTGAGTTGTTTATTTCTTCCTTCGCTGTTACCTCTTCAACACCATCCTTTACTGGTACACTAACAAGAAGCGGAACAAGGAGAATAAAGTAGAGTAAAAAAAAAAAGGAAAAGCACGTCTGAAGCGTTTTATCGGGTTTAAGTTGGCATCAAGCCTGGTCACGTCAATGAAATTAAGGAGAATAGAAGGTTAGATCAAGGAAAGACATCGTCTGACGGTAACGGTAAAGGAAAAAGGTAGATGCTGGGGAGTGAGAGACTTGAGTAATCCAAGACACTGCAGACCTTGGTAGTTAATTAGGCGTGTAAGAAGTAACATAAAAGCGTGCATGTGCATCATTATCAAACCAGAAGATAAAGCGAGATATATGGTGCGACCCGATGTAGTAGGAAAGGAAGACTAATAATGAGTAGGATATGGTAGGAGATGGAGACGGGGAAGGGTGAGGAGATCCGCGTGAACGTATATATGTATGGATTGTTTAAATAAAAAAGAAGTCCTGCCAGAACACCGTGCAAAATAACCGAGAGACACATGAATTGAAATCAGAGAGATAATATGTTATAATGTAAATATGGGGGTATATAGCATAGAGAAGAAGAGAAGGAAAGAGGGTTGGCGCAAGCGAGAGAGTGGAATCACCATGACTCCCTATCTCTCGGATCTGTGCTGAGAGAAGTGTCTCGCTCATGGCTCTTCTTTTTCAGGTCAATGCCATCGCCGATTTCGGTAACCTCAAGGTCGGCATCAAGGTTCTGGTTGAATAGCATCTTGGGATTGATGCGCCATGCTCCTTGTGGGATGAAAGTACTGGCAAATATTATGACAGCCATCACGCTGTACTGTACACCTGCGACGTTGTGAATTGCAGAGTGGATGTTGCCTCCTCCATCACGACCGCCCGTGCTGATGTAGACGGAATCAATGTATTGGCCCAGTAAAGGCGAGGAAATGGCGTATGTGACAATATAAGTGGTGTAGAGGCAAGCCATAACGGCACCGAGGGCAGATACGTTTTGGGCTTTGGACTCGTGGCGTGCGAGAGAGGCCTGGATATAGGCAGCGAGAGAGACGTCTCCAGCAGCCCAACCGAAGGAAATGGGTAGGAAGGTTGCGGCGATGATCCAGGCATAGATGACCTGGTCTTGTGGTGGTGTCCAGAAGGAGAGATACCAGACACCCAGAAGCATGATGGCGTCAAGTCGAACCCACGGAATCGGGGTGGTTACAAGATTGGTGAAAAGGAAGACGAAAAGAGCACCGAATAATTCACCAAGGTTGGAGCCACCGACAATGATGTTAGCCCAGGCGGAGTGGCCCAGGTATCGGCGGGCGACGGCGGGGGCGAGCCCGTTTTCGAGATAGCGATGGCCATAGAAGGCAATCGAGTAACCGGGGATAAGCCAGATGAAGCGGCGGTTAGTGAAAAGGAGCTTGCATCCGGTCCAGATGGATTCACCGAATAGGTAGAAGGACACGAACACTGCCTTGATGTATGTCGGTCGCTTGCCCAAGAGAGGGGGTGGAGGAGGCTGGAAGGCGTCGCCTTCCTTAATGAAGAACCAGGTTGCACCGGCCATGGCGAAGAAGACGGGGGTGATAATGAAAGAGTAGTTGTTCCCCAAGGTCGGGATGAGGGCGAGAGCGGTACAGAATGCACTGCCGGTGCCAGAAATCTCATAGAAGACGTGGACCATGGCATCGAGACGGCGAAGCTTTTGGATGTTTCCTCCCACGATATCACGGGGGATGATACGACGGATTAACTCGACCATCCCGTAGACGATACCAGTTACACAGTAGATGGGTATCATGCCGTCGGTATTGTATTTCCCATAGTAGTGGAAATCCATGGCCGGGTGATCGCCGCGGAACTCTGGAGGCATGATGGTTCCGCCAGTGGCAGCATCCACGACCATGAGAATAGCGGTAAAAAGGCCAAACAAGACGACAGAGATAACCAGAACGAGTCTGGCGGGAGCACGACGAACCAAGGGTGCAATGATGATCGAGCCAACACACTGGCAGGCCTGGTTGAGACCGCTGAGTAGGCCGACTCGTTCGAACGTCTTGGCCGGTCGATGTTTTAACAAGGCATCGTAGTCGTACCGGTTCGTAGCGAGGGCAAGGATGGAGCCATTGAAGGCCTCAAGGCCGAACTTGTAGAATGTGATCCCTAAAATGTATAGAAAGATGTTACGACGCTCGACCGCGCTGAACATGCCCCAGCTGCTGCGCACGCTGTCCTTGACGGTAGCAAAGATCATAATGGGCAGACTGATCCTCTTGGTGGTGGTTGTTGTGATGCTATAAGTCCCGGTCTCATCTCATGCGTTTGTGTCTCAGGACAGAAAGGGAGAGCCAGAGAGTGTCGAGCAGAGCTAACCTGTGAGCAAGCAATGACTATACAACAAGAGGCAGGAAGAACGAGGGTTAGGAGTAGCGGGATGACATCGGTATATATTATACGGGTAAAGACGTTGGTCCCTGGGGCTCTCTGGGTCTTCCCTTGATGACGGTTTTCCCATCTGCATCACAACTGACCACACCAACCTAAGGGCTTAAAGCTAAGAGAAAAAAAAAAGAAAAAGAAAAAGACCGAAACCACGCCCAATGATGGGCAGAATGGCATGCCCGTGCAACTGGGGCAGCTTAATCGGCCTAAGCAAGGCCTTTCTCTTGGGTTCTTAGCAGCCGGGGGACGCATCCATGTAGCCTCTCCATACCAAGGTGGAGATATGCCTCGGAGTGGACTGGGGGAGACGGTAGAAATTTCCGTTAGCGAATAGGTGATTGGGCGACAAGGGGTAATCTTCTGACTTTTTGCCCATTTAAAATAGAGCATATGTAAGAAAGAAGGAAAAGAGAGAGAGGCGAAAAGCTTGGATCGACGGTTGTGGCAGTCTTCGGGGAGGCTGGTAAGACACTGCCTACAGGCCCTGCGGCTAACTCGCCTGCCGCCATAATTATTTTCTCCCTGGCACTGTCCCTTCGGCATCGATAGTCCCGGGCTAGACAAGATTCAGGGCACTCCCAGAAGGGAATATTTGGGTTGATTATTTGTTATTTTGGTGGAGTAAATATGTGTGTTATCCTTTTTTTTTATCTCGTAAAATTAGACCTCAAGCCAGCGTGCTGGTAACGCATGCTGTATGTATATATAGAAATGGTCTTTGCATTCCTGTCGTCCCCTCTTGAAATCCCCCGATGCTGTGTAGCGTATCAGGAGTTCAGGAGTCGCCCAGGGGAAACAGGGCTATCCATCCGATATTCCACTTGGTTCAAGCCTCATGCTGGATCGTTGAACCAAAAATGTGCAGGCGGAACCAGCTTCTGATTCGAGGCCCGGCGCATATCGCGCGCATCTGCCCTCATCGAGCTTCTTAATTTGGGCGGCGTTTTGTGTTGCTTGCTAGTCGGTCCATATTTTATACTCAAGGAAGTGTTGGAGGCGAGATGCTGGCCGGGCCAGCAAATCTTCGTCCATAGCGGCTGCACGTGTCGACCATCGATGAATGTATCGATGATGTACCTCGCAGTAGTGCGATGTATGTAAAGATACATGCAAGTACCCGCTGGCGATGGAGTTGCGATGCACTTGCTATGCCAACCTCGACGCCCTTTGCTCACTAAGCCTCGTTAGTAGGGAAAAGGCGATTCCATCTACATACTTTTTTCACTCTTGTCCTTTCGTCCTTTTTCATACTCTCTCCGTCTCTACGTGGGCAAGGGGGGAAGAGCATTTATCAGACTTCACGTGTGGCAGGCCGTCACTGCAAATGGTAGCAGGTTTTCTCCCTCTTGGCCATAAGGGTTGGCAATATATCTTTGGTAGATTTGCTGCGTCATGGTTCTTGGTTGCCTCATATAATGTTATCTCAGGCCACAATCATATTCTGTGCCATTGTTGTTATGCAATTGGTGAAACAGGGTGGGCTCACTAACCCCGTAGTTATGTATATCGACTGCAATCTCCATCCTCCGTTCTCTCAACGCCGCACTAAAAAGCAGCAGGAAAAACGTGTTGAGCAAGGGTTCGATGGTCTATATCTGAATAACATGTGTTATATGTAGGTGAAGGTCTGGTCTCTGGTGAAACATCCTCCATATTTTCATCGCGACTGTCGCCGTACTTAACCCCTTGCATCCAATGTTTGCATTAGTACCAGCAGTAGTATATGAATTAGCACGAAAATATCCCTGTAAGCAGTGGTCAAAAACGTGCAATCCCGATGCTCTGGGAGCTCCATTGCCCATCCTTCGTGTCTTTTATCTTTTTTCTGTCTAGACCATCAGACACCGATATGCCATCGAGCAAGGGCCCAACCTATTTCATGAACTTTCTGTCTCGTCGGCCATCTTTCGTCGTTTCTTTGCTTGAACGCCGCGGGCTTCTACCTTCCCCATTGCGGGTAACACCCTGACTGCGTGAAAAACATAGCCCTCCGCTCCGCCCCGGCCTGTCATGAGAGGGTGTGTTCGTCCGGGGAGAACTTGCCATGTCCTAACCCGAGATGTGTGTAACGTGGGCGCTAGCAGCAACGTTGGGTCAACAGGGAACTCCTCCTCCTTATCTTCTGCAGCCCCTTCCGCCACCTCTCGCTTATAGGTGATATACGCAGTCCGGCGGGCAGTTGAGTATAGATCAGCTAGCTGCACCAACGGCTCAATGTATGGCGAGTACACCACAACCTGCGCCGACCCAGCCAGCAGTGGGACCGTGTGTCTGAGTATAGATGTGGGATCCATTAGAGTTGCGACGATTAGGCCATCGAACCCGCCGGCTCTGGTTTCATCAACCGCATTACGCACTCTTGTCCAGCGACGTTTCTTTTTAAAATGCATTGCCCGTTTTGACGGTTTCCAGCTAGCTAATTCCTCTTCGCCAATCTTGGGTGGTTCCATATCATATATTGCGTCTTCGGATGGGTGGAGAAGCTGCAGCCATGACAGAGTCTTCAAATGAGTAGATAGAGGGTGTGTTTCAGAAGGTTCATTGATATCGTGCGAGAAGTATTTGAGCATACTTAAGTTCGGCTGTAAGTTGGGATGAATCACTGTTAGTGTCGTGTGTGAGGCAGACGCCGCTTCCGCTGCTGGCGTCTCATCCTCCGTAGGTTGAATAAGCCTCGCTCCTTGCTTCGTAGTGTTGGGAAGACCCTCTCCAGATAGCACTTCAGGAGGATATAGTATGCCTGCCCTTTCAGCCATAGCAGCGACTACTAGCCCGCCCGTATCATCCACAATCAACCACCGCCCATTTTCACGATTGACCATCTCGTCTGCCTTGGCACCGCCCACCTCTCCAGTACCCCCATAATGCACATTAGCCCAAGCTCCGATTAAACCTATCATCTCATCCCTCAATTCCATAATCCGCCCTGGATCCTTCTGCTCAAGCATCCATTCAGTCAATATACCCACATCCATTGGTACCACCGTGAACCGGTGCAGATACTTCTTCCGTTTCCTAAGCATATACTTTGCACGTGAGAACTGTGTCTTCTGGTCCAATGCAGAGTGCGATTCCAGCAGTTTTGAAATGATTTCTCTTCCCGCATGTGTAGACGATTGTTTGAGTTCCTCGATCTGCGCCATCGTAAGCTGCTGGGTGCTCCTTTGGTCGATTATGTGTCTGTTGTCTTCCTGGGGGAATGGGATGGTTGGTGTGTTCGCATCGGTTTCAACATCCCCATCACCCTCACCATCAGCGATCAGAGCTTCGGTGTGTAACTCGGCGGCGGAGACGATGTGTAGGACATGGCCGTCGGCGTCTGGATGGTCTGCGATTTCAAAGGTGGCATAGAACGGCCTCCCAATAATCTGATTGCACGGAAATGAACCATACTTCCCCAGGGATACATTCCTATCATTACCATTAGCTATATTACTTCTAAGCAGCGCAAGAGAGATCAAAAAGCCATACGAATTAGGCACTGTCTTGACGACCTTGGTGACGTCTGACGGCAACTTGAGCGCCACATATACATTTGGCGGGATAGAAGAATGCATCTTTACCTACTTCCCACCCCCAAACTGCCCCTTCTATCCCAGGACTGATATTATATTATCGATAAACGAAGCTGTAGAGTTAAAAGAGAAAAAAAAGCGACATCTCGAAATTCCCAAAGAAGAAAAAAGCTTGAAATTATACCGGCTCGGGAGTATATTTATCCGATATCTTCTATTACGTCATCAGACGCTTTAACTTCGTTTTTCAAAACATCCAAAAATAATAACGAAAACTACGAACTGGAACGAAATTTGCGCTTCCGCTGGGTATCAATATCGGATTAACAACTTGGAAAACACGCTGTACGAAAGGGCACGGAGTATTACTCCGAATGGCCTCCTGAGTCGAACTGTCCTGTTTGCCTCCGCAATAGTTTGCTCAGTGCTTGGTGTAACTGGGTGGAGACCTGCGCCTCATCCAGGCTGACACCGAAAGCCCTGATAATATATAAGAGGGTCCGGCCATACAAGGAGATTATCCCCTCATAATTTGCTGTTGAAAGATACAATGCTGGAATGGATATTATAATGCGACCTAAACTGGGAAGTACCATAATCACTCTTCACGATCAACGAATTTTGGGTGGAAGGGAGCCCGCATAGCCATTATACATACACTTGGCCTCGATATAAGGATCTGTCGACAGTTATGGTTTCAACACATGTTCCTGTGTCTGATGCAGGGAGTGATATGGGATATACAGATAGATCACATAACAGCAATGCGCAACCTCCTCCTAACCTGAGCGAACCACATACCAGTACACATCCCGTTTCACAGCCGCCGCGATTTCAATCACCGCGGAATGAGAAAGCAGATGGAGCCACTAGCTCTCCTCTGGCCAGTCCAGGACACATCGCCTTGCCACAGATACCTCCAGCTGATGGTTACGAGAACACCGCTGACATCTGGGCTGACAGAGTGAACAATGACTTGCGAATATACAGCCCGCCTAAAGAGCCATTTTCTCACCAGGTAACGGGGAAAACTAATCCAGGCTCATTACGCGACCTGCCGCCATCAGGCGTCCAGCTGGGGTCAAATAATCCGTTTCTTAAAGCAAAACTGAGTCGCGATCGTGAGTGTCTTTCAGGTTTAATCAGGTTACGGCAGTATATTTGCTTACCGCGTGTGTAGAGAATCTTAACACCGAGTCAAACTCTCTGGAGGAGCAAACGCTACACCCTACGCATGGGGACCAGAATACTTCCCACTATTCTCAACCGCCTGATTCCAGCCAGATGAACAACGAAATGGCCGCCTTGTCCCTAACTCCACTCGCCCACCATACCGATAGTTCAGAGAATATCAAACATACAACTGTCGGCGAAGGCGCAAATCTAGTTGAGAAAACAGGTATATCTGATGAGAGTTCTGCGGCACAGAAAGTTGTATCTCCAATAGAGTCCGAGAATTTGATCGACTTTGATTCCCATGAAAACTCGGTAGAGGGCGAACCTCGATCAGGGCTGCATACCCCAAGCGAATCTAGTTTTGAGAAAATAGACAAAGGCAAAGGAGTAGTGACCCAAGACATCGAGCCCGAACCCCGTGCAGCGAGTCCAGCTGGAGTTCCGCCAGTTCCAGCTGTAGTCGAGCCACCTTCCGTCCCTAACCATACGACACCCGTACAATCATCCCAGCATGCAAGCCACAAGTCCGAAATCTATGATATCCGCAGTGTTAGCTGGACAGACGGTACCACTGAGTTACGACAATCACCCGTTTTGGTGCAGAATGAAAATGGGCCATGTCCACTTCTAGCTCTTGTTAACAGTCTTGTATTGAGATCTCCACTTGGTGCAAAAACACCACTTATTCGGGCATTACATTCCAGAGAAAGAATATCTCTGGGGTTACTGATACAAGCTCTGTTTGACGAACTCATCAGTTCGTCAGATGGAAGTGAAGAATTACCCGATATTGAGGCTTTAAGTGTGTTTCTCACCATGCTGCACACTGGGATGAATGTGAACCCACGCTTGACTCCAGTATGTTTAGGAATTAACGCAGGCTTTATCCCATGGCGCGTTCACTGACCGGCCTTTATTAGATCTTACATCCTCTTACACCGGGGACCTTCCTGAAAACCCGAGATATAGAACTATACAGTGTATTCAACCTGCCTTTAGTCCACGGTTGGGCCGCGGCCCCGTCATCACCAACACACGAAGCAATGCTTCGTGTGGCTGAATATCATGATGATATTCAACTACTTCATTTTCAAAGAGAAGACCTAGAGTCTAGAGCCATTAGTACGGGATCGTTAACTCTTGATGAGCAACGATTGTTTGAGGATATTGATACCATCCAGCGGTTTGTGGCAATAGATAACCCTACCCAGTTAAGCCCATTTGGCCTCCAGCACCTGGAGAAATCCCTACCATCAGGTAGCATTTGCGTATTATTCCGAAACGACCACTTTTCAACTCTCTTCAAACACCCGCTTTCTAACCAGCTATTCACGCTGGTTACTGATGCTGGGTATGCAAGTCATGCTGAGATTGTCTGGGAGAGTTTGGTGGATGTTAATGGAACCAACTCTGAGCTATACTCTGGTGATTTTCGCCCCGTAGGGCATGGCCCATCAGCGCATGTCCAGCCTACTCTTCCAAGCGAAGGGGGGCTACCAGTAAAAGATTCAACGAACACCACCGAACAAACAGACGCAGACTATGCTTTTGCCTTATCGCTACAGTATGAGGATGAGCAAAATCGGCAGGATGAACCAAGGTCACCGCCCCCAGCCCGCCGACCACAGAATAATCTCAGGATAAATTCCGAAACCACCTCACCTCGAGGTCGGTCACATCATCAAATACGCAGCACACGCTCTGCAAGTTTTACACAACCAAGTCCCGCTCTCCCATCTACCTTGACTCCTCTTCCTCGCACACCCACTACCCATCGTCCACCCCCATCACGAACCCAGGCTTTTTCTCCAATGATTCCTCCTACTTCTGGCCAATCTGATAACGACAATGACCCCAATGCCCCTCCACCAACATATGAACAAGCCGCCCAGGAACCAGCATACATACCGCCTCACAACGGAAATCCGTACCCGCAGCAGCATCAGGGTTATACGGGCCCTAATTCCCGGTATAATCAAATGCCTGGATACAACCAAGGCCCTCACATGGCTGGCAGGAGACGGCAAGGTCCTGCTTCGCTTTCGACCTCGTCGTTACCACAGCGCGACTACTATAGGGAAAGAGACAGGAACAAGGACTGTATTGTGATGTGATTCACAGAATAGCCGGTTCTAGCGTTTAACTTTGGAGCGTTTTATATCTATTCTACGTATCTTCTTCGGCAGTCGTGGTTTTCTTAAGGGAATATTTCTGTATATATGTGCATGATATTTAAGACCAGCCAAATACCTGTGTCTATTTATGAACGATTAATTCTGAATTTACAAATGCCTTTCATCATTACAACTTGGCCCCTTTCTAGGATTCAGTGCCTGCCTCCCTGTTTACACCTGGCTTTAAGCTAATAACTCGAACAAAAATCTAGTTTCTCTGCCATAAAGTCATCCTTGTCCTTACGTACAGTACATACGAACATAGGAAGTGGAAAACAGAGCTTCCCGTCCGCTCAGCTGTACTTAAGCCACTTGCCGGTCAGTTAGTAGTTGGCTGGGTGACCACCAGCGAATCCCGACTTTCGTATGTTTTTTCTCTTTACCTCAGAGACCAAGCATCATGAGAAAGACATTAAGGTTAGGGTTATGCGCCTCCCGCCTAACCTTATATAGAGTAACAGTACAAAATAACAGTAGTGGTTACTCCTTATTCAACAAATGATTCTTGTGGAAGCTTCTTTTTTTTACTCGACGAATATATATAAACCGTACAAGGATGATCCTACCAATGCTAGAGCGCAGCGCTTGCTCCAAACTTGGTAAATAGAGGGTTGCTTGCCCACCATATTCCTAGTCAATGTTGGTCAGGTATTAGGAGACTACCAAAGTATGGCAATATACATATCTTAAGTCTAAAATGTTATCTAATATATGTAATCACAGAAAATAAAATGAAGAGACAGAGACGTTAAGTATCATCGCACCGGACTCGTTCTATAAGTAAGAACCGATCATCTGCTCATAACCACATTAAGTGTGTGGCCACCACGAATTTTTCCTAACAGCCAAGGTAAATAGCTAGGAGCATGGTTAGCTAGCCTTATATTAATAACAGTGAAAGGTGGAACTTACCATTGGCAAAGAGAGCATAGGTATCGGCATTCTGGATGGCCTGGCCAGCAGAGAGAGAGGTAGCATCTTCATAACCATAGCCTAGATCGTCACAATAGGGGCTGACGACGGCAGAGTTATGAGTCATCTCGTGGAGGGTGGTGGTAGCCTGATCTTGCTCGTGGCATGACTGGGCAAGGGCAGGCAGGTCAGAGTAATAGATTGGGCAGTTAGTAATGATGTTTTGGTCTGGAAGCGTATAAGCAAGGACACCAGGCTGGCAACCATTCATAACATCAGTACAGTAGTATGTAGTACTGCCGGAGTTGACGTAGGTGGATTCACTAGCAACCGACTGAAGACGGGAGACGATGGTATTGATGGTACGGCGGCTGGTAGACTTGAAGTACTCCGCAACTGTGTCAAGATTTGAAGGGGCAGCTTGAGCAGCGGCTTGAGCGAGAGCAGCAGAGTTATAAAGGGCACCCTCGAGGGCATCAAGTTGGCTCTGAGTGCAGGTGGAGGTGTCGATATTGGTGCGCTTGTCGATGGATCCAGGTGATTTCTTAACAGTCCCCATGGCCTGCACGACGGAGGCAGCCTTCTTTGCATCAACATCCAGCTCGATCTTGTTGGATTCATACTTGGCATATCCAGTAATAGTAGTTCCGTTAGCCCCGTGCCCTTCAGCAGTAGGGATGGTACCAGAAGCCATGACGGTGATCTTTCCACCCCGGGTCAGATCGTGGGTACGAGCAATATCGAAAGAGCTCTCAACGCTGGCTTTGGGGCTAAGGGTGGTGAAATAGTCTGGAGACAGGCCGGTCATTTTATACCGGGCAAGCATTCCAGTAAACTTGACCTCAGTGCCTAATCAGTTAGTATTTAGAAGATCTTACATAATGGCCATGATCCGCTTACCGTTCTGATAGACCCTAACCTTCCGAGTTGGATTCTTATCTAGGATAGTATTGAACTGCAGCAGATTCAAAGCCTGGTCGCCTTTATTGGTGATGGTGGCTTTAATCATCGTATTGCCAGTAGCAGAAAGCTGGATATCAATCACAGATTGCTTCACTGGGGCACTTGGAACCGCAGCTGCGGTAGCGGTGGCTACTAGAGCCCCAAGAGCAGAGAGAGTAGCGATGAGTTGCATCTTAAGTAGAGGGTTTGGAAGAGAGAGTGTGTGTGATGGTATGGGGAGCAAAAAAGCAAGTGGTAATTTTATATGGGCGTTTCGCTTGGTCTTTTGAAAGGATAGCGAGGCGACTTGATAGCAGTTTATATACTGTTTGTGGGAGGTATGCTCCGTACAACTTTGACATTTGACCTAGTATGTAGCAACTCTGACGTAGTCCTAGACTTCCCAAAACCTATGTCCCACAACGTTTAATGATCCACCAAGATGATATTATATGTTAGATTATATGACATGGAGCCAGGAGCGTTCTGGGTATAGACCATTAATTATATGGTATCCATGTGCATGGACTCGGATTGATGCAGACTTCTTCGTGGGTGTATCAAAGGCTTGAAGCACGAGAATATAAAGCAACTGAGTACATTCAATTCGCTAGGCACCCGTAATAGGTGACTAGATCGAAAACGATGAAGTACATGGTGGCTCTGCAATCTGCACCTCATAAGAACCTGAAGAAACCCATGGCCACAATGATGCCTATAGTTCGGTCAGCCAAGCTTTTACAGTAGAGAACATTACCATGTCGATAAGAGATATTGTTAAACATATCGTGCTATTTCTTGGGAAGGGTAAACAGCATTTTACCGAGGCACACGAAATATAGAGATAACATTAGCATAGAAGCATATGGCAGTTTCTCTTCATCACAGGCATATTCGGGTGAGTTCCTCAAGTGGATGAACCGACTGGTGTAAGAGTTAGAGCCAGAGCATTGATAGTTCGTTGACCCATAGATAATCAACTGCTAGAAGGAGAAGTTGTGCATGAAGAAAACCATGCCGTTGGATGATGGTAAACTAGCTCATCCTAGAGCACCTTATTCAAACCCATCAAGGTTTGAGTTGTCATTTAAGGCGTAATGCTGTTGTATCTAGGTTGTAGTCTATTTTCACGGCTAACCAAATCGTGACAAGTGAAATAATTCTTTTCACGTGCTCTTGTTCAGGTTTAGCATATAGTGGTAGAAGTTCACGCCAATAAGGGTGAACTGAATTGCGGCCGTTGAGTGTGGTAAGACAACTCCTAGCTTGAACCGGGGTCCTGCTCCCCACAGGTAGGTAGGCCGAGCTAAGCAATGTTATCCCAATCATAAGCCCTGGCAAAAGAACATGCCAACTGTGGTGATGCTTAGGTGGAGGAAAGCCGGATCGTCGAACTGGTCGAAGTGACCAGCTAAGCGGACACGTGATAATCCCTATAAGAGTATTATCCCTGCCATTAATCCTACATCCATCTGTATCCCAAGGGCTTACGTGGACAGGATATCTATAGAGAGCTAATTTCGTTCCTGGTAAAAATGGAGGAGGCAGGCAACAAAAGGATTGGGAACGCTGGCTCCAGTTTCCAGCCAAATATTATGGTGAAAATCCTCGGAGTAATTGGGGGTTGACGGGTGAATCCTTTCCCTCAACACAATAAAAGATAAGAAGACATGGTTAAAAAGGCAATAAAATACCTAGAGAAACATTCTACCATGCATAAATCATCAGCATCAGTTGATAATAGTTGAAGTGTCGTTAAAGTTAGAAGATGCGAAGACGACTTGGCGCGAATTAAAGCTAATTTTGCTATTGGACAGAGATGTAGCTAGATATTTTTCATTGGCTACCTTAATAGTCTAATTACTTATAAGCTAGCTTATTGGTTGGACTAGACTCTCCTTTTTATATTATTTGCTTGGCGTGTCTACAAGCCTCCTTTTATACCAAACCGTGTTTTGGGTCGTTGGCCAACGTCGTGAGTTCTGGACGGAAATACATAGTGGAACTGAGTTCAATACCTCTAGCCACGGTTCAAAAGATACCGTATCCCATATACGGAGAAAAAAATTGAGAAAATAATAATGTGGCAGAGCTTGCAATATTTTAACGCACTAACACCAGGCAATGAGGCCCTGAGTTGATCTCTTTGAGGCGCAGCCTTGTGAAGGCTACGGCTCCCAATCCATCGCCAGCCATCAACCACGAAATGCCGTGAGGAACACAGAAGGCCTCTATAATCTATCATACATAATAGGACAAAGTCGTTGCATTGGGGGGATAATATAGTTGTTCCCATTATCTGCAATGGATATCTTCAGTACAGTTGCGTCTGCGATCACTGTGGCCGAAGGGGTATGGAAACTGATTGACGGTCATCGGAAGGCCCCAGAGCGCTTGCGACGACTCCAATTTGACTTGCAATCTCTCCAGTTGATCTTGGAGAGGCTACAGGCAATAGATTCATTGAGCAGTACCCAGAGATCTATCCTGCAACCAGACATCACGGAAATTGAGCGTATACTACAAGAAATCCTACAAAGCGTCTCGAAACTGACGGCTAAGAAAAAGCGCATATCTTCTCACGTTCTGTCAGCTCCCTCCGGATGCAGTTCAGTTTTAGTGACCTGGATGAGCTGGCGAGGGAGTTGCAGAAGCGAAAGGCATCGCTGACCTTGGCCGTCAATACGGTCAGCCTTAGCGTGATCAACGGGATCGATGTGGCCAAACCCACTATCTCATATGAAATGGCTAGTACGAACGGCGGCTCGTGTGTGCATGACATCGGCTCCATAACAGCTCGAGAATTTCTGGAGGTTTTAAACGCGCCAAACTATATTGACGATAAATTTAGGGTAAAAGAACCTGCTGAGGGGACTGGCTCTTGGATTTATGACCGGCCAGAGTATGCAGAATGGCACAACACTGAGGAGCGGCTAGCAAGCCTACACATTGTTGGCAAGATGGGCAGTGGGAAATCTGTGCTGATGAAGAGCATTCTCAAGAGCTTACAATCCCAGGCTGGGAACCTACAAACGCATGAATCAGGGGTTCTCTACTTCTTCTGTACCTGTGTCGATAGAACAGATACGCCTAAATCTATTCTAAAAGCCCTAATTGTACAGCTTATAAACAACTACCCCGGATTATTCGAGAAAGCAGTTCCAGATATCGAGATCTTCCAGGGCCAGCAATCACCCGGCTCGATCAACTGGTCGCTTGGGGCCATGTGGCACGTTTTTATAACACTCCTTAAACATGTCTCTTTTTCCACACTCTATTGTGTCATCGATGCTCTTGATGAGTGTGAGCCAGCAGGGCTTGATGATCTTCTCCAGCGGCTGCTCGATTTGTCAAAGAACCCATCATCTTCTGGGATCATGGTTACTACTAGACTCCTATTTTCTAGTCGTGAACACCCCCATATCCTCACGTTACTAGACACAGGTGAAACCTGCCTCAGAGTCTTTATTCGCCCATCGTGTGTTGAACCCGATATCCGAGTTGCCATGCAGAGTGACTTTTGTACTCTGAAAAAGCTGCTTGACCTTAATACTGAGGAGACTGAAAAGTTGCAGGAAACTTTGCTCAAAAAATCAGACGGGATGTTCGTCTGGGTTTTCCTGGCTATGAAGGAGATAGCGTGCAATTGCCACCATGCGACTTATGAAGACCTTGAAGGGCTTATCAATGATTTACCAGTTGAGCTGAAAGGTTTATATGAGAAGAGCTGGGCGAAACTCATTCAATCGTTATCCACTAAACAGATAGAGCTGGCAAAGCGCGTCCTTGTTTGGATTCTTCTTGCCAAACGCCCCTTGACCATCACTGAACTGACCGTAGCGCTAGCTATTAATCCCGGTGAAAAGACTATTCCACATCGAAACAAGCTCCTTCGCTCACTACCAGACTTTATTCGAGGTTCCCTAACACCGTTTGTTGAGATTTCGGAGATGGATGTTACCCAAATACAGCCTGCCAACGCGTCTGGGAGCGCAGACTCAAATCCCTTTGTGCCTATAGGGCCTAGAGTACGCCTAGTGCATCAATCGGCACAGGAATACCTTCTTGATGTGTGCGATAGAGGCGATGGCGGCCAAAGCTCGCCTGGCCTCAGTATTGATTTACGAGATGGCCATGCGACACTTGCGCTTGTCTGTATATCTTATCTTAAATGTGAAGAGCTTCAGCTGGGTTGGATAGGGTTGGAGGATCGGCATCCCGACGGAGGACAGATCGTAACAGAAGAGACCAGAGAGGAGGTTCGAAAGAGACTAGAAACATATACTCTGCTTGAGTATGCGGCGCGATATTCCTATTATCACGTCCGACAACTCCAGTCTGTTCCTTATTCAAAAGAATATACTGGCGGACCTGAGTTAAGGAAGAAGGATTACGACATAGTCCAACAAGCTCTTGACTTCATTTTGAAATATCGTCGGGGTTATGAATGCGCGGTGCAGGTTTTGCAGTTTATGAGCGCTTGGGACTCTAAGCTACATGATGGCCCTCCTCCTCCTATTTCAGCTGCCGTTAGGCTCGGTGTACCTGCGATGGTGCGGAGTTTGTTAGATGATCCCGCCACAGACATCTTTGAACGGGAGAAGGCATATGGTAATTTGCCTCTTCATTATGCGGCCGCCATGGCTACGAAAACCACCCACCTAGGAGAATTTGTCAGAATTATCGAAATGTTGCTTGAGAAGGGTGCAGACATCAATTACATTAATATCACTGGGTGTACGCCATTGCACATTGCGTGTCATCACCAACTTCATGAGGTTGTGAAAATACTCTTGGAGAAGGGCGCGGACGCATCTATAAAAAATAAGCGGGGAGAAACGCCTTTGAATATGGCCTGTACGCTCAAGTCCCATAAAACTGTAGAGATGCTAATCGAGGCTGGCTCGGATTGTGAAACGCACGACAATTTGGGATATCAGCCGATAGTGAGAGCAGCAACAGTCTCCAGCTGGGAGACAGTACGGTTGCTCTTACGGCACGGAGTTAACCCTAGAAGTCACTTAAAGGATGGGTACACCTGTTTGCATGCGGCTAGTCGCTCAGGAGAGACACACATTATGGAACTACTCCTTGACGCTGGAGTTCCGGCCGACATCACAATGGACGGTGGCTGGACTCCTTTACATATTTCAGTAAGGTATAACCAACTTGAGGCCACGCAACTCCTTCTTGCGCGTGGTGCAAGCCCAGCAGCACCTCGCGACGATGGCTACCTGCCACTACATACAGCGGCGACATTTTCGTGCCCCAGGCTTCTTGGGCTTTTGCTATCCAATCAACTTGATCTTGAAATATTACTGGAGGCTGGCCCAGAGCCAGTCATCTGCTGTGCGATAAGAGGGGAATTCCCGCAAAATATCTCCCTTTTAATTGAGAGGGGAGCAAACAAGGATGTTCGATGCGATACTGACGGGTTGACACCTTTGCATATTGCGGCTATTTGTGACCGTCTAGATGCTATTAAAACACTCTTGGGTCACGGTGCAGACATCAATTCCGTCACTGACTATGGGCATGATGTTCTTACTACTGCAACCGGAGGCAGTAGCTTTGAGGCTGTCCGGATTCTCGTTGACAATAATGTATCAGTCGATGGATGCAGCAACATGGGGGTTATGACACCCCTTCATATGGCGGCATATGACGGCAAAACCAAGGTCGTCGAGTTTTTGCTCCAGAAAGGGGCCATCATCGATCGCTGTGGTCCTGAAGGATTGACACCGTTAGCGATCAGCGTCAGTAAAGGTCACCTTGAGATCTCGGACTTGCTGGTCATGAAAGGTGCGAAATAACCAGTTACTCCAGCCGTATGTTTTGAGTTTAAAACCTGATGTGCATCTTTAATGGTGATTTCGTAGTGCCATATATAGCTAGACCATTGTTATGTAGAGCTTTGATATGTACAACTATTGATTTGGAACATAGTTTAAGGCAATGTGAGCTTCTATAAAGTTGCACCCGTTAGTATGACTATGTCTGCAGTACATTTCAGAAGCTCAGCTGCAAAGGTGCTTTTGAACCCATAAGGAATCTGGCTAATACCTGTTAATTATCAAAGGTGTGGGTTAGCCCGGTTATAACCCGCCCCCCCCCCCCCCCCCCAAAAACTGTTAAATATTGGTAACTTATCCAAACCTACAGGTGTCTTTGAAACAAATAAAATCGGGGATGAATCAGTGGGAAAATACCTAAGGTTATTCGGGCGTGGGGCTTATTTTGCCACAATTCCAGGGGCTGTAGTATCTTCTATGCTC